AATATGTATCATACTGAGCCAAATGGATCGTATTAATGAACTATGTACATACGAACGTCAATAACAGAGGCGGCACATGTCACATATTATATAACTATACATGGAAAAGTCCGCTTGCACATTTTACAGGAAAGACATCTAAGACTAAGAATAATGGAAACAGTTCGTTTGAAAGGTTTGTAATAAATTTCATTCGGTCTCTAGAATATAAGAAAGATTACAAGGTTGTCCCGACCGATAAATTACGACGCAGACCCGTGGTGCATTGCGGATCAAATCGTACTCAAAAAGCGTCGACGCGTTTTCACGCTTCTTCTTGTCTCGTACAAGCCAGCACTAAAAGTGACCGGCTGCATCCAGCTCAAGATTAGCCGAGGGGAAACGGCAGACCGAGCGAGGCAAGAGACATCATAAAAGAGTCTACGCGGCTAAAGATAGCCAAAGGAAAGGGGAGGTCTATGTAGTCCAATGTCGAGGCAAGGAGCTTCAGTCAAAAATTAGTGGTTCAAAGCCGCACAATCATCATGCATTAACAAAGAGGTAGGTATCTGAAGCCCGTATAGAGGACAGCAAGAAACGCCAGTAGACGCCGCAACCAACCCGAAATCAATACGCCACCCTTGTTCGCATATCCTAGGAGATGTTAGTTGAAATGTCAAATACACACTGGGGAACATCTGCAAACTTACCGAAATCTTGCGCTCGATCTCGCGAACAGATCGATCAAGTTCACCCGCAATCATCAACTTGGTATCATTAGGCAGCAGGAGATACATTTCGCAAAGATCTCCATCAATGACGCCCTTCACAGGGGCATAATAGCCGCGGTACATCAAATGGTCTCGTCCAGCCAGAGGGGGTTGCTGGGAGGCCAGCTGTGTCTCCAGTAGCTGGAAAAAGTCGACATCCTCACGGCTGGCAAAAGGAACAAACATTCCAATTGTCCCTTGGAGGCCAGTCCAAACAACAATATCACGGCCTCCAGCGACTAATTGAGTCTTGTGCAAACTAGTAGGAATATCCTGGGTGAAGAAGTGAACCATCAACTCGAGACGGTGGGGAGTTCCATGGAGATAACCCTTTTCATGGATGAGGTGCGCCCCAGATCCATCCTCGTCGGCCTGTTCGGAGATCTTGCTAGGGCAACGGACAAGCCAGAGGTTTCCGAACTTGTCACCACCAGCAGTCGTTTCGTAATCAACCATAGTTGTACTCGATGTCCAGCGTGCAATAGAATCATCCGCGAAGGGAATCAAGACATTGTCCTGGTACTTGTAAACAACGTAGGTGACACTCTCGCGGACGTCGCTGACAATGATTCGGCTGCCTTGTGTCTGCAGGCCCACGATGGTCTTGGGGACCACGGGTGCCTGGCATTTCCGGAGGAGTTGCTTCATGCCAAGGTCGTACACACGAAGAATGGGGCCGATGCCTGCCAGGAGACGGCCTTGGAAGCCAAGAAGAGCGAGAGGAGGCTCATCGACTTGGGTCTTGTGAATGAACTCCAACTCCCGGCCATCCTCCTGGAATCGATAGATATGGATGAAACCACAAGAGGACGAGGGAGGGCTGACTGTCATATCCTTGGCGGTTCCCACAACCAAGAAAGTTTCATCATCTTGGCTAGAAAACGATACCGCGGCAAGGCTGACTGCTGCCTCATTGTCCTCAAGATCAAGAGTGGAGATCACAGATTTGGTGGTAATCGGGTCCACAATCTGGACACATGAAGCCCAGTGGCCAGTGCCTCGGGGATATCCGAAGTCTGCGGGTGGGAGGTCTGCAACCTCGCCATTCTGAGCTTGAGAATCATCAATCAGTCTCTGGCGGGTGGCGGGAGAGAGGACATTGTTGTCAGATTCAATGACGTAGAAGAGGGGTTGGTCGGGATGCTTCACAAAGCGTCGAGGAGTGTAAGAGAGAGGGATGGACTCTTGGAGCATGTTGTTGTCCAATTTTTCAACAGTGAAGATCCTATTTTCAGTTAGTACCGGTCCAGAATGATTTGCAGTCTCAACGTGGTATAAGTGAGGGTTGATCTCAGAAGGAACAATTGGAATTTTTCTTTTAAAGTTTCATCCACATAAAAGTTCGGATTGATTTTCTCATCATAGAATCAAGGGGATTGGGGAGGATTAAGGGGGATTTAGAGAGGGGAACATACCGTAGACTGCGGCCTTGAATGCCGATCATGCCCTCCACACACTGCTCACTGGAGAAATTCCATCCCCACTCTAGTCCGACGTAGTCCAAGGGTGTGAGCATAAAGCTCTTGGTTTGGACGTCAGAGTATCCAAGCCAGGGACGGGTGCTGAGCGCCAGAACAGCTGTTTGACCCTTAACTGACACTTGGGATAGTTTAACCGGCTTGGCACCGATGAAGCGAGTTCTGGTGTCTGAAAGCTCACCAGTCACCTCGTCCAAAACTGTACGAAGGTAGACACCAGAGTAAAGACCGATGTGAAGATAAAGAGTCATGCCTCCCGAGCTCGAGTCGGCCATGGCCATAATTTGCAGGGCAGATGGAGCAGATGTCAATGCTTGAACTGATTTGTTCTCAAGTGTTGAGTCTGGATCCAGGCTGAGAATGCGGACGGTAGAGTCATCACATCCAACAGCCAGGAACGAGCTTCGCATGCGGCCCTCGGGGACCTCTCCCATACTCAGGGAGGTGACGGTACCAGACATCTGTCGTCGCTCATCATACTCTGCCAATGTCCCGTCTGCGTCCATCTCAAAGTAGACAATTTCACCAGAACTGAGTGCCACTGCAACTTGACGCTCATTCGTGGCTGCTGCAACGATGGACCGATGCTGTGGGGCGGGCCATTCATTGACTCGCTGATCTGCGAGGATGTGACGAATGCCCCGAGGGTGAACTTGGACTAAAGAATCCTCACCAAGTTGTTGTACTGCCAGAGTTGGAGCCGAAGAAAGGAATCCTGTATCTGAAACTTCTTCGACAATTTCGCCGATGCTCAGGACGAGGGTGCCGTTCGCAAAAGAGAGAATGATGTATGTGTGGAACTCATCGGCTCGCGTCAACTTGGTTGTCCATACAGCCGAAGGCACCTGTTGAAGGTCCGACTCCACGATCTCAGAGACCTCGAGTCCGTGCTTCAGAGTCCGGAATGTGCTTCGGGCCCCAGAGCCACAGATTGTGTAGATTTGAGGTGCGTCATCCTCACTCAAATTGAGGATCTTACTGTCAATCAGAGGGCTCAGAGAGTTCATGCTTTCCATGAGGTTGACATTTTCAGCGCCTCGGGGATGGAAGTAGATCGGCGTGGAGGGCACAGAGTGATCAGCCGAGAATGAGTCGCTGGAAAAGAAGAGCTCGTCGGGATCATCACCAAGCTTTTCGAATTGGTAAAAATTGTGATTTCCAGATTCACTGGCGGCATAGAGGAAACCGCTTTTCAAAATGAGCAGATTCGTCGATACAGGAATTGTATCAAAGTATTTGATCGTCAGTCTCTTCACTTCTCCGGTGGGTTTGCCCTGCTTGTCTTCGACCATTTCCAGGTTCAACTTGAACAGATCACCATCCTCGGTTTGGAGAAGGAAGAAGAAAGCACCTCTCATCTTGTGCATGACTCCCGAGATAATCGAGCGCTTGCGCTCGGGGTTTTCGGTGGCTCCGCTGCGTCGCGGGATAGGCACGCGGAACGCACCTTGGTTGGAGTGGCGGTAGGTAATGTTATCCTCCGCACACACCAAGACACCACTGGGACCATCATCTCCTCCAGGTACCTGGAAGAGCATGGATGCTGTGCGATCGACAGGGTCAGACCACTTGCGGACAACGTGATTCAGACCGAGGTCAAGTTCGTAGTACACCAAAACCTTCTCGATTTCTTCGTACGCTTGACCGGTAGGATCCTGGTCAGATTCCGAGTAGTCCACCTCGAGAGCAGCGAAGACGGGGTTGTCATAACCAACGTCCAAGCAGATCATGGCAAACACCAAGGTCTGGGGCTTGTGGGCTTCCAGCGGTGAGGAGATGGTAAGTTCTGCCTGCGAGTTGCGGTTGAGAACATAGACCAGCTTGTTCTTTTCCACAGAAGCAATCAGACAGGCACGTCCCTTTGGATCTACCGCCAGGTATTGACCCGGCACGACGCGACGAACTCCAGACTTTCCAAATGTCTCCATGTGGATGCGATTGAAGCGGTTCTGGGAGGGAACATACTCAATGATCGTGATGCGACCCGAGTCCGAGCCGATGACGATGTAATCTATGATAATCACTCAGCACAGTTCGTTGATGACAAAGCCTTGCGAGTATCAACGTCGCTGTCCAGGGCAGCTCTCAACCCTCCTTCAAGGGGTCAGTTCGTAAGAGGACCGTGCTGCCCAGGAAGCTTGGAGAATCACTAAGTTGTACTCGTAAAGGGGCAGACGGGGGGTGTAAAAAAATAAAGCGACATACCTTTGTTGCTTCCGGCTACGCGAAAAGCTGCGAGGGAGCGAATGATGCCAAAAACATCTTGAGAGAAGAGTGGTGTGATCTTGCCCTGTGCCGGGTCAGGCCGATGGATGGTCAATTTCGAGCCTGACGAGGTGACGATCTGCTGGTCCCTGGTGCCTGCAAATTGACCTAAGATGGCCTGTGTAATGGCAGTTGGGGGCTGGATCGTCAGGGAGTACATAAACATGTGCGATGTGGTAGCCATGATGGGCGACTAGGTATCGGTTTCCCGGTATCACACAAAAGAGGTAGAAGCTTTGTACATGCAATTGCAAGTCAGGGGGTATGAATATTACATCAGTCCCATCCCTGCTGGGTGGAGTTAAGAAAGAGAAACTCCTCAAGACCACTTGCCACGGATAGAAAGAGGTGTAGCCGTGTGATCAGACTCGAAGAGGTGAGGAAGAGAAAATATTCCTTGCCGTGTGGGAGCTTCCTCTACGCTAGCGCGAAAGGCACGTGACTTATGTTTCGACCGCCTTCCACGCCGCGCCGGTTGATGCAAGGCAGATCGCCTCCGCATAACGGCCTCACTGACTCCCCTCTCTCTCATTCCATCTCACTTTTGCGGTTTTCATCCATATCACAAGAGTTCATTCAATCAGACGTTTGATCAGCCCGTCAATAGTCTTGGGGATATACCCTTCATCATTGGTCCACCTCCCAATCATCACCCACTTGCTCTACAATCATCATACATCCGTTAGCCATGGCGGACGACACGGCTACCACAGAGCAGGCTCCCATTACCTTCACTGTCAAGTCATCCACCGATGCCAAATATACCCTGACCCTCCCCCTCACCACTCTGGTGTCAGATCTCAAGCAGAAGCTCTCAACCCCCGAAAATGCCGATACCCCCGCAGAACGTCAGCGATTGATCTACTCGGGTAGAGTTTTGAAGGACACTGAGACACTAGAGACCTACAAGATTAAGGATGGCCATACTATTCATCTCGTAAAGAGTGCTGCGAGCAACCAGCAGCGACAGAACACAGCTGCTCAGCCCAGCTCAGCCACTGCGGCTGCTGGAGCTACCCCAAACCCGGCGGCTGCCGGTGTCCCAACCAATCTCGCCGCTGGTACTGGCAACAACCCACTTGCTGGCTTGACTGGTGCACGATATGCTGGATTCGCACAACTTCCCGGGGCCGGTCTTTTCGGCCCTGATGGTGGGGTAAGTGAGCTATTATGGGGATGGGAGTAATTTAGCAATGCCTGCAACAGATAGCTAACATTCTTTGGCCACCTAGATGGGACCTCCTCCAGATACTGAGTCAATGCTCAACATGCTCGAGAATCCTCAATTCCAATCGAGCATCAACGAAGCCCTGCAAAACCCCGCTATGATCGACATGATGATCCAGCAGAATCCCATGCTTCGCGACATGGGACCCGGAGTCCGGCAGATGATGGAAAGCCCAGAGTTTCGCCGCATGTTGACCGATCCGAGCTCGATTCGACAGATGATGCAAATGCAACGAGCTATGGGAATGGGTGGCGGCGGACTTGGTGGCGGCGATAATGCATTCCCCGCCCCGGGGGTGACGAACACGACCGCTGAGGGAACCCCGGGTTCAGAGCAACAGATAAATCCATTCGGACAGATGCCTCAGAATCCACTTGGAAACGCAAACCCTTTCGGTGCCCTCTTCGGAGCTAACCCGTTCGCAAACCCGGCCCAGCCTTCTGCCACCCCAGGCGCCACTCAGCCCGGCGGTGCACAAGGTGCCGACTCTACGGACCGATCAGCACCTGCCGAGGGACAGACCCCTCAAGCTGCTCAGAACCCCTTCGCATCTCTTCTAAACCCGGCCATGTTCGGCAACGCTGGACAAGCTGGCCAGGGCGGTGCGAACCCGTTCAATCCTCAGCAAAATCCGTTCCTGCGTGACCCGGCGCTACTTTCCCAGATGATGCAGGGGATGGGTGGACAGGGCGCAGAAGGTGGAGCCGCTGGTGCGAACCCTCTTGCTGCTCTACTTGGGGGTGGTGGTCTTGGTGGTTTCGGGGGTGGTTTCGGGGCGCCCCCACAGCCTGCAGACACCCGCCCCCCGGAGGATCGGTACGCCGATCAGTTGCGGCAGTTGAACGATATGGGATTCTTTGAGTTCGAGCGGAATATCGAAGCCCTGCGTCGCGCAGGCGGCAGTGTTCAGGGAGCGGTGGAGTACCTCCTCAGCCACCCATGATAGTTTCTGGGCTGCTTTTCTTCTTTCTAGCACAGCCTTGCGATTACTTTTCTGATGTATTCAACTTCTATTGATTTTGCGAGGTGGTGACAGGCTTCCTCGGTACTTATGACTTTCTCATTCCCCTTTTAGCATGCTTATCTTCAGTGTGATCCTTAGCTAGTTTTCTGGATATCTCGTCACCATTCCAGAGCTCAGAATAGCATGGGATCATTTCTAATTGATGTTTCTTACCGTCCAAGTCTACAAAACTTGAATCTAGCCTTAGACACATATCCCACATAGAGTTAGTGTTGTTGCAGGAGTTATATCAAACCGGGGCACAAGGAAAGGAGCATATATATTCATGTTGCAGGAACCAATCTTGTACCGGAATTCTCGTCCCTGATTGGGCTAACAGTTGATCTACTTTGGCTTCCAGTGCCTCTATCCTTTAATGTAGTTAGTATAACAAGACGAACTAGAAGGATAAATTTTACCTGTCTTTACTGTCCCATTGACCTGTAGGCTTTACAATTTGGCCCTCCCGGAAGTGACAGGATTTCCCCAAGCGGGCGCATCTAGCAGCCAGTCAGACAGTGAGGATCGACGATCTCTCTGATTAACCCACCGGTCGCAACTCCCTGTAGCCTCAGAACGAATACATCGAATCTTGGCCCTTGCGCAGTTTTGACAGGTTTTGCCAGATCCATTGGTATATCGCCCCTTTTGACGGTCAGCCATGACCGGGTGGCCTGTTCGCAGTGGAAATCCAAGGATTCGGAAATGGTCAATTGATGAGAAATTAAAATTAGAGCTGAGCACACTGAGGGGCAGCTTATTTGACGCGCGTTACATGATTGGGTTCGCATGTCTTGGCGCGTGCTAGTTGGATCTTCGGGCGTTGCTAGGGTATTAGGACGTGGTATATGTATACTCCGTATATATCGTGCAGTTAATCTAGAATTGTTCTAGTTTTTGTACCTGTCATTTGGCTAGTTGAGGATATACGTATCTTAAAAGTCTTACAAGTATTGATTCCGAGATATACAAATTTAACCACCCTCTTAGTGCCTTTGTCCATATATAAACCTCCCTGGCCCCCTGGGGTCTGAGCGGGCGCCCGTGGTTGATTAGGTAATCCGGGGACACGCTGGAGGAGGCCAGGGAAGCGCGAAGCTGGCTCTAACAAGCTCCTCACAGTTTCGAACTCCTTTCTCGACAAACTCATATCACTGCTGTGGCATTAAGTGCCAGTTTCATTCATTACTTACCTGTTCTGCGGCAGGTTGCTGGCGAGCTGAAGCAATCTGGTGGTCCTTAGCAATCTACTATCTAACACTCGCTTCCGACATCAAGTCCACCGTCGAACTGTCCATCGATCATCTCGGCAAAGAATCGCCTGAACGAGAAACTGCCTACAACATAGTCACTCTTGGCTTACTCGCTTCGATCTAACCTTTGTGGATCGACACACCGTAACCCACCGACGTCCAACCCTCTTCCATACTTTGTGTACATGCTGGGTCGATAGCTGCCCGTTTACTCCGGGTCGAGGACAAAACATATCTCTTTACATCTATTGAACATGGCCTTTGGTCAATTTTGTTTCCATCAGTGGGCACTGTGGGTGCTGCTGCTCGTGTCCTATGCCGGCGCATTCTACATCCCTGGTAAGCACCAAGGCGTATTTTGGTTGGACTAAGCATATGATACTTACACCTTGTCCTCTCACCAGGATACTCCGTTACCCGATATAATGATGGCGATCCTATCCCTCTTCTGGTAAACAAGATCTTCTCCGATCACACCCAGCTGCAGTATGCGTATTTCGACCTGCCTTTCGTCTGCCCGCCGAGCGGCAAAAAACATGGCGGCTCACCGTTTGGATCAGGCCAAAGCATCTCGCTCAATATTGGAGAGGTACTACGTGGCGACCGAATCATGACTTCCGACTTCGAAGTCGCGATGGGGAAGGATGTTGAGTGTCAGTCGCTCTGCACCCGTGATGTTAGTCGGTCAAATGTGAAATGGGCTCGTCAGCTCGTCAAGGAGGGATATGTGATCGAATGGATTGCCGATAATCTGCCAGGAGCCACGAGCTTTGTTACCGTGGATCGAAGCCGCAAATATTACGCTTCCGGATTCAAGCTTGGCTATCGAGACATCTCTCCAATCACTGGACAGCATCGGTACTTCATCAACAATCACTTCACGATCGTCATCCGCTGGCGGAGTGTACCGGAAGGAGGGAAGGTGGTCGTCGGTTTTGAGGTGTACCCAAAAAGTATTACCGCCGAGGACCGCCAGGAAAATGGATGCCCCAAAGCTGTCCACAATAAGAACGAAGGACTAGGGTTGTATATCGCGCCCAACCTTTCGCGAATGCAAGAAAAGTATTCCGGACTGTCATATATCCCAGATGATGACGACGATGATGACGGAGCCACACTGAAGGTCCCATACACCTACTCTGTCTACTTCCGAGAGGACACCAATGTTGAGTGGGCCAACCGTTGGGATTTATACTTTACCAACCAAGGCGAAAGTTCGATAACCCACTGGCTGGCAATCATCAACTCTTTGACAATTTGCACCGTGCTGGGAGTGACCGTGTTTGTCATTTGGAGCCGCACGGTGCAAGGCGACCTTAAGGGTCGCGGCGATGGCGCTATGGACGATCGGAAGATGAAGAACCAATCTCGACGCCGGAGTGGCAAGTCTGGTGAGAAGAAATCCGAGGGGCTTCTGGGCGATAGCGCGGATGTGGAGCGCGATGCGGATTACTCCTCGGACGAAGAGGCTCTCGAAGATACAAGTGGCTGGAAGCTTCTCCATGGTGACGTGTTCCGTATCCCCGCTTATAGTGGTCTTCTTGCTCCCTTGGTTGGATCGGGAATGCAGTTGTTATTCATGGCTTCGGGCTTGCTCCTTCTTAGCTGCCTGGGAGTCTTGAACCCAAGCTTCCGTGGTGGCTTTGTTAGCGTCGGCATGGGCCTGTTCGTCTTTGCCGGCCTTTTCTCCGGTTACTTCTCAGGAAGACTTTACAAGACCTTTGGCGGAACCGCTTGGCGCAAGAACACGCTAATCGTACGTATCCTGCTCCAGTTATTCTTGCGCTATTGCTAATTTAAGAGTTTAGACCGCTTTGCTCTTCCCTGGTCTGGCATTCTGCCTCGTGTTGATTCTGAACTTGTTTGTCTGGGCTCAAGCATCCAGTACGGCTATTCCTTTCAGCACTCTGGTCGGCCTCCTTGCACTTTGGCTCCTCATCCAAGTTCCGCTGGTATACATTGGCAGTTGGGCCGGCTATGTGCGTGCGGTGCCATGGGAGCACCCTCTCAAGACGAATGCCATTGCCCGCCAAGTTCCACCCCAGCCCTGGTATCTCCGCAGCCCTCTCGGTCCTGTGGTAACTGGCCTCATTCCATTCGCGGTTCTTTTTATTGAATTGTTATTCCTTTTCAAGAACTTGTGGCAGGACAAGTCTGGCTATTACTATGTCTTCGGCTTCCTGGGTGTTGTCTCAACCGTGCTGATTGTCACGGTCGTTGAGGTGACCGTGATCGCAACATACAGCCAGCTTTGCTCCGAGGTAAGACTGCTCTTAGCTTGAATTATGGATCGCCATACTGACTTCCTTAGAATTATCATTGGTGGTGGCAGAGCTTCCTCACCGGCGGCAGCAGCGCTTTTTGGATTTTTGCCTACTGCATCTGGTATTACCTGTTCAAGCTCCACATTACCGGGTTCGTGTCAAGCCTGCTGTTCTTCAGCTACAGCTTCCTTGCTTGCACTGTGTATGGCCTGTTAACTGGAACCGTTGGTTTCTTGGCTGCTTATGCGTTCGTCCGGCGTGTTTATAGGTAAGACCGCTAATGAATCTGGTAGGCAATAAGCTAATCGTGAAAATTGTATAGTGCCATCAAGGTCGACTAAACGTTGACACAACTACGCCATCCTCTTCCCTGACTTCTTCAATCCAGAGACTCCTTGTCTCCTCAACATCTACCTCTTCATGACCTGATCTGTCCGATAAGCATAGGTGAAGTCCTCTACCACCACGGCGTATAGTGTTCTATTTTCTGCATTTTCTGGCCCGTCCGAAATTTTGAGCCTTTGCTTCCCACATCTGTGTTGAACACAAGCCACTCCTTCTCTTTCCTTGTTTCTTGTCCTTCCCCAGTAACCCAGTATTTCTATCCGACGCCTTGGTGAGGGCCTGTCATCTTGTGCCAGATTTTCATATTTCGCATACGTTCGCTCAAGGCCGATGAGGCTTCATCACAAATACACGCCCAAGTTTGAGTACTCATCAGTTCTAATGTATTGCCATGTCACCCAAGTCCGAGGGCAAAGTTCCACCTAGGATATCGACGTTGCAACTCGTCTCAGTGGCATCTGTATCTGCATTCATGAACATACACCCAGGAAGTAAATTGTATACTAGAATGAATACCTAAGTATGCCAAAGCATGATCCTGTCGGCTATTCGAGATCAGTATATGCAGACGAGGGAGTAATAAGCCATGTTACTAAATAAATGGCTGACTGCCTGCTTTAGTATCACAACCTTGAGATAATTGAGGATTTTTCATGTGAAGGAAGTCAAATAATGCACTAAGACAAACCCCCGTCATGTCACGTCCCCAATTCCAGTCGCCGTTTGAAATCTCTTCCTCGCTCTCCTCTGATCTCATGCCTCTATGAATACTCTCCTCGCTACCTGGTATTTCTTTCCTTCTTTCTCCTTCTTCAACATCCAGATCATCTCCTACCTTCCGGACTTGCCTTTAGGCCCCTTGGGTATAAGTCAAATTGCTGGGTTGAAAGCAAGTCAACTCGAGGGTATTTTGCCTTCCATTCTTGTTGCCCCCCATTTGGTCAAACAAGGTCTCATTGTTTCCTTCGATCTTCACCCATTCCTTCATAACCAAAGGCAGCAGTGCTATTCAGGAATTCACATCACGATTCTTGATGCCTGGCTATTCAATAAGCAGACCAGCATCATTGCCTGAACTCCTATCTTAAGGAGCAGAATCGATGTTTCCTTCGAGCTCTTGTTCACTTTCTTACTCGTTCATTGATCTAGCAGATTTCATTTTCATCTTTCATCTTCCATCCGACCTCACCTCACAATGTCATCAGACGACCATCCTAACAGAGATGTGACCGAGAACGCCCCTACGAACCCCCAACTTCCTGATCACATTGATCTACAGCTTTGGCATAGCCACACCAAGAAGCATGTCTTGGATCTGGATAAGCCCATGAAAGATGGCGAAATCGACCCGGAATGGAGACCACCTCCATCAGAGAATCGTGTACCTTATCTCAAGTCATATCGCCCCTTCGAGCCTTGGGTCGCCCAAGAGAACCGCCGACGAGCTGAGAATCTGCCTGAATATGAGGCAGCAGCTCGAGAATGGGAAGACCAAGGTGGGAATTCCCAGGGCTACAATCGTCCTACCAGGAAGAGTATGAGCCTCAAGAGGATTGGGGCACAAGCTGTTAGTGAGTTTGCCTTTCAATCAACAAGCCTTTGCAAAAGGCTTGATAAGTTTCGAGGTTGAGGGTCGCTCTGAGAAATGGATATTTGGGGTGACATACTTTTTTCAAGATTAGATATTCTTGGGTAATTAACGAGAGTAGAAGGAAGAAAAGAATAGCTGCAGATTCTATTCATGAACAAACTAGGTCTTTATAGGGCCCAAACAAGGTCTGATCTTAGCTAGAACCCTCAGGCAAACAGGCAATTGGAATCGCCGACATGAAGATTGCAGTCAAAAGGAACCTTGAGATTTAAGGATGGAAATCAGCTCGTGCCATGCTTTTTAAACCATGGATAGTCGCCCCATCCTGTTTGGACACGCCGTCCATAATGACCTGAATGTCCTGGGGTTGTACACTCAACAATCATCGATATGGCAATTGTCACCACCGACGCAGTGTTCAGACCTCTTGAAAGGCCCCATCACCGAACATGGAGTCCCAAAGACTTTGACGAATGATCTACTCGGCCACAGAATTCAAGCAGGAAATCATTCATACATTACAGCCCTCGTGGTCAAACCTATTTTTAAAATAAAAAGGCAACCTATCACATGCGTCGGGGAAAAGATACTGATCAAGGTATGTACATCGCATTACGCTAGATAATAGGACTATGCACATCATAAGTCTACATTGGGTGAAACCATCCCGTGTTGACTTGGAAATGTGTACGTCGATGTAGACGTGGCCATGTGGAGTAAATCGGACATATAGCAATCACCGTGCATACAACATAAACGCAAGTGCCCATGCTAAGAAACAGCGGTGACTGTGTTTCGCCTCCAAGGTACATAAACATTGTAAATCCGGGGGTGATCTTAGACCGCTCGTCATGGCGTGCTCGGAAAGGGGGATTGCTCATTGTGGAGTTAAGATAAATTACATCCCCTCTCCTTGTTTCCTTCCTGTTTCATCATGAACTGTTAAAAGACACTATAGAAGAAAAAGAGAAGAACCAAGAGGAAAAAGAGTCCCACCGGCGGGCTACTCCGTCGCTATCTTGGCTTCTCACGACGTCTCTTCTTCCTACCCGGTAGTGTCAAACCATGCGGTCTGATTGGGCGTTAAGATAAGCAAGTGGAACCTCTGCCCCTAAGCCTCCCCTCTAACCTTGTTGGGTTATCCCAGGAGAGAAAGGACTCGATTGATTGGTTGAGAAGGTAAGGACACGATCCTGTGGAGCCCAAGGTTTGACTAGTGGTCGGCTTTAGGATTCACTAAGCTGAAACAAGTTAGCGTTTACAGGGTCCTGTCACACCGGAAACGCTGCCATGGACGTGGGCTTTCTATGCCGTTATCCACTCCGGGGTCGAGTGCGCGTGTGAACTGCACTGAAGCTAGACTTGCTACTAAATCCCCCGACTTTGGCGTGATATCATTTTATTGCGATTATTGCTTCTGAGGGGGTGAGATGGGTGGTGGTTTTACATGCACAGTTGGTATTGTGGTGGTATTGTGACTTTACCAATGTGACAAATGCAACACCCTGGACAACACGCGACCCCCATAGTGCCGGTAAAGTGGCGACTCACTCGGCACTTACCCCGATGGGATTTAATTACCTACAATTGACAAAAATCACTGGTCTTGTGACTAGATATTCTCATTTTCGATCTGATTATTGGTAAGAAAGATAACAAATATCCAATTGGGCAGCTAGGGAGAAAATTGTAGACCCCGTCAAGGTAGCACTCGGGATTATCTAGTTCGGTATTATATTACCATACAGGTTTTTCCGACAATCACACCATCGATGTTCTCCAATGATCCCATCGTCCTTGCGGGGGAGTACGTCAGTACTGGATCACCTCCCCTGATCTTCGTTGCAGGCGGGAACTACTTTGTACTAATCGATTTGGGATAGTTACAAAGTACAATTACAATGATCCAGCATTCTACAGGGTTTATGGTCAAATCGGAATAGGAGATATGATCTTCACTTGTATCGGGAAATATTACATTCAATACACATCCTTTTTGCGACTTGGCCTTCATGTGTTCGCTTCTTTAGCCCTTAGTCTCTTTGGAATTATCTCGTTTTTTTCCTCTTTTGGCCTTTTGGCCTTCTGGTCTTTTTTTTTTCTTTTTATCTTTTTTTTTTCCCTTTGTTCCCCCACATTCTCCCTCAACTTTATATATCACCTGCTCTCCCACACTTTCTTCTTTCTTTCTTTCTTTCTTTCTCTCTCATAATTTAATCTCAACTTCCTATCCATATTGGCCGTCCATTGAACCAGATATTCACCATGGCGACCAAGAAGCCCAACATCCTCTACATCATGGCTGACCAAATGGCTGCGCCCTTGTTGTCCTTGCATGACAAGAACTCCCCCATTAAGACTCCTAATCTAGATCGCCTCGCCGACGGCGGTGTGGTCTTCGACTCAGCTTACTGCAACTCACCACTGTGTGCTCCCTCACGCTTCGTCATGGTCAGCGGCCAGCTGCCCTCTAAAATTGGAGCCTACGATAACGCGGCGGAGCTGCCCGCAGACACCCCCACATATGCTCACTATCTGCGGCGGGAGGGATACCACACAGCCTTGGCTGGAAAGATGCACTTCTGTGGCCCGGATCAGCTTCACGGCTATGAGCAACGCCTGACCAGTGATATCTACCCTGGTGATTACGGCTGGTCCGTCAATTGGGATGAACCTGTACGTCGATTTTACGAACAACCGTTTGTGGCACCGTACTAACTGGAATGTAGGACATCCGTGCCGACTGGTATCACAACATGTCCTCCGTGATGGAGGCAGGCCCCGTCGTACGCACCAATCAATTGGATTTTGATGAAGAGGTGATTTACAGGTCAACCCAATACCTGTACGACCATGTTCGGCAGCGCAACGAGCAGCCTTTCTGCTTGACAGTCTCCATGACTCACCCTCACGACCCTTACGCCATGACTAAGGAGTTCTGGGACCTGTACAACGATGTCGAGATCCCGCTGCCTAAGAACGGAGCTATCCCCCACGACCAGCAGGATGCGCACTCGCAGCGTGTGCTCAAGTGTATCGACTTGTTCAACAAAGAGATGCCCGACGAGCGAATCCGTGCCGCCCGTCGCGCCTACTATGCCGCCTGCACATACGTTGATACCAACGTCGGCAAGCTGCTTCGTGTTCTCGAAAACACCGGTCTGGCCGATGACACTATCATTGTTTTCACCGGTGATCACGGTGACATGCTTGGCGAGCGCGGCCTGTGGTACAAGATGACCTGGTTTGAGAATTCAGCTCGTGTTCCTTTCCTCGTCCACTCGCCCAAGCATTTTGCTCCCAAGCGCGTGTCCGAGAACGTTTCCACCATGGATCTCCTCCCTACATTCGCTGAATTGGCAGGTGCCAAACTCATCTCCGAGCTTCCCCTAGATGGTGTTTCCCTCGTGCCGTATTTGACCGGCGGCGAAGGTCTCCGCACTGATACTGTCTATGGCGAGTACATGGGCGAGGGCACCCAGGCTCCTCTCATGATGATCCGTCGTGGCCGCTGGAAGTTCATCTACTCAACTATCGACCCACCCATGCTCTACGATCTCGTCAACGACCCAGAGGAGAGGATCAACCTCGCAGCCGGCCTACCCATCCCATCCAGCTCCACCCGCGCAGCCATCATAGCCAAACCCGCCCACTTGGCATCGTCCATCAACCTGCCAACTCCAGACGATACCCCGCACGCATCGCCAATCCCTCAACGCGCCAATACGGCATACTACCCCTTCCCCTCGACCACTCCCCCTCGCACCCCGAGCCCCGCCAAGCTCCCGCCTGCAGTGCCCAACACCACCGACCCAACTAAGATTCTGGCATTTTTCCTCGAGGAAACCCATACCCGTTGGGATTTGGAGAAGATTCACCAGGATGTTCTGCGCTCCCAGCGTCGCCGCCGTCTGGTCTATTCCGCTTTGATCCAGGGTGCCCAGACCGTTTGGGACTACGAGCCACGCACCGACCCGAGCACCCAGTACATACGCAACCAGGGCAAGGGTGCCCTCGACGATGTCGAACTCATCTCCCGTTGGCCCCGTCTGTTCCAGCAAGCTGCTGCTGCCAATGGGATGTCTGCATAGACCATCCAATCAGGGTTTCGTGAATATGCCTATTGGCTCGGACATTCGTTGAAAATATTTGACTGATCGCATTTTCTTTTCTCTATTTCTCTTGCATTTCAGCATCATCATTTCTGTTACCTTTTTGCGGCAACCCCGGCATTCATTTTATTTCGGGTTCCATCCCTTTTTTCGGTGATGTTCCTATTTTTTGGGTTTTTCGATTTTTACATCTCTCATTCTCATAGTAAGGCGCGCACTATACCCTGGACTTATTTCCCCAATTTGCATCTTTCATGCGGGTCGGTTGTGGCTGCATGGATTATTTTGTACATAGTTGTGCTTTTGGTCCCCCGGGTTGGGTGTCTTGCCCTGTACATTTCTGCTTTTGGATTCACATTAGGTAAATACAATATGCAATCAGACTGTCAATTGGGCTTTTGTACTCTGTTCCATGTTTGTCTTTAACTGTTCTTCTAATATAATAGTACTAAACAATCCTTGAACTTTACATGCTCTTAAGTCCTTCTCGCCAAGGGGCTGAAATATGGATGCGCTTGTCTGCCGAGACATCGCAAACCATAGCGGTAGTCTTCGGGGTTTTCAGGGGCTTTATAACACCAGCGGAAACTGTGTCCGGGTGCACTGTGTGGTCCCGATGGCGAAGTCCCGGGTAGAACGGATAATCGGGACTGCTGGAGATGGCTCAGGTCGAATGCCGCGGCCTATGAACTCGTCGAACCTAACGAGAATGGCTAATGGCAGCTCGCGGCGAGGATCTACAATCCCAAAAGGCCACACCACATCCTCCAAGGTCCCAAATGTTCGTTGAAAGGCCCTCGCTCAGTCCAGATGTTTTCTAGGAGCATAACGCGGCTACCGATAGAAAGCTGGATGGTAGTATACAGATTTCCAGCCTCCTCGGTCGAAGTATCCTGGGCACCGTTGCCCGTATGATCCGCGGATAAGGTGAGGACGGCCTGCTCGAGGTCGCGTAGTATAAATGCTAGTTCCCTGCCCAGGCCACATCGTCCTTAACAATGTGGTGGTTTTCGTATTAGGTGCAACCTAGAGAAAAGACATCCTTATAGCAACAGGTAAATCTCTAGAGATAATCAAGTCAGCCATAGTTCATTAATAGTGATAGACGTCTAAGGTTGGTTTTCGTATCGAATAGTAAATGCTTGCCGGGACTTTATATAGAAAAGCGACTTTCTAATAGATCATAGGCATTAGAAAAAGAAGAAATAAAGACCACTTACTTACCCTTTACTTGTTAGCTTATCCGGATGACCCTAGCACCTATTTTTCCACGGCTTTTTCTTCCCCCGAATTGCAACTAGAAATCTAATTGTTAGTCTTAATCCGGTGTTTAAGTCAAATGAACACCATACACCTGTATTGTGTGCAGCGCTCCTTTTTGTATGGAGACATCTGCCCCATTTGGTAGCTACTTCTGGCCCCTAGAACAATGACTCGATCCCACATGCGGGTCCAATAGTCCTCCGTCCAAAGAATTGGAGGGAAGTCCGGGAAAAGGTCCAGGTTCATTCCCGCTTGAATTTTGTAGCTGAGTAAATCATTTGCCAAAGCCTTGTCCATAGTAATTTCCATGCCCAGTAACCAAATTCTACTCGAAGAAATTTCAATAGACAATCTGCTAATGCTAATCTTCATCTACAAAGTATAACCTGCAAAGGCTGAATGATCGACAGCTATTGATGGGGACGCGGCTTAACCCGAACGCCACCCACGGTAGGCGTATCTAGTTGAACTATAACGTTACAGGCCATCATACTCAATACCTGGACATGCCATATCTACCCCAGGGTAAAGCTGATTTGATCTTTTTCTTTGGGATCCTCACCCCGGGCCGCTCTTGGCGCCTCCCGGGCTTTGATAGATCGGCCCCAATGTGGTTTTCTATTTCTGTAGGTTGCCATATTATTTCTGCATTGCAGGGAATGAATCCATGAATAGCCTTTGCCCTGCACCCAGTGATCATGTTAACTATTCCTTGATATTAGAAGTCTACAACACTCCTACTCATATCCTTCAACTTCAATATAAAGTCCACGGGTAGATCACAGCCAAGCTTTCCAAGGACCCAAGGTTCCCCGCAAAGCTCATTTCGTCATTGTCCAACTCAATTTGCCTCCTTACTTCCTTCACTTCTCCTCTTCCCAATAGTAACCCCAACACCAAGAAACCTAATCTCAATCCCAAAATGCCCTCTCTCACAGTAGCAGTCGCCCAGTCCCGCACACACGACTCCCTAATCGAAACTCTCCGCGCCCTCGAACGAACAACAGCCCTCGCCGCCCGCCGCGGCGTCCACCTCATCCTCTTCCCGGAAGCTTATCTAGGCGGATACCCGCGGACATGCACCTTCGGGTCCGCAGTGGGAAGTCGACACCCGCGCGGCCGGGACCAGTTCCTCGCGTACTTCAAGGCGGCCGTTGATCTAGGCGATACGCCGGCTGGGGCCGGGGATGAGTGGATTGGTCGTAGGCTGGAGATTGCGGAGGGGAAGACGTTCCGTGGCGACGGGACGAGGGAGTGTCTTGAGCGTGTTGCGAGGGAGACTGGAGTGTTTATCGCTACTGGGTTGGTGGAGAGAGCTGGGGGCAGTTTGTATTGTGCTGTTGTTTATGTTGATCCTGTTAGAGGTGTGCTGGGGAAGAGGAGGAAGATTATGCCGGTATGGAGTTCTCTATTTCTTCCTCTTCCATTCTATTGTCGATCCTATACTGACCTTCGTAGACGGCCGCCGAGCGCATGATCTGGGCTCAGGGTTCTCCCTCAACCCTCCGCGCCGTCACAACAACCCTAAACGGTATCCCGGTAACAATAGCATCGGCAATCTGCTGGGAGAACTACATGCCCCTCCTACGTCAGAGTCTGTACTCCCAGAACGTCAATATCTATCTCGCTCCCACGGCTGACGCCCGCTCTACCTGGCTCCCGCTTATGCGCACCGTCGGCATAGAAGGCCGCTGCTTCGTGCTCTCGGCCAACCAGTGCGTGCGCGGCTGCGAGCTGCCGGAGTGGATTACCGGTGAGAATACGGGTCCAAGTCCGAATCCAAGTCCAAATCCAAATCCGAATCCTCCTATGCATAAATCGCAGAATCCGGGAAGGAAATTGTCCATCACTGCTGAGGGTCCGCACGAGATTGTCTGGCCACAGGCTCACATTCAGTCCCAGGCCCAAACCCAAGGTCAGGGTCAGTCGGAGAATTCGTCCGCGCAAACTAAGCATCCCCTGGCTCCTTCGGAATCGGTATTGGATTATGTCTGTCGTGGTGGAAGTTGTATCGTCTCACCACTTGGAGATGTTCTTGCCGGGCCGCTGTGGGAAGTCTGCACGGATGACGTGCCGGATAGTAGCGATGCTGCTGTGGCTGATTTCGCGCCTGGCATGTCAGCTAGTGAGTTTAGTCCTGCTGTCGCGGCGGGTGATGGGTTGGCTATTTCGCGCATTGATTTGGATGATTGTGAGCGTGGACGGCTTGATCTCGATGTTGCTGGGAGTTATTCACGTGATGCGTTTAAATTCGAGGTTGAGGGGTTGGATCTGGCGCCGCCGCCTTTGTAGGAAGTGGATTTTATTGAGTAGGGTATATGGTACATGTATTGGTTGAAAGTATTGATGTGTTGGGGTATGGACTGTAAGTAACGAAATGAATATGAGTTCGTGGATGAGCTACGAAGAATGCCGCTAAGAAACATCGAATTCCAAAACTTTCTACTCAGAAAAGCAACAATCATAGCAGAATCACAGATTCTAGTCGTCAAGGCAATGAAAAAAAGGAAGAAAACTCGACCCAAACCCCAACTGCAAACTGCCACCGCTGAACGACTGAAACGCCTCGGGATATCAATGGATATAAGCAAGTCATAATCTGCGTCGCCATGCCAGCATGTGACAGCTCTGTTCTCTATGTACACCCTCCACCATTTAGATCGAGAATCACTGCTAGTGGTGGCGAATTTAATCCAGTTGCACTTATGTAACATCGTTTATTCCACCAGCCACACAGGCGACTTGATCAGCACCGTTGGAGGACCCTTACCGCGTACTTCGACGGCCAAGAACGCTGCGAACCGGATGCGCGGGTTGCTCGGAGCTACATCTGCAGGCTCACTCTTGTCTTCGGCTGGTCCCGGCGCCGGCGCCGGACGACTCATCTCGTTGGAGGCATGCTTGCGGCTTATCAACGCGCCAAAGATGGACTTCTTCGAGGGCTTTTGCTGTGCCGGTGAGGGGTTCTCTATCACTCCAGCGGTTGGGCCGGATGAGGCATCCCCCTCTGCCGCGGCAGGCTCCTCAGGCTGCTCTTGGTCTGAGGGTGGTGGGGGTGGGTGACTCAGTGCGGGTAGTTGGCCTTCGACCTTCATATATTGCTCGGCGAGGGAAATGCCCGGTGGGAAGTAATCGACGCAGACATCGCGGGCTTCAAGGGGGATTTTCTCTATGATGTTGATTGAGTTCTCAATGATCATGCGCACGCTTGCTTCTAGCCCTGGCGACGCGATTTCGTGCAGCTGAGACCCCATGAAGGCAGCAAGTTCCACTATTAAATGCTCGACTAGCTCAACGCGATGTTCTTGGGCATCAGGTCCGACTAAGGAATCACTTAGTCCGTCGAAGGTCGTGCGGCGCCAGTAGGAGAGTCTGGCGGAGGCGTTCTCGCGGTCTTCGTCGGATGACGGTCGCTGCCGTCGCAGGTTCATTTCGATATTTTTCAGTTGCACGCTGAATGCTGGATCCAAGGATGGATGGAAATAACGCTGGAATACTTCTTCTACTAGCCATCGGCTGATTACCGCCCGTCCGACCGCGGTCATTTCTTTCATGCCCACCGATAAAGCATCGTCGGTGACCATTCCATTCAGCCACGATGGAATACTGCGCCAATATTTGCGCACGGAGAATGCTAGGTCTTTAATCGCTCCGTCAAGTCGCTGGAATCGGTTGGTATATTCATTATCGTCAAGTACGGTACGTGACACCGCCATCCGTTGGTGTGCTACCGTGTTCTGAAGATGCTGAACCTGCGCATCTTTCTCAAAGTAGTATCGTTTCACCTTGGAATACTTGGCCTCTGGTCATTGTTAGTTTATCAAAAAAGCAAAACCCGAATCAAAAACCTTACGGAGCTCATCATGCTTCTGGATCAATGCCCGCACGTCCACTTCCCCGGAATCCTCGCGGCGGTGTGTATTGGTGGGTGTGCTCCGTCCGGGATCAGGCATGTTGTTTGACACACTACCCTGCCGACTCCGGTTCTGCTGCGGAGAACCTGCGGACTTTTGTCTGTCCAATTGATGAAATTGACCCTGGTTTTGTGATACCTGCGCGGAAGACTGCATGGCGTCAGGATAAAGGGACTGTAACGGGGAAAGCGGCTCGTGAGTCTGCTGGGATGGGGGCCGGGTATTCAATACCGGATCCTGGGCAGGGGGGAAAGCCTGTCCCCGATGATGATGTTCCGACGCGTATCGTGGTGACTCGGGGACAATATCGGTCGGCGATGGTCGGACGTACTGTTCAAGCAGGGTTGGGTCGGTGTTGGACCGCTGAAGTTTGGTATAAAGCGGTTGCACAGGTTGTTGTGACCACTCGGGGTTGTCTTGGGCGTGAGCAGGATGGGAAGGTAGGGGAGCTCGTTGAGCTTGGTATTGTTGTTGGTAGGCGAGAGATTGCGGTGCCACAGGTGAGGGGTTCTCCGCGTAGGAATGCCGGAGATGTGGCTGAAACTCGTCGGACTCGTCCAGGGTCCCTGGATGTAGAATCCCAGGTGAGGTGGGTTGTGAGATGGGAAGGGAGATTGGTTTGCCCTTCACAGAGACGCTGCGCTCGACACGGCCCGTTTTGCGATGCGAGTCGTCAGGGGCGACAACGTTGACGGTCGGTCGGTCACGCAAAGGTTTTTGACGCTGACTTTGTGACCGATTTAATGTCTGAGGCTGATTCTGTACAGGACCAGAGTACTCGTATTGTGAAAAGCGCCGGTCTGAATCGGTTATGTTGGGGTCCGGTGGAGCAAACGCGGGGCGGGCCAACTGTTCGGCGCTGCGCATGGAATGATGACTTGTCCGATTCGAAGGCGACTTGCTTTTAAAAAGGTTGCGCATCACTGCTTCTGATCTTGAGAAAAAAAAAGGGAGAGAGAGAGAGGGGGGGAGAGGCTGATTTGGTGGACCTGGGGTTGGCGGGCGGTGATTGGAGAGGTTGTTCTATATATAGGGTAAACAATGGATAGGCCTTGGTTCACTTGCCCTAGTATACGGAGTACATAGTAATTTGAATGCATTAAGTGATATGATAGATAAAATATTAGTATAATATCTAATACAATGATGCTGTCAATTAACTGTAAATCTACGTAAATATCCTCTCTCCAGTGTATATCAGTCCTAACCACAGGTATATATGAACAGATACCCATCATCAAAGAAAAATAAGGATTTGAAAGAACAGCCCTGCAATTTCCTATTCAGGTCATCGAAAGTCGAATACTTTTGATAATATGGAGAAAGGAACACGAGCCATATACGAGCCTCGTCATCTACTACATACCATACTTCGGTTATGAGCCGCCCCCAAATTCCCTGACACTTAAAACAAGAAAAACGGATCCGCTCTTGATGGCAAAGCAAATTATAATTCTTGTATGAAGTACCATTCCCCATACCAAGAATGGTGGACTCGAAATATGTGATGGAACCCTTTTTCTCAGCCCCGGACCAACGCGTCCAGGGCGGCTGAGCTCAGACGCGCAAGGAGTAGACAAAAACTCGATATCATATTATTACGTTCTCCTATCTCATGACGCGAAAGCAATACTGGTCCCTATGATCTAAAAACACAACCTTGTCCAATAACCCCGCTACCTCCATGATCCGCCTGAAATCTTCTAGGGGACTCGCAAACACGCCGTAGTCATCATAGTGGATCGGGATTGTAATGTCTGGTTGGATCAGCTGAATCAATTGCAGACCCTGCTCCGCATCCATAGTAACCGTCAACGCTAGCGGTTCCATTAGTCTTCCTACTAAGGGAGAAGGAATGGTTGTGCCGCCGAGGTGGGCGAGCATTAGGTCGATCCGTTGGCCTGCGTATCGCTTAGGAATTTCGTGTAGCTCGTCCACCATCAGAGTGTCTCCTGAGATGTAGATGCGGTAGCCGCAGGAGAAGTCTGCAGTATTGGTGCTGCCGTGGCCTAGCTCGAGCATCCAGCCGTTGGTTGTCGGGAACTGTTGGTCTGTTAGATTGAGAGCCGTTGAGGGCCGTCTAATTAGGAACATCCAGAAAAAGTAAGCTCCACCCACCGCATTAGCTAGCGTGTTGAGCTTCTCTACCACTCGGTTAGGAGGCACATGCTTCCCTGGCATCCCCGTCACACGCAGTCGGGGCTGTCCCGGTCCGTCTGTGCCTTCAATGTTGACCTCAACCTGCTCAAATGGATCGAGTGCGGACACGGATGTAAAGGAGTCCTTTATCTTGGAAGTGAGATACTCTTTCGCATGTGGTGTAGTGATAATGGGTATATCACGCCTCAACGACGCCTCTACCTTTCTATCAAAGTGGTCCCTGACAATATCAATAATCTGCTCAACACCTCTAGGCTCCGAGACATACTGGTGATAGTGGGATAGAAGGACAAGATCAATCCGAGGGAGGTCGTGCAGGGCGACAGCCGGGTCGGTGAGGCGCTTCCGTGACACACCTGGACCGAGATGGACATGGTCGCCTGTGTGGAGGAAGTTGGGCTAACACAGTCAGTCTATGAGCATTGGGCTTCCCACCAAAAGCTGACATCAGTCATAATCCGTATTCCAGCCCATTCTCTGCCTTACTTAGTACACGCTGATAAATTTCTAGATGTGAACAGACATGATTGTTGTAGCCGTTCCCACGAAGAACAGGGCTGCGTTCTCCTCGCCTGATTTGGACGAATGAAGCTTCGTCACCTTGACTGGAGGAAGTCGAGCCGGGGTCGAAGTCAGCAGTGGAAGGTCTCGGGTTGGAGGATGGTTCCTGCTCGGATCAATCAAGATGCTCTTCATGGTATATGAGTGAGGGGACAAATGGCACAACCTTGGAAGCATTACCTACAGCCCTCCAGTATATAAGTCTACGTATACATGACATCACAACGATAGATACCCTTCAATAGCCAAAATTGAATTGCCTGTCATTTTTCAGGGCAGCAGGCTTATTATAATCATGACAGAACAAGAATAGTTGGCTGCTTATGCGGCCTCGTCAAGTATTTTTTGGAAGTATTTTTGGTAGTCTTTTTAGATGTCTTTTTAGTGGTCTTTTTATATGTCTTCTCAGATAGTCTTTTTAGATATCAGTTTTTATAGACATTTTCTCCCCTTCCCAGTTTGTTCCAAAGCTAGACGTATAATCTTTGACTTCCCTGTCTTCTCGACATCCTCGTTTGTGTCGCTATCTGCTTCATAAGTGATTATGATCCTTAAAAATTATTATAATACGACTGATATGTCTAACCCTAGTCTAGTAAGCAGTAGTTTATAGTCTAGCTGAGTATGTACACATCTCAAAGTGGCTATGCATCTTAGGTCCAAGTGGAAAGCCTACGCTTATGCCCCGCCATGATTCCCCTCCTTCAAATCCCCAGAAGTCAATCCCCTGAGCATGATATATGAGTTGTCACCAAGGAAACAAATACAAGCGCACCGCAACATAGCGCAAAGAGTGGACAATGGGAAAACCAAGATCGCTTACCCCTTTTCCAAGGAGGTCCCGTCAGCGCGACGACGGGCCTCGGGCCGATCCGAACTCCGGGGAGAATGACATCCAACAATTTGACCCATATGACACCAGACATCTTCAACAGAGCACGAATACAAACAGCTCACGTGCCAATAACACGATCATCGGGACCGAGAAAACATCTAGCCGGCTCCCGCTTCAAAGAGAGGCAATCCCCCCCGGCCAAAATGCGAAACGGTCCGATGCAAAATCCACCCGAAGAAAGAACAGCTTTGACGATAACCGCACTCGACGGGTTCCAGCAGATGGTGGCAGACCTGAAGTCTCTCCGGATAGTAGTTACCGGCATACTGACGGATTCGATTCACGTCACGACCTTAACCGTCCAAGGAGTTTAGATCGATTCGATTACCAGGATGAATATGCTGTGCAAGCCGATGACCGGTATGCTGGCCGCTCCGAGTCAAACATTGGTCACCACCGGAGTCGATCCAGCTCGATTGGTACATATCGATCCAGCTCGAGTGATACATATGGCAGACCTCAGTCGTTAACTGGAAGCCGTCCTGATGACGAGTATGCTGGCCGCTCCGAGTCGAACATCGGGCGCAGGCGTCAATCCAACTCCTCGAACGTTGATCACATCAGACGCACATCGAGAGACCGAGGTCGCCGTCCTAATGACAGGCATGGTGGCCGCTCCGAGTCAACACAACGTGGTCGTGGCTCAGATCGCGAGGAGAGTCGCCGCCGGTCCAGTTCAAGCCGGCTTAGACGAGATAGAAAGAGAAAGGAGGATTCTCGACAATTCAGCACCAAGAGACTTAGCAAAGACCACGTTACGATGATTTATACAGAAGACGAGCCTCGAATTGAAATCAGCAATACGGAGATCAAACGGGGCATGTACGGTCAACAAGCGGCCATATACTTTCTTTTCAAAGTAAATGTCCGCGATGCTGAAAAGATCAAAGATAAATTGGTGATAAAATTCCAGTTCCTCGGAGATCTTGCTTCTCAGACGGTCAGAGTATTGAAAGTATCTCCTGAGAGCATCCGGACCCCTTCGAACCCAGTGAACAGGACGAAGAATGGGGGTGTGGAATTCGGTTTTGAGAAGTTCGCGAACGTGAATCTCTCTGGGGAGAAAACAAAGTCTTGGACTCACCAGGACTTTTGGCAGTTGAAAGGTCAAGGGCTGGTCTACGACGTCGAAGCTAGTCTCAAACGAAGTGGTGCTGGTGCCCCGATAATCCCCGTACCTTTCAATTTGCAGTTCGTGATCTCGGATTTCGGCCAGGAACGGTTTCATATCGCCTGTGATGTTGATTGGACACGAAAAGGCATGAGCCTTTCTGACGATGGGTGGACTGGCTTTTGGAGAGAAGTCGATATGTCTACGAGGGCTTGGGAGAAAGATAATTTCATATGGTGGACAACACAACAGTGGGAGAGCAAAGGAAAGCCTGTTGGCTTCGAAAAAGAGTAAGTTTGTCATATAGCTCAGAGTTACCTTTCGTTGCATTTCTTTCTTGTTGCATTTCTTTCTTGTTGCATCGCTAACATGAACTGCAGGTCAGGTCATTGGTATTGGTGATAATTGCCAACGACTAGGAGTGATCTTTCAAATTGCACGAAACTATTGCTCATTCGTGGCAGTGCCCGAAGACGACAGGTTCTTTGATTCTGAAAGTGAGCCAGGCAGGATGAAGAAGGTGGAAGATGCAGAGCAGGCGCAGACGTGGAGATTTCCGAATGCGACGACGGAGACATAGCATGCTGCTGAGTCGTTCTCTTTAGCAAAGGACAATGTTTGGGGTCATAGTAGAAAGTGGCGCAATTGGAAACAAGATTATATTGAAGAATTTAATCCATCTTTGAAAGCTCTTTATCCTGACTTTTAATTTGTACCATATGTGCCCGGATATTATTAATTACTATCGCAGTTCATGGGTCCTTATAAGTCTAAACGTGGTCATAACTAGTGACCAATGGACATACATGTAGCTGAAAGCTATATCCCGCGAGTCGGAGCGTGTTAGGTTGTCAGGTTCATGGATTTATTCATTTCAATTTCATGGTCCATGTGCTACAGCTAGAGATCAATGTCCGTGTGGCCCTGAGATAATTCATTCAAAACTACTCTATCCAACCCAAATCCCTTTGCACAACATCTTTCGAAGATAGGCAAGAGACGTGTTGAACAACACAGGTAAATTAACACACTCCATGTGTCTTGCCACTCTTGCCCTGCAGCGAGTGTTTTTCGCCTAGGTAGTGAGAGTGAACACGCGACTGGTGCCGAGGGTGGTTGCGGTGGTTTTGCATATGCCTGTGGATCTGTCAGTATGAAAATAAAAACATTTAGGACAGAAGAAACTTACGTCCTGTATTTGGCAATCATAGACTTGTCCATAGCATCCAAAGTCTGGATGGCAAGTTTAAAGTCCTCGAGCAAGCTGTCGCATCGGTTCATGCTGAAGTCTTCGCGGATGACAATGCGCATCATCTTCAGCTTCTCGCTGTTGGGTGCCATAGTGTACGCAGGCACAATCCAGCCCCGCTCGCGTAGCTGGTGGGCCACTGCGAATTCATCGTAGACACGACCATTGTTTGTGGGAAGGCGCCAGGCCACCAGGGGCAGGCCCCGCCCCTGCGTCTCGCTCAAGATGACCATGCCCATCTTCTCAAACTCCGAAGACATGTAGTCGCTGATGCTGATCAGGTTGGACATGATTGCACGGTAACCGTGCTTACCCAGGCGGATAAGCTGGTAGTACTGCCCAATAACATGAGAAGCACCCTTGGAGAAGTTCAGAGTAAAGCTGGCCTGGTCGGCTCCAAGGTAATTAATGTTGAACACCAATTCCTGGGGCAAAAACTCCGGAGAGCGCCAGATGACCCATCCGACACCGGGGTAGACCAGACCATACTTGTGACCGGAGACGTTGACGGAAACTACCTTTTCCAGGCGGAAGTCCCACTCAAGATCAGGGGTGATAAATGGAGCGACAAAGCCACCACTAGCTGCATCAACGTGGATTGGGCAGTCGATGTTACGCTCCACTAACAAGTCGTTGATCGCCTTGATATCCTCGTATTCACCTGTGTAGGTGGTACCCAAGATAGCGCAGATACCGATTGTGTTCTCATCCACCAAATCGACTGCCTGTTTGGGGTCGATTACGAATCGAGTTTCGGTGCAGTAGACGTACTTCTCCTCGATATCGAAGTAACGAGCAGCCTTTTCCCAGCAGACCTGGACAGCACTGTTCATAATAATGTTAGGGCGCGAGTAGTCCTTGCCCTCAGCCTTGCGCTTGTTCTGCCATCGCTTCTTCATAGCCAGTGTTCCCAGCATGATAGCCTCGGAAGACCCAATGGTTGAAGTACCCATGGCATTCTCACCGGAGGCATCAGTGGGAATGTTAAAGAGTCTAGCAATCATATTCACGCATCGGTTCTGGATCTCGGCGGAGTGGGGATATTCCTCGTAATCAATGAAGTTTTTGCTGAAGGACTCGGTCATGATCTGCTCGATCTCCTCTTCCATGTAGGTGGTAACGAAACTGGCGAGGTTGAGCTTGGGATTACCGTCCAGACTCAGCTCATCCCTGATCATCCGAGCGGCGACCTGGCGGGGCATCTCTTGCTCTGGCATTTCATGCTGAGGTATATGTCCAGTGGCAAAGTGACTTCCGTATACATTGGTATCGAAGTCATTTCTGTCGGGAGGAGCAATGGGGACAATGTCATGAGGAGAGGGGGTGACCTCATTGTCTTTCTTGACTTTGGCGAGATGGACCATAATTGCGAATAAATGATAAACGATAAAAGACAAGAGAAAAGATCAAAAGGATCTGAATGAAAAGCAGGAATTGAAGGAATAGGAGAGGGGGAGAAGCTGAGAAACGATAAATAGCCAAACACCCGACGTGCGGGGAGTTTCGATGACGCACCGAACCACCTGGGCGATCAGCCCATCAGTTTTCCTTCTAGTTTTTCTACTTCTTCTACATGGCTCTTATTCTTTCCAGAGTTGCAATCTTTGATGATTATATCCAATTCAATCTAATTCCTCTCTTCTACTATGTGTTCATACACACAAAACCCCCCAAGACGATCCCGGTGTACCCGGTGTTTCTAAAGCTTGGTCAAAGCTTGGCAGAGCAAAGTGGCGATCCCGATGGACCCGGTCTGCCCCTCTCATATAGAGCCACATGGAATAGGGAAGAGGTCCAAGAGCCCATTCAGAGCTTACTCTCGCGCAACGTTTCCACTTTGGCGAATTGATAATAGAAGTCCAAGCTCTTCGGGTTGAGCAGTGTACCCGAGGGCTTAATGATTTTTCCCGAGACAATCTGCTTCACAGGGAGCTCCACCTTTTTCAGGTTGACCGTGGTCTGTGACGATATGCGTGGGTCAGTCCCGCTTTTACAGATCTTGTTTTTCCTACAAAAGTACATACCGGAATTTCAGGTGTCTCGAACGTGAACATGGGCACATGGCGGGGGCTGAGCTCTGTGCGAATCGCGCTCTTCACTCGTGCAACCAGGTCCGGTGTGAACGCTACCCCTGGTCTCATGAGCAAAAAGAGTATCACTCGCTCATCTGTATCTGTTGGTCGTCGCTGGCCTACACATATGGAATCAACAATCTCTTTCGAAAATTGACCCTCGAGTACCCGATAGATCTCGGCCGATCCAAACCGCACTCCCGACGGGTTGAGCACCCCATCGGCGCGCCCGTGAAACACGATCTGTTTCGTGATTGGATGGATGGAAACGAAGTCGCCGTGTGTCCACACATCTATAGAGAATTAGCGACCACAGCCATAGGCATACAAAGGGGAGTGACCCCACCGTCGAATCTCCCAAAATACGCGTCATGGTACTTCTTGCCACCCTCATCACCCCAGAACAGCGTGGGCATATTGGGAAAAGCAGACGTGGCGACCAATTCGCCGGGAACACCCTCCTCCACAGGTACTCCCTTGATTCCATCGCCGCCCTCAATCGTAGAGTCGTAAACCTCCACGGGAATGCCCAGACTGCATCCGGCACACCCGCCAACATACAGGGGGACAAGAGGGTTGCCGGTTCCAAAGCATCCTGCGATATCAGTGCCGCCAGAAATATTATTCAGGCGAGCTTGGGGTGGGAACCCTTCGTCGTAGAACCATTCAAACAATTCATCCCGCAGGACCATGCCAGTGCTTGTGACAACCCGTAAAGAGCTGAGGTCGACTATCTCACGGGGCTTGACCTTAGCCTGTTGTAACTCATGGAGCCACCGGGGTGATATTCCAAGGTGGGTCACCCTGCGATTGGTTAGCCGGGGACTCTACATGTACAACGTAGAGTAAATATCAGCAGAAGAACAACTCACTTCTCCTGCGCTGCAAGATCAACCAAAGCAGTGATACCTGGAATAAATGGGCTTCCGTCATATAGCACCACCCGCACACCAAAGAGCAAAGTCTGCACGGCACCCATATACATAATCCATCCAGTGGTCGTGTATTGCAAGGTGGTACAATCAGGCCCGAGATCACTATGCAATCTCCCCTCCTTGCTCGAGTTTAGAAGCACGCCGCCCACGGAATGGACGATACACTTCGGCTGCCCTGTCGTGCCAGACGAGTAAACCACCAAGAAAGGATCGCGGAATCTAACTCTTTCAAATTCAAGTTTCTCGTTGCCGCCCGCCTTTGCGAGAAACTCCGCCAGAGTCTTGGTCCTAGGGATGGAGCTGATATTCGCCGGCCGCGAAGAGAACCGAGGTAGTGAGATGACTCCCTCAAATTCAGGTTCAGACTTCATGCCTTGAACAATTTCCCCAATCTTTGGTCGCAAGTCAATAATCTTGCCACTGTAGACTGCCAAGTCGTCCATAAACAGCCAACGAGGCTTGATCTGCAGCAGTCTATCCAGAACACCCTTAGTACCCATATCCGTGGAACTGGATGAGAAGATAGCTCCCAGAGCCGTTGAGGCCAGGAACACAAGTAGTGTATCAATGCTATTCGCCGCACAGAGAGCAATGCGATCACCCCGAGCGACCCCATGAGCCTTCATAGCCTGAACCAACGCTCCAGTCCGTCGTCGAAGCTCACCCCACGTGAGATGGACAACCTCATGCGCAGCGCCTTCTCGGACTTCGCTAACGGCAATCTTGTCGTCTTCCTTGCCTGTTTTGTCGCCAGCAACGCGCGAGAAAAGCAGATTCTCGGCGAAGTTTAGACGCACACCAGCAAACCATTCAGGCACGCTGTCCATTCGAGCGGATTCATCAACTACCTTTGTGTAGGAGCCCTCGTGGATCAGTTGGAAGTATTTCCAGCAGAATTCCCAGAATGCTGAACGGTTCTTGATTGAATACAAGTACATATCATGGAAGGACTGGGAGAAGTTAGATAGATAGTATGTTTACACAGCCATCTTCACTCACGTCGAACTTGCGTCCGGTGGATTTCTCTAGATCTCGTTGGAAGTGACCCATCTGGGTTGACTCTGGGGCTGGATGTTGCCATATTTTACGCGGAAGGGATGTCATATTGATGAATTGAAGTAGTGAAATGTGAGGAATGTGAGTAATGTAGAATTTCCCTAGTCCCCAATCAGTTTTATACACATCTTACAAGGTTACCGAGGCCCGAAATTGTTGTATGCGGTATAATCTGCGGGGGACCCCGCTTGGAGTTGTGGCTAGTCCTGTTCTGTACACGTTGAACATCTACAGATCTTACTAATTTTATCAACAAGAGGTCCATAGATGATTCAGTTTACCCAATTAATTCAACTGAGCTGCGTAATTATCTTAGCACTTTAGGTGAATCGACTGTCCTGTTAAGACAAATCATCTGCCTCGATGCCTGGTTTACCAAGCTTCCACCTAGTTATTAGCTTCTGTTGTAGAGAATACAAGCTTCTTCTCTCTTTGCTCTCTTGTCAATATTAACATGAAATTACCAAAGCCACTTTTGCTTCGCTTGAAGATCACCCTAAACTTTGTCATTTATGCGGCGTTTCAGCTTTATGTGCATACCTTGGGCTAATCGAACTTCACAAGTCTAAAACCCGGCATAACTTCGGGAAGAGCACCTAAATTGAAACTGGAAAATAAAGCAAAACATAGTAGTACCTGATTGTGAAGCTTCTATCTTGATATTTTTTTCATATACATGAGACTACTTCTCTTCCGTAGCAAAAGTCTTGCACAAGTTAGGTAAACAGCTTGTATGTAGGACACCAGCCAAAAGCTAGTTCAAGTAGTGTTTCAATACCACCATGACGCCCAATCTGCCGAATGGTCCTCGAATTCATGTTTCTCTAGTACCTTCTGAACCTCCGACCTCCACTAAATGTGGCTCCTCGCCGGCGCTGGCATGGGGCTACTCATCCGTTTATTTTTTTTATCAGAGTACATACCTAGGTACGGAGTACTGGGGGGTCATCAATGCCACTATTCCTTTCTGTCTATGAGCCATTTGAAGAAGGCATGAAAACTGCAGCGAAGCTGCGAATTATATCGCTAGCGTCCTGAAACATGGCCTTGAAACCTCGCCGCTCCACACAATCTCTTCTTATCGTTCTGGCTCCTCTCAATCGGCCACGCAATTGCCAAGTTTTACCACGGGGTGCCATGTTGGTGATATTGTTTCTCCTTTGGAGCAGAGTTGCTATCTTTCACCTGGCCTTGTCTTGGACCCACTTCCATTAGTTGCAATGTTCTTCTCGCCCTACATTATAGGGAGGTGTTGAAATCTGGCGAGGGTCGGAAAGTGGACAACCCCTGACTTTTTTTTAATGACGACCTTGAGTGCATGGCGATGATACTAGAATACTGATTCGCCTAGGGAAGGTAGATAGACAATCGAGTCATTCGAGCTCCATACAATGTTCATCTGGAGCCACGCATTGACGCCTGACTAGCGGTGTATGTGAGACAACAAAACTTGGAATCCCAACAACTCTGAGGTCATCCAACTCAGAACAATTACTACCTACATTACAAGGCCCCAGGACACAAATAATAAGCACTATAATTCTGATTCTGATATATAATTTCAGCTGGTGTATCATCAAAGCCTGACAAAAGAAAGAAAAACAAAAGCCCGAGGCAGCCTGAGGTAGCCTGCAAGCCACCCCCAACATCCCCACCTAGCGTACAACACATATATCATACACCGGCTCTCTCACTCCCCACAGCGACTACTTTACTTATTTGAACTTGCGCTTCAACCAGGACAGGAACCCGCCCTTCTTCTTCTCGGTCTGCTCTGCTGACTCGGATGTCTTCTGAGCCTCTTGCTGGGCCTTGCCAGCCTCCTCCACGGGGGGCTCAGCCTTGGTCTCGGGCTTGGGTGCCTCAGACTTAGGCAGCGGCTCCTCGCCACGCTTCAGGGCAGCTTCGGGCTTCTTAGGCTCAGCCTCCTTGGCAGCAACCGGGGCGGCAGCCGGAGCAGCAGCCTTGTCGCCCTTGGAAGAGAGAATAGCAGCGTTCGCGGCGGCGACCGCTTCGGGAGAGGAGGCAGGCTTGCCGGCGCCGGTCTGAGCAGGGGTGGGCTTGGGGGCAGACTCGACGGGAATCTTCTCCTCAGCAACCTTGGGTGCCACATCCTGAACAGGTACGGGCTCCGGGGTCGTGAACGCAGCAGTGGAAGCGGGTCCAGCACCGGCCAAGTTTTCAATGGTCTTCTTGTCCTCCGCAACACTAGCCGGGAGCGCCTCCTCGTCGGTCTTGGGCATCTTGTGGGGCTTCAAGTCCTCCTCGTTGTTGAAGATGGGCTTCTCATACGGGCGCTTCGGGTGGGCAGCATCGGTCTCGGCGGGGGCAGCAATAGCCTCGGGCGCAACGACAGTAGGGGCGGCGGTTGATTCCGAGGTCTTGGGGCGCTCGACCAGTGTCGCAGCCGCGGGCTCCTTGGTGGTCGTCTCCGGGAGGACAGCTGCAGGTTTCCAGGTTAGTTGAAATCTTTGTCGCATTTTCACTAATAAGCGTCATACCAGTGCCTGCGGCAGCGCCAGCTTCCAACTCGCCCAACTGGCCGATCTTGGAGGCCTGCGCTTTCTCCACGGCCTCCTCCACTGACTCTGTCGCGGGAGCCTTCTCGGCCTTCACGGCCTCCTTGGTCTCCACATCCTTGGTCTCCGCCACAGCTGGGATCTCAGTTGCGGGGGCCTCGGTCGCGAGGGTGGTCTCGGGCGCCTTGATGGGCTCGGCGACGGTCTCAGTAGGCTGTGTCGCAGTCTCGGGCGCCACTGTCTGCTCGGCGGTCTCAGTCTGGCCTTCGGTTTCGTGATCGGGTTCACTGAACAATTAGATGGTGATGTGGCATGATGTCGAATTTTTTTCAACTTACACCACGTCCTTGACGTCGTCTACAACGGCGGCAACGGGCTTGCTGCCCTTCTTGTTCTTCTTTCCTCCTTTCTTTCCCATGGTTGCGATTAAATTGATTCTGCGCTGGTCAGAATATGAAAGATGGGAAGAAAGATAAGTTAACTTACGATGGTAGTGAAGTGTAGGAAGGAAGAAGTCGAGTAAGGGATGACGCGGTATGTTCTCGTCTCTAGGGTTCTTGGATCCGTGGTTGAGGACAGTTCTGGAACACAAAGTATCACAAATTTAATCTCTCTTTTTTTCTCCCTCCTTCTTATTCTACTTATTATAGCTATTATTAGATTCAAATGCATTCGAATTTCTATTCAAAATCAAAGACTCGGATTCGCTATGTCTTTCTCTTTTTTTTTCCTTTCATTTTTACTCTACATTCCTCCGCATGCGATATCTCTTTCATAGTTCCCTGGTCGTGTGAGCTTGGGCCAGCCCTAACATCTGCATCGGGTAAATAGGGTTGTGCCTGCGCAACTAGGGGCCGTCCAGGGGCAATCAGGGCAAAGGGGGCTCAAGGATGATCTGGGGAAAGGCGTAAAGCCTAACGCAGTATCCCATTATTTCTGAGTTACTCAGGAACTGGACATTCTTGAAAGGGCCCAGGGCCTATTTTGAAAATAGCGATTACATCATATCTGAAACAGCAGATCACAATTAAAGATGAACATAGGATAAAAATAGTAAAATGAGTAAAATGCAAGATCCATGGCTTTGAAAGGACTTCCAATATGTTGTAGAGTCGGAAATGGTACCCCCACTAAGATGTACTTTGTATACGATGGAAATACAGTACTGCGCAGCAGTCACGGTGGATTGGGCGCTATGTCATATGACATGCATAAACAACATACATAGGATCTCAAATAATGCCAAGTCTGTCTTTGATCTAGACTATGAGGTCATCAATATCGTACATCGTATAGTTCGTACTCCGTACACACACAAAAAAAATAAAAACAAAAACAAAAACACAGAAATCGAGGAAAAATTTAACGGTTTAGAATAATAATAAAAAAAAAAGTGACCGACGCAGGGATCGAACCTGCAATCTCTTGATTCGTAGTCAAGCGCCTTGCCATTGGGCCAGCCGGCCGTGCTATTATGCAAATTTGCCCAAATGTGCGCTATAAGCCAGTACCACCTCCCAGACGGCAAAAGCGGCAAAAACGTGCCGAGTGGGGGCAAGCGGGGCAATCGGGCAACTTGAGTTCCACACCGATTCCGGTTTATTCCCGTGCGCTGGCATTTCATCACATTTGACATTTCGTGACACATCCTTTTACAAAATAATATGATGTAACCGTGAGGCTGTCGTGTTTCTGGAAGCCTTCGCTGCAGTACGCCACTGACATCTCGAAGGATGATCATATTTTATTATACTTGGTTTATGACATGTACACCCAAGACCTATCTTGCTACCACTGCGGAGTATCTGGAAGTACTATAGCCCTGGAAGCGGTGGTAGTAACAGTGACATTGCAATTCCTTGGCCCAAACTCGGCCGGTGCTCGGGTCAATTACTCGGGAATTAATCTTACTTACAACATAGGAGTACAAAGTATAGTACACCAACTACATATGTAGTTAGTTATTGCCCATGGAGTACAATGTGTTAGACTACATATGTAGAATGTTTAAATATTCAAGTAATATAGCAAAACGAATAATAAGATGATGATAATGTCTACTCCGTACTCCGTAACTAGTTCTCGCACAGACAGTGGATAGGAGGTCATTGCCCATTTGCCCCAATACCCTCACCGGATATGGACCGGAGACGCTTCTGGGGAACCCGGACATCCATCCCACCTTAAGGCAAATTGTCTTATCTATCTTGCCGTTGCATCCTTACTGTCTATAATTCCCGCATTTCCCTCTTTTAATTTCCTCTCTCTTGGTTGCTTTACTTTCCCTCCTTTCTATATTCTCATAGAATGATTAAACTGTTCCTGATACAAAAACCCCGCTATTCGTGCTTGCACACCCACCGCGTCCGTTCCCAATCCGGGAGTGGTATGCACTGAGGCATTTTCTCCAGGAACCGCCCGCATTGATCTCTGAACTTCTTGAATTTGAATCTTGAATATCCCGGTTGACAATTCTTTTTTATTTCCAATATGACGTTCCGCGAGAAGGTCAAGCGGGTGTTCCGCTCCAACTCCAAAAATGATGGGAAGCCCAAGGTCGAATATTACAGACGACACGAGTGCCCTCCTTCCAAGTTTCGTGGTCCTTTCGACCGTGCCCACCAAAAGAGCCTAGCCGCTTGGTCCTTCCAGGGTGCGACGGTCGAACGAATTCGTTCATTTGACGTCTCCGTCTCACCCTACGACACGTATAAAGGTTCCGACGGGTACTCCGGCCCATCCGATTCTAACAACTCGGTGTCCCCGGATGATGGAACCCATGTCGATCCAGGTACGCATTCCCAGCCCTAATCAAAATCATCAACCCTATCAAAAAAATCAATTCTAACTTCATTTTTTTCGATAGCCTCGTCCAATTCAGAGGCCCCTGCTGAATCATCGCCACGCGCCCCCGACTCCGGCTCCCAGTCCTCCACCATCGTCAACCCTTCCAGCTACAATGGCTCAATGATGACCCTTATAAACGAGGGCTCTATCTACGAGATTCCCGAGGATTCAAAGGGGCCCAAGTTCGTCCTCAAGGAGTCAATCCGCTACTCATCACCCCTCGTCCGCGCCATGTCGCCCGCCATGACCCCGTGCGTTATGTCCGCCCGAAAGGATCTCCCTTTCGCCCCCGAGGATCTCGCCCGCGCCTTGATCGCCGTCCAGGTCTGCGCCTGATTGATCTATCCCTTATCGCCAATCTACTTTCTTCACATCCTGGAGATTGTTCCTTTTTTGAATCATCCCTTCCATTCCTCAAGACTCGATGTCTTTTTATTTATTCAACCCTTTTTTTTGGCTCTTTTTAGATCCCTTGGGACCACGGTCGGGCATCACCATCTCGATACCATTTTGAGTATTGATGCCCACTCTTGTCGTGGACCGAGTCGCTCCTCGCTAGATGCCGAGGACTTCCGGTCAGCGATGGCCTCTCCCTCACATCTGTTTTGCATTTGCATCTAAGCGTATACCCGTTAAGGATTTTGCTGTTTATTTTAATTTTTTGGTTTTTGGTTTTTGGGGTCTATTGGTTTTGCTTTGATTGTTTTAACCCACCCCTGGCTTCGTGAGCCACACTGCTCTTATCACGATATACACGTCGCGAATGTCTTTCTTAGATGGTCTAGAGAAAAGAATATAACGTTGCTAGATTTGCTAGAGATGACTTTCTGGGTTTTCACCTGAACTGTAAACTCCCTCAAAATCATTAAATCCAAAAAGGTACAACGCACGAACTATATAGATCGCTCTAGATTCAAGTCTTACAGTTGTTCTCGAAGAATCTCCCAACCCCGCCAAAGGCCAAGCTTTCTTCCCCCGCACTAAGCTCGCACATCGCTCTATTCCGGTAATGATTTGTATGATCACCCTATATTATATTTTATCACTGATTGGCTTTCCAGCGGATATGATGTCCGTCTAAATTCCAAATGTGATGATGCTTATCGCGCGCTAAGGTTAGATAAAGTTGTTGTGAGGCTGTTTTGGTGTTGGCTTGATGTTGATATGGGCGGGTACTTATACCACACCTGGGCATAGTAGTAAATGCAGTCTATCTCGATTCACCGCGCCACCTTATCTTCTGAAGTAAGGCGCGTAATCCTGTTAGGAGGATCAGCGATGAGTCTGAATATCAGCTCGCTAATGCTTCACGCATACATAACTCGCATTTTTCACTCGTGTTCCAGAGTACCCGCTGAGAACACCATCGGTGTTCTCTGATAGAGACACTCGAGTCTTACGTGAAGAATTTCTAAGTGTGGAATGTGACTCACTATTGAACATGTATACGAAAGTAGATTTAGTTTAGTAGAGCCCTGCAGCCCCGTAGCCCCATCCTAACCTTAATTTTCTTCATTTTCACGAAGCTGAACAAAGCCAACAGGATACTCGACCGTATGCGCGGATTAACTCATAGGGATAATGGTATTTTCAAGTAAACAGGGTAATTAAACAGTGTAAGAAAACATATCTTTCTCTCAGATCGCTAAAGGAATTGTCTATTTGGCAAGATTGCCTGCTCCATTCATTCTTCCCGTCAAGTTCAATTCATTAACAGCATTCTGATGACCGCGGTTCTGCAACAAAATGGTGTCAAACATGACCTTGATATCCTCGGTAGCGATGTCAGGTGCCTGGGCAACACCCTTGACCAAACCAGTCCCGGGTAGGCGGTCCACTAAAGGACTAGCTTGCAAACTTCCAAGGCTCTAAGGTTGCCTTTGTTGCTGACTTGAGCACCGCCACCTATCTATAAGTCTACTTGGGCACATCTTGGGTTATCGTATTTCAGCATATTTGGACATCTTCACACGGCAATGTTTTTGAGGAGATACGAAGTAAACCAGACCATGTATATAGTAACTGGCAAATATCAGGCAAATATGGCCAAAATCACAAAATCCAGATCCCCATAAAGAAACCTTATCCCGCGATGTAAAATTGGTCGAAAACCCGGAGTTTGATCGATCCGACTTTTTAGGGGGCAATAGAGCTATTTTGGCAGCCACTAAGGGGTTTAAATGGCCTAATTAGGTATAGCGGGATAACTTTCGCCGACACTAGCACCACGCTAGCACCTGAACAGGCTAGAGGCTATCGCTTAGTCCTTTAGAATACAAAGAAAGAGCTAATAGGATGCTTCCGTTTCAACGCGATACATGCATTATCCGAAATGGCTTTAGACTGGACTCTGGCCCAAACCTGTAGAGACCCTGAAATAAATTCTTGTCGTATATAAAGGCGCTGGCCGCTCCATCTTTTCCTCTTATCATCTTTTCACAATTTCCATTCCTGTCGCTCGTTTGACTATATACCCCGACATTCGTTAAATCAATATAATATGCGTATCCAATCTTTCGTCCTTTTGGCCGGTGCCACTGCCGCTATCGCTGCCGAGACAGTCTCTCTTTTCCTAATTGGCATCGATGAGCAACCACTTGAGGGCAAGGTTATTGGCACTGTAAGCACAACTATCCCTCTATCAATCTACCACAAAAACCTAACTAATATTATGCTAGACCGGTTCTATGACCAAATATCTCATCAAGTGTGCTGCTGGTGTTGACTCCACCGAATGCGGCCTTCCCCCTAATGGCATAACCGTGGCCCAAGGCTCTTCAACCGTCAGCCTAGCATACAGCACGGGACGTATGTGAGTATATCCAGCCCTATAAAGAATCCACTTCTACCCTATAAGTTATAGCTGATCATTTCCTAAAATAGGTCTATCGCTGAGAACTGTAAGTATGATTCCGTAAGCGTGACCTGCGCCGCAAGCCTCGACGAGGAAGGCATAACCACTACCTTCACCTCCGCCGTCGCCCTCACTGAAATCCCCGGTGGCGGCGCTTTGATGCCTGTCACTATCACCGGAACTGGAACGGAGAAGGCTGCCGCCACTACTGGTGCCTCCGTATCGGCTTCTACCGCTGCCTCGACTAGCGGCGCTACTTTGACTACCTCCGCTTCGACTACCGGTGGTACTAGCACTGGTACTAGCACTAGCGAGTCCTCGGATAGCAGTAGTGCTGCTGCCACTAGCCAGACTGAATCTGGTAACGCTGCTATGCCTATGATTACTGGAAACGCGCGCTGGGCTGCCGGTGGTGTTGCAGCTGCATTGGCTCTTGCCGCTCTTTGATCATCTGGACATTTTTTGGAATGAGGTTGGAGGTGTATAATCGTGGCTCGGTTAACGCCTCTCTGCCTTGACAAAAAAATATGTACTTCCTCATGTATCCTATGTAATATACGAAGCGTGATTATTTTTCTTTACTTTGGTCTTATCGACCTAATCTGAATCTATATTGTTGGCAATCGAATATGTACCTCGTATTTATGTCACACAACGTGGGACCTCGGAACATGTACACTGAACGCTATAACCCTCTAATCTTCATTCGGACTCGTGGCGTGTAAGTTATGACTTGCGGTGCAAGATACAGCCGCAGCCTATATAATAGTCAGTGCCTGTCCACACGAAAATCCAACCGCAAAAGAAACTTACTTAGATCACAACTCTATGTTTCAATCCCCCTCTGTCTATCCTTCTTTGAACATCGCGATATTCTGTCGTTTGAACATCCTTCTTGACAGTCCAAACTCTTTGCCCTAGTACACGACTACAACGCGTTTTTCAAAATGAAGCTTACTTGGTTTACCCTTGCTATCGCTGGCTTTACTGCCGCTCAGAGTCTCGACAATGTTAATCCATGCGTCGTAAGTTGGACCGCTCTTTTAAAAAAAATAAAAGGAGATAAGCTCACTTACCCTCTTCATTTTGCAGCACTCTTACCTCCAAAAGGCCTTCCCAGCTGTTGGCTGCAATGGCGACAGCACGCAGATTGCTACTTGCGCCTGCAAGCCAGACACCCAGGCCAGGCTCCTTGCTCCTGTCACCCAGTGCGTTATCGAGAACAAGTGCAATGTTTCTGATCTTCTCAAGGCTCAGGCCATCATGGCCGAGGGTGTAAAAATGTTTCCTCTGATTCTTAGTGGTGTTTAGACCTAGATACATACACAGCTTATGTTTGTATAATAAATATCATAGGTCGGACTTCATCTTTATAGTCAAGACTCAAGACAATGTTCATATTTTCATACACCTCGGTGGCGTTTGGTTCGCCTGCTTAATACAAGAATCTTCAGTGTGCCACTTCTCGTTCCCCGGGAGCCGGGACCTGTGCTCTGGGAACTAAACCTAAAAAGGCAAAGCTAACTCGAAAGGGCAATTCACAGGTTCTCCGTTTACGTCTAGAATATAAGGACCTGTGGAATTAACGTCGAAAATGACAGCTTTTGAGGCCAGAAACGGCCCGCGGGCTGCCTTCCCACGCGTAACTTTAAGTCGTCCAGCCGTCCCCTGTAACACCACTATTCTGCACTATTCTGCACTCGCCCAGCACTGTTAGTCATGCTCCGGTCCTCTAGGGCTCCAGGGCTGATGTTACTGCTTGACTTACACAGTCCGTTCCCCTCGTTTCCACTTACGCCTTAGCCGGATTTCGGAAATTTTACTCACTTTTTTTTATATAGAACGATGAGCATAGGCTAGAACATGTTGATGCAAATAAGAAATATAGCAGCAGTCTATTCGCACACCGTCTCTTTAGAAAGAAAACGTGGTTGGATCATGACGAGCGTCATGATTGGCGCTGCATCTCAACTGCCTATATAGGACTAGCTCCATGAATAGGGAATATTATCTTAGCGCACTTTTTTAGCCGTACTGAGAGTATTTAGATGGGTAAAGTTGTTGTAGATCATGATAACAATAGGTTCCTTCTAAGCCTGTCAAGGCAATTCGCGTATGAGCTGACATGTTTGTTCGCATGAATTGAGTTAGCGTTGCGGCCATAACATAAGTCTAGTCAAAAACATTTGAATTGCTTGATATGGCTGTCAGGTTGTTTGCTAAAAATAATAAGAAACAGCCAAGGATCCTATATAAAGGAGATGCCCACAGTGCAGGTCATAACAATCGTTTCAACATCTCGATTTGAGTCTTTTGACAGCAGTAGCAATGAATCTGCTTTTGCTAACTCTGCTGTCGGCCTTTCCAGCCGCAGTGTTAGCTTCCTCTTCGGTAACTGTTGATGCTGGCACCCTTTATGGTGAAAAGTGCAACAATGGACAGAATGCAGTCTACTACAAGGGCATTCCCTTTGCCGAGCCTCCCATCGGAACACTTCGCTTTGAGCCTCCAAAGGCATACACAAAAAAATACCCTAATGGGGCATTGAATGCAACCACCCATGCCGCTACCTGCATTCAGTTCGGAGATGACATGGTACCATCTGGAACGAAATCCGAAGACTGGTAAGTCAAGTCATGAATTCCGGAATGCGTGTTTCTCCTGACATTTCGTCCCTCCAGTCTTTACCTCAACATTTGGACCCCATCCAACGCCATCAAAACGTCGAAGCTTCCTGTTAGAGTTTGGGTCTACGGTGGATCAGACACAAGCGGCGGAATCGACTACTCCCTATATGATGGCTGCAACGTTGCGGAAGAAGGCTCAATTCTTGTCTCTATCAACTATCGACTTGGGCCTCTCGGTTTCATGGCACTCAACAGTGCCGGGATCTACGGTAACCAAGGAATTCAAGATGTCCTGCTTGGTCTAGACTGGGTTCAAAAGGAGATCTCTGCCTTTGGTGGCGACCCGGTATGTGGAAAAGACCAAGGTAGTGGACCAGGTGCTAACCATTTATTTATCATACAGGACAAAGTGGTTCTCACTGGACAATCAGCCGGTGCAACGGACATACATACTATTGCCACTCTTCCCCAAGCGCCGTCTCTATTTAATAGTGCCATCGTGGAATCGATCGCTTTACCTTCGCTCGTGTCAAATTCAACCTTACAAAAGACTGGCGCGTCATATGCACGAACTCTTCGGTGCAGTGTTCGTGACGTGAGTGCAAAACCTTTGTGTCTTCTGAATAGATATTAACTTTTATAGAAATCATGCCTTCAGTCTAAAACGACGGCCGACCTACAGAGTGCACTCGATTCCGATGTCTTCCTCAAAAAGGGACTTGGAGCGAGTGATATTGGTGTTCCTAATAGGAATACGCCCCGGTTCTGGCCTTACGTGGACGGCACTGTTTTCAGTGAGAATCCCGCCACTCGTGGGGTACAAGTCCCGACGATCTTCGGATATAGTATGTACATTTCCCTCTCTTCGAAATGAAGGCTAACCACGTAAATCGTCAAGACCAAAGAGAAGGCATGATGGATGCTCTCGCCAAGTATAACACTACGAAGGCTGTCGAAGCTATTACGGCAGCTGATTATACGATATTCCTCCGCGGAAACTGGGGCTCCGCCGTGCAAAGTATTCAAAGATATTATCCTTTGTCTATGTTTAAATCTGCCACTGACGGCTCAACCGCGCTGGCTGTACTTTACGCTATATCAACTGTCCTAACGGACGCCCACTTCAAATGTCCCGGCTACCAGAGTGCAGTGCGAGCCGCACGCAACAATGTGCCAGCATGGATGTATGAATTCACCCATAATTCTACGTGTGTATGGTTAGACACAATGCCTCAGTCAGCCTTGACTGTCTTTGGTGCCGCTCACACCGCTGAGATTCCCTACGTCTTCGGGAATCTGAACTTCGATTTTCCTACCCAAAACACCACTTGCACTGGGTCAACATTGGATTGGAACCTCAGCAAGCAGATGATCACTCTGTGGACAGCAATGGCGGAGACTGCTAAGCCAACTACCGAAGATATCTTCTGGCCGCAGTTCAAAATTACACCGAAGGGGCTGATGACCCCTGGAATGATATTTGGCAACTCAAGTACTCCTGGTTCCATTGACTTCTCTGTCTGCAAATTGTGGGCTCAGGTTGATACCATGCTGGACGCAAGCAACGCGACATCCACAGCCACACCCTCCAGTAGCAGTGGGAAACCATCAGCTTCGGCGACGAACGGCGCAGCAACCATTACTCCCACAACTAAAATCTCCGTTGCTTTAGGTCTGCTTGTGATGGCGGCGACTATGGTTGCCTAGGTTGCGCTTGGAATTGGAATATGTGAACGAGTTGGAGGAAATACAAATGGATTGAAAACATTCCGAGGGCTGGAGTTTACGGAAGGCTAATTCTGTAGTAATTTGGCAGAAATGAATGTCTACATACACATGCGGAGGTGGAAAAAAAGTATTTCAGTCACCGGCTACAGTAAGATTAATTTTTATCAGTTGAGTCAACGGCGACGATTATCATTCGAGCAGAATTGCCTAATTTCACCTAGATAAATCCAGAATACATTCTAGAGTTCGTCCAGTTGGATAATTTGAGTATAACGACACACTATCCGTGCCGCTTACGCGGCTGCTAATGCTGCCCTAATGCATCATACGTGGCTATCCAATACTAAGATTGAATACATGGTGGAAACAAGGTATAATAACAAAAGTGCATAATACAGTTAGTCATCGATGTCCACACAGATTGTTGAAACCGCGGGTTTTGTCATTTTAGTTAGTTAGAGATTCATACATATCTGTTTTTGTCCATACGTTGTCGTACAGCTAGATTTCTGTCAGTGGCCCTTTGCCAACAACTAATTCCTTATTCCGAGAAACGAGCATTCAGGTAGGGATCAGATTACACTTCAGCTCTTTAGAAAGCTGTTATCATCGTCATCTCCTTGACCGCCCAATCATGATAATGTGTTGGTTGGCTAAACATCTCTAGTACCTCAATGAGCTAGCTCCGTAGGTCTCGAATATGCTTTTGTCCCGGTTTGCTTAACAAAGCTCCAATTTGAGGTCCTAGCAATATAAATCTCTCTCTAGGCCTATATATACAGTATACTCGCAGTCAGCACAGCAATGGGATGTCGCCCTTCAGCTATGAGGGACTGGAAAGGAGCTAGAAAAAGGGAGAATGAATTGCCTCCAGCCATGAAAGCTTTCTATCAATATAAATTATTAACAACTGGTAAGCTTTAGGTCGCTGGCTAACTTGTCTATCTCATCTATGTCATCGACAAACTGCAGCGCCATTGGGATGCCTGCATTTTGACCAATGTCCTGAAGACGCCTCATGATCCATTTCCGGGTCCAGCTTCTTGTAACTGGAGATTTTCCTACCGTGTAGAGGCACCAAACTATCATATGCCCACCTGAAACACTTGCGTTGGCGGATGAATCGGTAGAGGTATGAGGTTCGGTTTCTGATGATACAAATCCCAAAGACTGCGGGACTGTGGCCAGAATATCGTCACCCAGGGTCATGAGAATTTGGAACGTCTCCTGAAGGGTCATCTCAATTTGCGTCCGGCAATCCGGTGGGAGAGCCGTGGTGAGCGCCTTGGTCAAGAGGTGGCACGTAATCTCGCAGACAACGGCTTGGAGGACTCGCGAGTTGTTCCAGAGTCTTATTGCCCAGGAGGTCTTGTACAGGTCATATCGAGCATTGTAAATGAGATCTGGGTCTCCACTGCAATCTCGAATGGTTGTATACGGTTCTTGTTTGCTAAAGATGCCAAGAACGTATTGGAAGTCACGTTGGAGCATAGTAGCTTCTTCCATGAAGTGTGCCAAGGTCACCGCATCATTGATTGCCGTGGCGGAAACATCCGAAAGAAGATTGACACACCGGGTGGCCATCACTCCTAGTAGCCAGAAGCCACTGGAGGTGTCGGCCTGCTTCGATGCCTCTTCCTGCAACCCAAGCATGTCCCTCGGGAACGGTTCAAGTGTATGGATACAGGCAGCGGACATGTCTGCACGCACTTGATTGAACATGGGAACAGCAGCTGGGCTCGAGAACTGGCTCTTGCCACGCGAAACTACCAGCGCTGCGGCTCCTTTTACATGTCGGAACCATGTCTCAAAATTGGCAACACGCTCAAACAAGCCCAGTGAGATCACTGACATCAAGGTGCTGTCCTTGACAGACTCGACGGGTGAATCCAACGCAGTATTTACCTTATCTATCGCTTCCCAGTATTTCGTGCGCGCCTGCTTGAACAACTCAGGCTGTTGAGTGGAGTTCGCCATCGCTGCAAGGCCTACAGCTGCCATGCTTGCCACCAAAGTTGGATGCTCGCCATCGGCACTATACACTGTCGGCACATAGTTTAGATACCCACGCGCGGGGGACAGACCACCGATGACGAAATGGTACAGGAAATAGTTGACGCCCACCTCGTTAGTGCTGGGACTAGGCCCGCGGGCTGGGGGCAATCTTTTCAGTTTGGTCAAGTTGGCTGCTTTCGCCCATGTTTCCTTAGAACGCTTAATGGTATGGGTGGTTTGGTCATGGAAGACGAGCTCCCATTCATCTCGATACCCCGGACATTCTTCGCGCGTACGAATGCACTGTCCACAATGAGGAAGTTGCTGGTCGCACTTTACCGAAAGAGAAATCCAGCATTGAGCTAGTTGTCACTCGAAGAAAAAAACGAAGATTAATTCAAAGGACACTCACACGTCGCTTGATAGATCGGCAGTTGCCGCAATTCCTGGAAGCTCGTGGGCCCGGTGGCATACCTATCCATCCAAAAGGGAATACGAAGAGGGCAAGGTTCTTGGCAGTTAGGCTTGCAAAATGCTCAAGGGAAACAAGCCTCCTAGCATACCTAACATATGTACCAAATACCCATTCTGTTGGGCTGAGGGGCCAAGACTCAGCCACCCCCCCTCGCTAAGCAACATCCCCGCACTTTTGGGGGCTGACCTAAGAAGATCTGTAAAAAGTACGGAGTATACCTACATGTAGGTATGTCGAGAGCTAACTACGGGCTACTTACCTTGGTAGAGAAAAGGTCCCTTGGGCCTCCTATGTCTACTGCGGAAAGGGTTTAACTTGCCAGAGAGACTCGCTCGCAGCACACAAGTGCGCCTTATCCATGCATCTCCCATGCACCTTAATGCTGACCATGTCACACAAATTTTGCACCCGATGGATGATATATGCGTTGATTGGTGATTGGTGTAACTGATTTTGTTTCTGTACATCGCTCGTTTTCGTCAAACTATGTAGGCTTCTTCATCCTGATTTGCACCAGCCTCGCATCACAGGCTACGCCTATTGAAATATCTATCAAACTCCATTCAATCAACTATAAACGGGCTCTCGAGTTATCATGGAATCGGACTCGACCATTTACACTAATAACGACTTGCTTTCTAAATCTTCCAAGTCTTGCCCAATGCGCCATCTTACATGGTAGCAAAGGGGCTCTAGAAAATGAAAATATCTGGATGCTTGTTGGCTCAAGGTAATACGTCTGCATGGATTTGATTGGATCGATGGTCGAAAATATTTCGACATCTTAGTTTGGACGACCCATGGAACTACCTGCTCGGTGAGAGAATGCGGTCGTCATGAAAGGATTCAGGCCCGGACTTCTGCTCCACTTGCTTTCTAGTTTGCTCGTGATAAAGTTCTACAGCCCAAAAGAGAAGTCCAGAGAATTGGCTTAGAATCGCCAGTCTACCTGCTCATGTATGGAAAATTGGAAAGACCAATATTGTATTAGAAAGATTCTTCATCACTACAGTAATGATCAAGATGCGCGGGGTGATTGAAGTAAGGTAGGGACCGTAGGAGGGCCGGCCCACAACGTCGACCCATGCCCGGGAGCCAATCGGTTCCTCGGTTTTGAAGCAAATTTGTAAGCTTATGTGGTGTGTTCATTATTGGACTAGTTTCTACAAGCTATCCGCAGGAGATATCAAGTAAAGTGGTCGCAGTGATATCATAACTGAAGTGGTATTCGCAGTAGCGACTACCTGAGACGTTCCTGCCTTAACTGCCGCGTGCTAGGCCTCACGAACTAGGAGTCATTATGAAGCCGCGGTTATACTCTGCCCTCGCTAGCCTCTCAGGTCTTGCTGGCCGCTGCCAGCACCAAATCCGAGTGTACGTATGTATTAGACTTCTCCTGTTTCTTACGATAAGCGCCCAGGGTAATCGAGGACAAATTCTTCCTCATCTGTGGTAAGCTCCGCCACAAATCCCGAAGTCAAGCCCTCGTAGCGATACAATCGGTTCTGCTGGAGACATGTATACCGCTGCTCCACCGCGACCGGCTTCAATGCCGGAACCGGTATATACGCAACACGGAGGACTTGCCCTGCACCTTGTTTCAGTTGCAAGCGACGGATCGGGAGGGTATTGGTAAATGGTATTGCAGAAATGTCAATATCAACGCATTCATCAAGTCTAGCCAGGTTTTTCCGTTAGCATTGAGCCACTTTCCTTGGCCGTCTGCACTCAGAACCAGTTTCTGATCAGTTGCCGTCTGCCCAGTTGCCATCAAGAACCACTCGGTAGAATATCCCGTATTTTGCGTCATCCAGAGCCCCGATCACCACGCTCTGTGCGACAAAACCGCCGAGTGTCGTCCGAACCTGAAGATGTTCGAATCCATTTCGGTCAATAGACTCCCATCGTGTTGCCTTGTCCAGGTTGGTCATTCTTTAAGTGGAGTTTTTCCTGGAGTCCTGTTGATATCAGGTGGGCCGGACAAGTAAGGGGGTAGAGCAAGGGTGAAGTGCTTAGTCCAGAAGCGCTTTTCTCTTTTGCCGCCCGATTGGTAACGAAGCCCTTGCGCACGTGAGCGGACGAAAAATTTGCCGCTGTTCTGCTGTTCCTCGTCGTTTCAGGGCCTCGGCGTGCGTAGCGCGCGTCACCAGTTTCGCGCCAAGCCTTCCTCTCATTGGTTGTTGGTTGGATTCCTGATCATGTGCCCCTTTCCCCTCTTTGTTGTCCCTCGCACACATGTGTAGCCTTGTCGCCGCTGGTCTCTCGTCATGCCTTCCTGCCTGATTTAAAAGGATCATCATAGTGTATTGCATTTCGCACCAAATGCCCTTGGCCTTCTGGCGGAGACTTCTTCGCAGGAGCCTGAGATTCTCACCAAGCATCTCCACGAGGCACTTGGCTTGAAGCTCGATACTAGGAACGGTCACATTTACATGACCGATCTTAGTGGCAGCATCTACCAGTGCGACCTGGAGGGCAAGAGGAAGAACGTCATCTATTCTGATGAGCCTCATGCTTTCACTGGAATCGGTCTCATCCTATAAATGAGATTTTTCGAATATATCGGTCGGTTATCAGTCATGTTTGTCCAACATTTTGGTGTTCCTTTTTCGAACGCCAAACAAATATTGATCAGCGAGGGTCCCAAATGCTGTCAGGACGATCAATCCGAGCAATACTGAAATAACCAGAGCTTTCGAGGTGCGCCCGGAACTGCCGGAATTTGCGGGCCGATGCCTCCTTGTTGAATAGGATATCTAGCTCTAAGTAAGTAAGCCCTTTCGGCTCTGGGAGACGGAAATATGCCCAGATAAAACAACAGACAGTAGTGCCAGCGAATAAGAAACAACTTTTACCCCCCAGTGCCAGGCTGTTGGGCTCAGCATGCGCGTTGTGACAACATTGACAATGAGGCTGCTCAAACTATATGCGACGCGAGCGAGGACGACAGTCTTGATTCGCAGGAGAGAGGAGGGTATTTCGGCCACGAGGACATAGCAGGCAGGGCCGATAGTGGTGTCATAAATAAACGTGAACAAGACGATTAAAGAGCCGAGAACCCAAGAAGTGGTCTGGCGTTCCTTTAACGTACCCACTCCGCCTGCAATCATCAAAACAATGAATAAAAGGATCAGACCAAACAGGTACATAGTGCGTCTGCCAATTATGCGCAGCCAAATCCAGGAGAGAATGCCTCCGACTATTCCCGCTCCGAACATTCCAATCCCAACCGTGACGGCATGGGCAGTAGACAAGCCTGCCTGTTCATAGAAATATACTGCATAACCAGTCAAGGCTGCACCACAGAGTGATTGCGTGATCCAGACCATACAGGCAATTTCAGTGCGTCGGAGGTTAGTACCTTTGAAGCAGTTGAGATACGAGGCTCCGCCACCGCTGAGGTATTTTTCTACCTCGTTAGTGTGGCGCAACATAGCCAGTATCCTGTCGATGTCGATACTGTTGCCGGGACCGACTGAAGTCAGCCGAAGAAGGGCCTTTTTCGCCTGCGCATTCCTTTCATGACGTACAAGCCACCCTATAATAGACTTAATAAAAACCTCTCCCCGAATAATGAGAGTTTCACTCACAAGGACTTTCAGGTGCAAAGAGGATCCCAATCAAAATTGGGATCAAAATTGCCCACTGCAGAGCCAATGGAATCCGGTATGACCATTGCGACGGGTCGCTGATGAATATACGCATCATACCAACTCCCACGAGTTGACCGAGGAGCCAGCAGTTGTTAATGTTCGACGTCAGGTAAGCTCGTAAGACAACTGGCAAGACATCCGCCGCGTATGCCATGCTCAACGTTTGTAGGGCCCTGCTCAGAATTAGCAAGGTAATGAGCGGCAACTGCACGTGAAGACACCGATTCCACTAACCCCCAGGGTAATCCGCACAAGACGTAGCCTGCTACGAGCATCTGGATATTTGATGCAAAGACAATCAGGAGCAAAAATAGCGATAAGACAACCAGGCACCCAGCCATGACACGCTGATGGCCAAATCTATCTGTTAGAACGCCATTAAACATTAAACCCAAAATCTGACCCGCGTAAGCTGCATTAACAAGGCCAGCTTGCCACGTAGCAGAAATCTCATAATCTTGTCCACCGGTCGGTGTACCATAGGACTGCCGAAACACCGGAAGCGAAAGAAAGCCATTGATCAAAATAGTTCCATAAGCCTCCAGGACAATCGCCATTGATAGTAGCCCCGACCACGCAATGGCCTTGGGGTAGAGATAACACCCCTGCCGAAAAGTCATTTTGTGCTCAGTGGTGGTGGCGGCGCGTGCCTCCTCGGAAAGAGGTGCTAGGCTGGGAATTGCAGTGGAGATGGAATGAAAGAAGTCATCATGGATTGGAGGCAGTGGGGGTTGTGACTCGATAAGGTCGACTGGCGTGCTATTCAAACTTAGAGGTCCCAAGTGGTAGCTTTGCAGCGTTGTGCCACTCTCCTGTGCCATAGAAACTAATTGGAGGAAGAGTCAGAAGCGTTATGCGAAGGGGCGGGCAAAGCTGCGACGTTTGGGGCTGTGGCAAGTTACTTGAACTGTCTGTTTCACGAGATGCTGCGCTGCTGGAGGTAGGCAAAGCTAGACAAATTGTCCGGTGGGCCGCATATCTGAGAGAGCGTACCGATGAGAAGCAGGGACGAACAGGATGCTCTCTCATATATACTAGATAATGGGCAAACATAATCGGGCCTGGCCAGCGAAGTGGCCGGAGTGGAGTGGAGGAAAGTTAATTGCAAATCCGTGGATCGCATGAAGTCGCCACCCAATTAATTGCAACAGGTTGATTGGTCAAAGAAACTAACAAAGCCCCTCAGAGGGTAATTGGACAAAAGGTTATCTGGATTCAAGTATTTTAAAGAGATATTTTCTCTCGGCACTGTAATTGTGACTAAGCACTCACCTACACCCTTTCCCGGTGTAGGTGAGCCCACACCTATTAACAAACCCATACCTGTTAACAAAAAAATCAACATTTCAATTTTAAACCTATTTTTTACCATCAAAACCATGCCGAATTCCTCCGAAAAAGAAGAGATTCTTCTCTCAAATGCCCTCGAATCCTATAAATCAGGCCAATTTACTAGTATTCAGGCCGCAGCCTCTCATTTTGGCGTCTCAAAGTGGAAGCTTCGAAACCGAAAGGACGGTAGAACAAATGGAAAAGGCCGTGCAGCTACCAAAAAGGCCCTAAATTCCTCACAAGAGGCCTCTCTTATTCGCTGGATTGAGCACCTTAATTCAGTATATACACCGCCAACTGCTATCGATATTGAGGGTGCTGCGAATCGTCTTTTACAACATTGTGGTTCCGACCGGCAGGTTGGCAAAATGTACGGCTATCAATTCATTCAACGCCTACCACCCCATATTACTCTACGCACACAAAAACCAATGGAAAAAGCAAGGATTGAAGCTGAATTACACAGTGATTTAGTTCATTGGTACCAGGTTTTTGGCCAGTTTCTTAAAAAGAATAAAATCCAGGCCCATGAACTATACAACTGGGATGAGACTGGCTTTCAGCTTGGTATTGGAACCAAGGAAAATGTTGCTTCCACCCGTAAATATGAGACTATTGCGACCGGTGGAATAGGCCAGAATATTACCGGCATTGAATGCATCTCTGCCGATGGCTGGGTTATGCATCCATGGTTTTTAATGCGTGGTTCCGAACAAATGGAAGATTGGTTCGATGGCGATGATGATCCTACCAACTATAGGGTTATTAAACCAACTGCTAAAGGCTGGACGGATGATAAAACTGCTATTCAATGGCTATTAGATTTCCATTATGCCACTAAAAAGCGAGTCGCTAAAGGCAGACCTAGGATTTTGGTTATGGATAATCATGGGTCTCATGGAACCCCGGAATTCGAACATATTTGCCAAAGCTTCAACATTATACCTTGGTGGTTTATACCAAAGTTAACACATCGATGCCAGCCTCTTGATGGCAAGCCATTCTCAGTTCTTAAACAAAAATTCCGAAAAAAGAACAATGAGATTGTACGATGGGGTGGAGATGTTGATGATAAACGACATTTTCTTCGAATGATCAAAACAGTTCGCAAAGACACCTTTAAGGCACAGACTATTAAATCATCATTTCGAGATACAGGTCTTTGGCCTTATGATTTACATATTGTTTGTGATCAAATTGATCCTGGCTGGGAAGATGAACCAGTCCTTGAGATATATGGTCATACGCCGTCACCAGACCGTGAATTTCCCAGTTCGGCAACGAATTCGCCGCCTAATTCAGATCAAAGATTCTCAAAGGTTGAGAATAAGGTTCAATTGATACTCGAGAACGATGAACCAGACCTTCCAAAGCTTCAAAAGCATATAGACCGTGCAATTCGTGGTGGTAAGCAGGCTATCCAAGACCTAGCACTTGCAAAACAAACGATAAAAAGGATGCAAAGCCACAAAATTCCTATCAAAAAATCTAAGCGCATGGTAAAAGGTGCTGCTAAGAGTCCATTATCATCAATTGCAGGCAATTCGAAGGTGTATCGGCGATGTACGAAGGAATCTAAATTGGATATTCGGCATGAGGCTGGGAACGCAAGGATTCGAGACTACTGGCATCGCGCGAATCAGGCTCTCAAAGAAAAAGAAGAGGCATCAGGGGATAGAGATTATCTTGATGTTAATAGTGAGCTATTTAGATATGTAGATCCAGATGGTATGGTGGCTGAAAAATAGGTTTAAAATTGAAATGTTGATTTTTTTGTTAACAGGTATGGGTTTGTTAATAGGTGTGGGCTCACCTACACCGGGAAAGGGTGTAGGTGAGTGCTTAGTCACAATTAGATACACAACTGATGTGTTGCAAACCGACGCAAACGTCATGTGATCAATTTTTCTCATCCAACTCTGCTTTGCGCCTAGTCCTCGTCTGTGGAATAGTCGGGAATTTGGGACATCCTAGACCACGATCATGCTCAGTGAGCAAGAGCATGATCCGCCCTGAGCAGACCCACTTTCAGGAGTTTTCCTGTACACATGGCGTTACTGCGACAGGCTTGGATGGAATTGAAGCGTTCCCCGAGATGCACCAGATCTCGGGCTAATTGGAATGGCAACTAAATCAATTCTTCAGTCAATAATATTTACCTGTGCTTGATTGTTATTTGTCTGTACAAAAACTGCTATTCAGCTGGGTAGTCCGATCCTCTGCCGACCTTTGGAACCTAGACTCCTTGTCGCACCCTTGGAAAATTCTTCGCTGTGCGAGAATAATGGATCCCTTAATAAATTAAGGGCTCAAATGCCTGCAAAATCACACTCGTTCTACATAGAGTAAATGTGGTACGTTGAACTCAAGGGGCAAACACCCTACACTTTAAGCGCAGCAAATCTGAAGCATGATGAGCGTCCTTCTTGGCTGTTCTGGCGAAAACCTAATACCTGTACAGCCAGCTGTACAATGAAACAAATAGTTACATTACAGTTATAGGTTATATGGTCCGCACCGCCACAGCTGAGCTGAGCAAAAGGACTTAGTAACTACGGAGAGTAATGTAACGTACCATGTATGTTTTGATTTGTATTATATTACAGCTTCTGAGTGATCTGCCAAGTATTGACTTTCCAGCAATCTGAAACAATCTGCTATTTCAATCATCCTTGTAACTCCATAAAAGTATATTTTAGATCAACAGCGCTGCCAAGCGTGCCAAGCCTAGGTTGGGAATAGATAAGAAGGTACAATCTCGGTGATTAAGGTGAAATATATGAAATATATGGAATTGATGTGACATCCGAGCCAACGCTGGAAGAAAGTTCAGCCAAGGCCACCTGCCTGGGCAATCATCCCCAAGGTTGCTTCCATGGGACTGACTTGCCAAAACTCTGGAACGAATGGGGAAAGGTTAACCCACTGAACTTTTCCCATCCGGGGTTACCAAAGATTCGAAGGTTCTAAGATCAAATGATGATATTCGTGTTGTAAATATAATCCTTCGTTCGACATAAATTTTCTAAATGCCCCAGTATCTTTCAAAGGATAATTGAGAATCCTGCCTAGATCATTGGCAATTACTTCTTTCATCTTTCAATTCTCGCAGCCCGTGAGTCTTGGGCATCCCACGTACCTGGGGAGGTGTCCTTGGTGGACTGTCTGCATTTTGTAACGCTGAGCAGGAGGTTCAAGCATGGAATATGAGTGACTTTTGTTCGGTTTTAGATTTATAGAATAGACTCGTTGGAAAGGATATATTCCCTGTGTTTTCATTAATTCATCGCGCAGAAGTGGCGTGAAATTTCGTCTGGCCGGCCACCATTGAATTGCCTCAAAATTATCACACTCTGGCTCGCGGAAAACCTCTAGAGAAAGAATAACCGCCCCGGATCCATCCTGCTTCGTGAAAAAGCCAGATTCAGAAAATGGCGTGTGGCTCACACTCTCATAGGTTTCTGCTCGGTGTCCTCCTGGGATACTGGAGTAAGCTTCACGAAGTCTTTCTCCAGCACAGCTGATATTCCCAAGGCCATAGTGACGCTCATGGCAATGATTTCCTCCAGCACAGCCATGCACAGGTAGACAGTGGCATTTCCATCAAGAGAAAAGGCTTCAATGCTAGTGTAGTCACTGAGCGCTGAGTAGAGGAGTCGAACAAACAAGAAGGGAGAAGAAAGGGCAATAGCAATAAACAGCTTCTTTTGGAATCTTCGCAGTGAAAAGCTTAGCTCATAGAATAGCCAAATACTGAGGAGAATGAAGATGACGAATACGGCTAGGAATATTCCCATGGCTGACTTTGCGAGCGTGCCAGGCTTGTAACCACCATTACTGTCGTCGGCAGAGCTGACTCCCGCGATACCGAGAACGAGGCCGATGAAGGTGACAATAGTCACTAATTTCATGGGCTTGGGAGGCATTATTTCATCCATATCACTAGAATGATGACTATTAGTCTCCAACCCCAGAGATATTAAGACCTTCGCGGTCGCCAACTCACATTTGTCTCAGCAGACCGATAAACGTTAGCAAAAGGGGCGCAATACCAATCAGCTGGCACACTGCTACGGCAACTTCTATACCATGGGAGTTATGGTTGATTGACAACAACGAAGAGATACTGCCAGCAATTCGGATGAGAGAGAGGGTAACGGCATATCGCCAGATCTTGCTGCCGACTCTCCAGCCCGTCCTCTTCCAAATGAAAATGGCAGCAACGAGAATAATGGGAAATATGATGAGCTGAAGAAGAGCAATGCCGTTCCAATAGCTTAGAGCACCCATTGTGGTAGTAATGGAGAGCAGTAGACGAAGAAGAACAAGAAGAAGAGAAGGAAGTCGTTGAGGTATGGTAAAGTGTGATTGAAAATGGAACAAGGCTTGTTGAGTGGCATTTGTAAAACAGAAATCTGGTGCCATTTATGTACTTCGGAATGTTATTGACGTTATCCTTGCCTCAAGCCCACAGCCTCATTCTGGACGTCATCAGCTATAGTGAATGTGTTCTTGGGCCTTCAAGATGGCCGTGTTGACTGGCCCAGCATCTCTGCTACCCGATGAGGACAAGCGTGTGCGGGAGAGCGGTGATGTCCAACCAATTGCCACACTCAATCTTCATCCTTAAGTGATTGGGGGCCAATCCGATGTTTCTGAAATAGGCAAGTCAAGTGCAGATCCCAACGTGTCCCATTAACTTAACGACGATAATCCTTTTTTTATTAAAATATCACATTTTATACACATACGAGTAGCTTTCGGAATATACACTCAGTTCATTCAACCCCCACTCTCGCACTCTGTAAGCGAATCGGATCGCTCATATAATGATTATCAGCGGGTCCGTATGAGATACCTACTTGGGTAAGTAGTGCTGGACCTGAGGTCGGGAGTCACTGCTGCACGAGACGAACCAGACCGTGTTCTGTTCTAAATACCTCGCAACAACCAGCCATCACAAGGATACGATGTCGTGACAGAGAGAGCATTTGCCAATTCCATCAATAGAGTATGTTGGTGGCTGGAGTTGCAGCTGGGCTCGCAGACTATCTACCTATATGGATTATCTACTTCCTCTGGAATACTTCACCTAATTTTCCCTATCACTTCTGCCTAACGAAGCCATTTTATAGCTGATTTAAAAAGATCATCGATTAAGTATAGTTACTCGGGATTGCGGGGTGGATACTTTTAGTGCTTAGCAGTTGTCGGGGGCTAGTCAATAGTTACTACTTACTCGGGGGCTAGGTTTAGATACGAGCCTAAGAGATCGTCGGTGAGGTATTTTTGCTATTAGATATTTATGATAGGGCGCAGCACCTCTAGTCACTAGGCAACTAAGGTATAATAGAGTAGGGATCACAACTAGAAAGCTCTGGAGAGGTGAGTCACGGGGAATTGGCGACGTAGTAAATCATTGAATCGAGAATAAGGGGAAATGATCGAGAGCAGACAAGAGGATAATCTATTTGTAAACCGAGTAGGCTATGAAGACTGAAGCCGTGCAACGTCCTCACACAAGCACCGAAGAGGCCAAATAAGTTCGATCCCAACGGTGAAATGTGAAGGCAACAAGGGCTTAGCCGTAGTTTGTGACTGAAAACAAGAAGGGATAAGGGCGGGTGGGACAAGTGAGTTGTCCGATTGGGCGTGTGAAATTTCAGGGGCGCAGCGATGAGTGCAAGATAGAGAGTTAGGAAGAATGTAAAGGTGAGAGAAGGTGAGGACGAGCGGCGAAGACGGGTCTTTTATGTCGGAGGGCATTGAAGGGAGGTTACGAGACGGCGTATTGGGGTGCTAAACCCAAAAAGGCAATTCACAGGTCCGCCGTTTACAAAAAGTTTATCTCTTAGATCTTAAGTACATATGTATTAAAATGAGACTAGCAAGTCGAAATTAATACTCCGTAGTTACTATGTACATAGTAGCGGATAAATACACATGCAATGCCTTATTCGTCGCCCTATACTCGACCGCGGGTGGCCAAAATCCGTGAACGGGTCGCCCCGCCCCCCGACCCATTACCGGATTTTGACGTCTAATCACTCACTAAAAACAGACATTCCAATAGCTTCTAAGGTTCTCCTATTATGTACGTCTCCGTTTGGTAAATCATACAATTTGTGATGGGCGTATGCCAACGTGCTATGATGGTGAAAGTGACACCCAATAAAAAAAAATCCAATGTGCCAACGATAAAGCTGCTGGTCGGCGGATTGCATTTTCTTTCATTGAGAGTTAGCAATTTTCCCAATAATTTCCGAGGTACTACTTGCAAAGGTAAAATTTGTTGTTGAAAGAAACCCAGAAAAATGTGTAGTTGAATGAAAGATGTGGCTGAAAGAGATCCTTGAGTGAATACGACCTATAGGCCAATTGAGGGCGTAGAAGCATCCCATCGATGGAAAAAATATGATCTCTCAGAATTATACCCCTGTACTCTATTGAATTCAGTATGTCTCGTTTTTGGGATAAAGTAATGATCATTGTAAGAGCCGAGTCGTTCGAAAGACCCAGCAACGGTAACACGTGGAGCGGGATCTGGAATGAATCACGTCGTGGATTTGAATTTGGCCTGAGATAAGGCTCGCTTTGTGGAACACCAACAAGACTATTCTGAGAGTGCGCATGTTGTAACACAACATATATGGGATTCTGCCTTGAGAGGCCCCAAATTGATAATCAACATTATCGGCATTAGTGCCAAAAGGAGCTAGATCCCTGCAAAGTTGCAAGCCTCAATTAAGATGTGGAATGATCCTACTACATAGGGATTAAGTACATCATTGGCGCTGGGGCCTGAGTCTCACTGCTGTCACCGCTGCGGTTCATTGCATCTAGAAGGATCTCGCTTATTTGGAACAATGATTGAACTACTCCATACTCGTACAGAGTACGGAGTATCCTCATCTAGTTCCTAATAGCAAGATTGCAGGCAAAAGTCTCGAAGAGTAGGAAGCTATTGACCTCGGGAGTCTGGATGATTATTGCCTTTTCCGCCAGTATGAGGAGTCTGTTACATACATGTAGTAGTTCCATGATGTACAGAAATGAAGCAAATATTACGCACCCTGAATTGTCCCTCTGTAATAATAGACTCAATGATATTTACGCTCTGCGGTATATACTTGTTCATACTTGTTTACGGCCCCTACGTAACATCACAATACCGGCCATATACTTACAAGTCCAAATGTACTCACTCGCAGGTGAACCTTAGAAGCTAGAAGAGCCAGTCAGCTAACCTAGTTAGCCAAGAAAGGCAATCCGACTAGATTGAACTTTCCGTTAAATTGGCCTGATGAGCTGAAAGATGCCGACCTAAGGCAGGAACGTCCACACTGTACTTAATGCACCTCTCGCCCACTGGTACCATGCCCTAACTTCTATCTGCATGGTATTAATAGTCAAGCCTCAAATTCATTCTCTTTGTTTTCTATGGCTCTTTATGATTTGTTTGTCAATCACTATACCGAAACATCAATCCAACTTCTACATTTATCCGAAGGATAAAAACACATCATGTTTCGCTCTCTGCGCCGATTTCTTTGCTTTTCCTCTTCCAAATCATGTGAACCTACTGATTCCACGACACATGGCACGGAAAATGTGGAAGAACCCATTCGCTTGAGGCCTACTGGCAGAACGATTGCTCAAGCACGAGTTGCCAGTCCCTGTCTGGAGGGGCTTGGCAGCGTACAGTCCAGTACTCCTTCAGTTTCTCCCTCGAGCTGCGATAGTAGCACACAAACCGAGTCTACAAATGCCTCAGATGGCGAAACCAGAGCAACGACATTATCAAATATCACTGGAAACACTTCTACGCCCCCCGAAACACCTACCAAGCCTACCTCCACATCGAGATTGAACACAATCACACCGTATACCCCCATCCTGCAGCCAGATGGCACTCTGCGGGCCCCGCAGATTACATTCGATGGCTATGGCTCCTATGGGGGCCGGTTTGCCCCTGAATCTATAATGAGATTCCTATACGAGCTGACATCATTCTTCGAGGCTATCGTCTCAGACCCTTCGTTCTGGGAAGAATATGCCACGTTCCAGCGTGCCCGTGTCACGCCACTGCACATGGCTGGGAAGTTAACCAGCCTGGCAGGAGGGGCTACCATCTGGCTGAAGCGAGAGGACAAGAACGAATACGGCAGCCACAAGACCCGCAACATCATCGGTCAGCTCCTGCTGGCTCGCCGTATGGGCCGCTCTGAGATCGTGACGGATTGCGCCTCTGCCAAACATGGCAAACTCACCGCTGCAATGTGCGCACGCCTGGGATTGCGCTGTGTGGTCGTCATTGGTGCAGATGACGCTAGTGCCCAGGAGCAGGACGTGCTCGAGATGAAGTCGCTCGGCGCTAAGGTACTGACGGCTCGAACCCCCTCCGGCATGGGAAGTCTGCGTGCTGCTATCACAGAAGCCCTGCGATATGCGGTCTGCAATCACGAAGCTGCGTACTACCTCATGGGTAGCCCGGTGGGTCCCAGTCCCCTGCCGACCCTGGCTCGCACGTTCCAAGCCCTTCTAGGCGAGGAGGTTGCAGCCCAAATGCACGAGGCAGCAGGTCGCCAGCCGGATGCCCTCGTCACCGCCGTTGGCAGCGGTAGCGGTGCAATTGGTCTCTTCAGACCGTTCCTTCATGACTCATCTATTCGTCTGGTTGGCGTGGAAGCCGCGAAGGCAGCTGCCCTGACAGATGGTGGGCTTGGGGTACTTCAGGGTGCCCGTACTCTCCTGCTCCAAAACCACGATGGCCAAATCCTTGACTCGCATTCCATTTCACCAGACATGAACTTGTCTACTGTGGGCCCTGAGGTCGCCCATTGGAAGGACTCTGGCCGAATTGAAATTTCCACGGCTACCGACGCGGTTGCCCTGGACGGATTTAGAACCCTTCAGCACCACGAGGGGATCTTGCCTGGTCTTGACTCGAGTCACGCGGTAGCCAAGGCACTGGATCTCGCTAAAGAACTTGGCCCGGGTAAGAATGTGGTTTTGATGGTGACTGGATGTGATAATATTGGCATACGTGGGTTGAAGATCTGAGTTTCTTGAAGCGCAAAAGAACGAGTTATGATTATCACTGATTTCTTTTCTCTTCTTGTTGGGAATAACCAAATTCTCTCTCATTAATGGCGTTGGGTTTCCTGCTTTCATTTGTCTATATCCTAGACGTCTTCCTGTATCATATTTTTAGTTCCTTCCTTGTTACGAGTTAATGATATGCCCCAAGACTATTAGTACTTGAGATCCTTGCCCTCTTTTAGCAAAGATCCTCTCTTACGTTAAGTGGCTTTTTTTTTACGAGCTGGCTGATGCCATGTAGGTTTTCCTTCCCTGCAGTGTGTGTTCATTGTTTGACTGCCACTCATCTTTGCTTTTTCCATGAGAATAGACTTTCTTCACCCCTATGTTGTAGTGTATTCCCCCAATGAGACAGAATGAGATGGCATGTCAAAATCCAGTATATTCCAAGGTTCTTTTTAACTTTTTGTCATCAATCATATCGGTATATCGGTTTATCGGTATATCATGTACAGTAAAGCCCAATAGAGAAACCAAACATCATAATTCAATCCTCATGTGTGACCGACATGTCCAGAACCTCAACCCGGCCTCTTCCGCGGGTCTCATTGCTCACCAGTTCATTCAATCCCTTAAAGGCACCGGGCTCAGCAAAGCCAACAATCTCCCATTCATCTCCACCAACGACTTCTTGCGATTCAACCGATTCGATGAAAGCCATGATTTTGTCCTTGACAGTACTCGGGGCCTTGGGAGTAGCTTCCACATCAGACTGATCAGCCTCGATGTCTGAATCATCCCTCTTAGCAGACTTCTTCGATCCCTTATTCCCCTTCTTGTTGTTCTTTGAGCCACCGGAGGGGGCTTCCTTCTCCTTATTCGACGTGGCACCTGGGGCAGCCTTGACAGATTGCTTCAGTAGGGACACTGGGCATGTCACACGAAGACGCATGCGAGCCCGCATAACGGGGATCGGCTGCCAAGCGATGAGAGCCTTCATGGCATCCAACGCTTGACTCTTCGCCGAGCGGTTCGCCGAAACTCCCGTCCAGAGTGGCTTCTTCGGTTGAGAGGGTTTCTCTTCGCTATCTCCATTCGCTTCCCCGCTCGCTTGTGTCTGTTGTTGTCCGCTGGCCGAGGTTAATTGATCCAACGCCTTGTGGATCATTCCCGATGTGTACACGCGCTTGGTTGAGGGGTCGACTAGTCGCCCCGATACAATATCCAGTACTTCCTTCTCTACTCGCTCTAGGATGTCTTTGCGCTCACGCTCGCCGACTTGCACTTCGCCTTTACGGAGGATCTCTTGGAGGATTTCCTCTCGTGGGGTACCGGTCCCGAAGGCTTTTGCTAGCTCTGCTGATGGGGCGGTTTGTGCTTTGGAGACGGAGAGGAATACGGTTGGGACTTGGAGGACATTGTCGAGATCTTTTTCAGCGCCGGATCGGTATTCGAGCAGTTTGTTCTTGTAACAGGCGAGTTCAAAGCGCTTCTTGCCTGTATTGATATAATAGGTTAGAAAAACCAAGGCGATATAGATAAGACAGCTATGTACCCTTTTTTAGTCGGACTACCGACACGTTGGTGAATTTGATCTGGTTGGAGGGTTGGTTGATGGGCATTTTGGGTGTGTGAAGCCGCTGAGGCCTGGTTGCTTCAGTGAGGAAAACAGAGACCAGAAAATGTGGCGATATTCAAGATATGTTTTGGGATACTATTTCCAAAAGAATGACACCGTCAAGATTGAAGGATATATGTAGGCTGAGTACAAAGTATCAAAAGTTGATTTGCGTCAGGAAATCTACCCAAAAAGGCTTAGTCGACAAGCTCGTGCCCCTCGCAACCTTGGAACCCCGTGACTCATGCTGACTCATCCTGGTCATGGGGTCGGACCCCCTCTTGCGGTCATCTGATTGGCTCGGCCGTCTCGTCTTATCGACCTTCCCGGCGTCATCGGCCCAGGGACCTGCTTCTCCTCATCTCACAAGCGCAGGACATCACCGTCTTGCTTCATCGAACTCCTCGCCTTTATTTCAATTATCAACTATCTTGCGGTATCATCAAAGTGTAGGTGACAATCTTCCTTTGGCTTATTTTTGAGAGCCATTCCCGCAACAGGTTACTGATAAGAGGTGCCTATCTCCAGACCCCAAGGTACCCGCTCATCATCACCAACTCATCAGCATCATTCTTGCTGTGAAATCCTTAAACACAGTTATGAGAGTCCTGTCCGCCACTCTCTTGGCGGGAGCTGCTTCGGCCGCCACCCCGCCCTTCCAGCAGGTGCTCGGAGCTCACAGGGAGTATGCGGAGAACGTAGCCCAGAAGGGTGCGGATGCATTCAAGCCTCTGCAGCACCTCCAAGACCAGTTCAAGTCTCTCTCTGGTGAGGCTCGTCAGCTCTGGGAGGAAGTCTCTAACTACTTCCCGGAATCCATGGAGAGCGCTCCCTTGCTTTCCCTGCCCAAGAAGCACACCCGCCGCCCTGACTCGCACTGGGATTATCATGTCAGTGGTGCCGAAGTCCAAGACATCTGGGTCTCTGGTGCTGAGGGCACCAACGAACGTGAGGTTGATGGCAGGCTGGAGGACTACAACCTCCGCGCCAAGAAGGTTGACCCCAGCGCCCTCGGCATTGATCCCGGTGTGAAGCAGTACAGTGGTTACCTAGATGACAACGAGAACGACAAGCATCTGTTTTACTGTGAGTTTGGAAAATGTCCGTTTATTATCTAGAGTTTATCTAACCTCCGAAAGGGTTCTTCGAGTCTCGCAATGACCCCAAGAACGACCCTGTTGTCCTGTGGCTGAACGGCGGTCCCGGCTGCTCGTCCCTCACCGGACTTTTCATGGAACTTGGACCCAGCTCCATCAATTCTAAGATCAAGCCTATTTATAATGACTTCTCCTGGAACAACAATGCCTCTGTGATCTTCCTGGACCAGCCCATTAATGTCGGCTACTCCTACAGTGGCTCCTCCGTCAGCGACACTGTTGCTGCTAGCAAGGACGTCTATGCTCTCCTCACATTGTTCTTCAAGCAATTCCCCGAGTACGCTACACAGGACTTCCACATTGCTGGCGAGTCCTACGCTGGCCACTACATCCCTGTCATGGCTTCGGAGATTCTCTCCCACAAGAAGCGCAACATCAACCTCAAGTCTGTTCTCATTGGCAACGGCCTCACCGACGGTCTTACTCAGTACGAGTACTACCGCCCCATGGCCTGCGGTGAGGGTGGTTACCCCGCTGTTCTGGATAAAAGTACCTGCCAGTCCATGGACAACTCCCTGTCCCGCTGCCAAAGCATGATCCAGTCCTGCTACAATAGCGAGAGCCCCTGGGTTTGCGTCCCCGCCTCGATCTACTGCAACAACGCCATGCTTGGCCCCTACCAGCGCACCGGCCAGAACGTTTACGATGTTCGTGGCAAGTGTGAGGACACGAGCAACCTGTGCTACAAGGGCCTGGGCTACATCAGCGAATACCTTAACCAGGAAAGCGTGCGCGAGGCTGTCGGTGCCGAGGTTGATGGCTACGACTCATGCAACTTCGACATCAACCGTAACTTCCTCTTCAATGGCGATTGGTTCAAGCCTTACCACCGCCTCGTGCCCGGTCTCCTTGAGCAGATCCCCGTCCTGATCTACGCCGGCGATGCTGACTTCATCTGCAACTGGCTTGGCAACAAGGCCTGGTCCGAGGCTCTTGAGTGGCCTGGCCAGAAGGAGTTCGCTTCCGCCAAGCTTGAGGACCTCAAGATTGTGCAGAACGAGCATGTTGGCAAGAAGATCGGCCAGATCAAGTCCCACGGCAACTTCACCTTTATGCGTATCTTCGGCGGTGGCCACATGGTTCCCATGGACCAGCCTGAGTCTGGTCTGGAGTTCTTCAACCGCTGGATCGGTGGCGAGTGGTTCTAAACACTCGACCGAGGTGCTCTGATATAATGCGTTGATGAATATATCATTACACTGCGTGTTATTGATTTTGTGACTTGCTGTTTGCGTACAATTTGACACCGAATCATCCGGGAAACTCAGAAAGGCCGTATACTCGGTGTCATGTGTTTTCCTGCTGATTTTCGGTGATTTGGCTTCTGTTTAGTATATACGACTAGACAACTTTTGAATTCAAACAATTTTGGATAGACTTGAACATCGAGTATAAACAGTCATAGAGCGTAAAGGTCGTAGAGCTTGATGTACATATATTGAGTGTAGTGTAGACCTCCATGGATGTATGAGTTATATGAGTGCGGGTGTGGTGATAGGCGTAGATAGGCGCAGATGGACGGATATATTAATCTCAGTGCCCCATAGTTGTTGATCGATGGCTTAGGCCTTGTCCCACACCGACGGTCTAGGACATCCTACCCCACAGCAAGGTATTCTCCGAAGTATACCATGGAGCCTTGCAAGATATTCTACCCTACGAGGGCCGAGGATTGAGACAGGATCATAAAGTGGGCAAATTGATCCACAATAGATGATCCCATCAAAACCTAGGGCCGAGAGCAAAGTACACATATCGAAAAGATCGGTTCATTTCATTGGTATGGTTCATTTTCAATTTTTTGACAGCGGGGAAAAGGTCCCACGAGTGCCCATAGAAACACACCGGAAATAACGGAATCCCTCCAAGAACCCCCGGCAAAAAAACGAACAGAATGATTTAGCCCTTCTTCTTGCTGACACCGACGGTGCGACCGCGACGACCAGTGGTCTTGGTGTGTTGACCACGGACACGGAGGCCCCAGTAGTGACGCAGACCACGGTGGGAGCGGATCTTCTTGAGGCGCTCAAGATCCTCACGGAGCTTGGAGTCGAGACCGTTGGAGACAACCTGGGTGTCCTTGCCATCGGTGATGTCGCGCTGTCTGTTGAGGAACCACGAGGGGATCTTGTACTGAGTAGGGGTCTGGAGGATGGTCACGATGCGCTCGAGCTCTTCGGTGGTGAGCTCACCAGCACTATAGAAAGTGTCTTGTCAGCTTTGCCGGTCTTATGATATTTGTGCGATTGTTGTGCGATATTCCGTGTGTCGATTCAGGTCCAAACTGCCCCATTCTCTCTTTCAAGGTTTCCTCCAATGACAAACGGATAGGAATGATTGCATATTCGATGGGGGTTGTGGCGAACGTACCGCTTGGTGAGGTCGACATCGGCCTTCTTGCAGACCAGGTTGGAGTAACGGCGACCGACACCCTTGATCTGGGTCAGCGCGTACATGATCTTCTGCTTGCCGTCAACATTGGTGTTGAGCAGACGCAAGATGAACTGGAAGTTCGTCTTCTCGCCGGTCACGAGCGCTGTTATCGAGAAATTCCATGTTAGCCAACATTCAATTTCGAGAACCGCCGTCTCCGCCACCGTTTCCTGGGCTTCTTTTTTTGGCAAATTCGTGGTTGTATATCATATAATGCTCTCAGATTGAAAGGAGGGGTCGTCACGTACACATGATGGGCGATGGGCGAGGATCGCGATGGGTTGTCGACAGAGGGATGGAGAGAGGAAGTCCAACTGAGTGACTTTGCTTGTGGGATCGGGTAATTGGGGCGCTAACCTGATTTGGACGAGGGCTCGCTTGTTATGGGCTAGGCCTAAAATGGCTAGTCCATATAGTAGATCATGTGAAGTCACATGAGTGTTAATTTCAGTGTTAGATTCAGGTAATTAGCTCTGTTATTTACGCGTATCTTACCCAAAGCCCTGACAGACGGCTTTGTCTCCCTCGACATGAAACTGTGACGAACCCAATTCTTGGAATTATCAGCCACTGTTAAAGTGTTTCTTTGTGCTTCGAGTAATCTTTCATGAGGTCCAGATATTGATTTGCTGTGTGCCACTGTCATCTCTTGTCACTTGTTTTTTTTTTTTTTTTTTTTTTTAAAGAACTTTGATTGAGCCATTCCATCGCGGCTCTAAGTCTATTGGCACTCGCAGGCCCATACATTATTTGGCCCATATATATAATTCGGGCCGGACGACGCTAGAAGTTTCCGTTTCTTGCTTTTGGGGACACTTCAAGGATTTCTACCTCAATACTGAACACTTCCGCAATTTGATAGTCATTTCTAGACTCGGGTGAGGTTGACTCACGGCCAAACAAGATAGCATTCTCTACCTGCACTGGATCTGGAACCCCAATCTATGCCGCCTTCGATTTTGATAATTCATGTTCTTTGTTTTGTCAAAGGAACCCCAGAGCCCCACTGTTGTTGATATCAGAAGTGCATTTCTATTTTTACTCGGTTCTTTGATATCCTCTGGATTTGACCTCGACCAAGGTATGAGCTAATGTGACAAATATAGAATTCCCCACGCCCATGCTGCCCTGGCCCTAAACCTTGTTTGGGGATCCAAATGCTTTGTTCATCAAGAAACAGGATGTTACCATGGGTATTCGATCCGGGGCGCTCGGGGTGTTCTTTCACCTCGTGCTTACCATCTACAATATGGCACTCTATTTCTTTCGGTTGGCAAAGATGGCATTGAAGCTGGCACATTGGACAATGGATGTTCCTCGTTGTCCATTAAAGGACTTGGTTCGCACCGTTTCGCACCGTTTCGGCCTTTGGTTGATAGTTTCCAAGTTCCTCATACCAATATAGGACATCCCCAATATCAGGATATTGCTCTTGATTGAGCCCGTTGAGGCAGATTTTCAGACCTTCCTCCCTTCACTATCAGTTTGTCGAGATGAGTAATTTCTCTCCGCTCGAGATTCCTCCCCTTTCCGACTTTCCGTCGAAGCCGGAGGAACTCGACCACCCGCCGCCGCCCTTACCTCTTTATGATTTCACCCGTCTTCCCAATCCACCTGACGACTGGGAACATTTCAATGTCAAGTTTGGGACTGTTGCGCAGGGTCATAGTCGTTCCTTGAAGCTCCCGCAGGTGCAAGTGTTATTGAAGCATTACTTCTGGGGAATTCATTATGAGGAACTGACTAAGACCCCAATGACAACGAGAAAGAAGCAAAGTCTCAAGGTTCAGCAGATGATTTTGTTCAAACTCATCTACTACATGCAAGAACGTCATCGCCCGAAGACTTGGTTAGATATGCTAAATGTTAACCGAGATACTGGACCACGACTCTTGAGATACGACCTCAATCCGCGCCCAAAGCCACTCAGTAGATGGTACAATTCTCCTCCGGATGTGAGCACACATATCTTGAATGCGTACATACGTCCTCATGACGCGCCACCAGACATGCCCGACTACCTTATTCAACAGTATATGTACTCAGTTGACAGCTTGCACACACCACCCCCACCTCCACCACCTCCGGCGCCAACACTCTCTGCGCAACAAGATGAAATCCTTCGTATGCATCTGTTGCACCACATGAACCCAGGAGTCCAGTTTTCACCGGCCTATTCATTGACAGATCCGCCGGGGAAGAAGATACCGGACCCTTCACCAGGCCAAAAACGGGGTTCAGATGGAAACAAGGAACCCCGTCGCAAGCGCTCGAGACAAATTTCACCCGGTGCTCCTGCTTACCGAGGTCGTCCTCGTTCCCCAACTCCGCCGTTTCAAGAGCCCGTCTTTGCTGCTGACGATATCACAACTTTCACCTGGACACCTGGTCTGGCACCTTCCCACACAGTGGCCCCTATTGGAAAGCACCAATTGAGCCCCGTTATCCCGAAACCCTCAGGCCCGCTTGACACGCGCGCGATTACGGACGCCGTGGAACGAGCTGTGATGCAGATCGTGTATGCAGATCTGGACCGTGATCCAACCATTCCGTCTGCTGAAAAGCCCATTCGCCACCGGACCGCCCAGTCTTACAAGGATATGCTCAAGCTGAAACTTGGATCATTCCCCACCACGGCGAATGTGAAGTTGTCGCCATTGACCTTTGATTGGGATCCAAATGGCACCTTGTTTCCGGTCCGGGGCCGCGGCCCTATCTGGGATTCAATGTCTTGTGCAACAGATGCTGTTATTGTAGCGGGAATGCTACTCGACGCTGGTTGTACCAAGATAGATCGCGCAAACAATCGAGCAGCTGAGTTCAAAGATATCGAAAAAGCATTCATCGAAGTGACAATGGCGAGCTGGGAGACCTTTGACGAGAAGACTTCTATATTTGTGCGTGACGAATGGCTCCGTATGTTCATCGATGGCTCACCCGACTTGAAAATGGGACAACCGATTCCTCCCTGGGCGGTATGGTCAGTGGCAACGAGAAGCTTCGCCCAATTCCGCTATTTCCACGTTGAGCGAGTGACTCCTTGCAAATGTCAACTCGCGATTCCGTTCTATAACTCCCATCAAGGGTCCTGCATTTTACCTGGCTACCAACAGGGCGATGAAAAAGGAGTAGAACTGCAAGTGTTGATCGAGCGATGTTTCTACCCACGAAAGTCTTTCAGATGTGTTAAGTGTGGTGATCCGGCGGGAGTTACTGGAGAACGAAAGATCGGTCAACTCCCGCTGCGTCTGGTGGTAACATCTGATATCAAGACGCGAATCCGAAATCACACGGAGAATCTCCGATTCAATTACATAGACTATGAAGACAAGCAGCAGGTCGCACACTATCGTTGGATTGGCGGCATCTATAACAACGAATCCCATGCTCGTCTGTTTTGGACAGATACGAAACGAGGCGAGAAAGATGACGGGAATATTATGATGTACGACAGCCAAGTTAATTCCGGGGTTCTTATCGGTGGAATCCCAGCATTTCAACGCGAAGAAAAAGTACCCACTGAATGGGTCAACCATCATGCTATTCCGCTCCTTTTCTATGAGCGAATCATGAATCCCACCGTTGACCTTTTGGCAAAGGCCAACAACGCGATGTTGGAGCTGGGCAATTGCGTGAGCGAGAACAAGAACGTTCTCGAAGAGCACATCCCTTGGGAGCGATTAACTCCTCCATTGCAGCAGGAGTCGTGGCCTCGTATACTTTCACACAATGGTGAACGCTTCAGCAGATTCAATCCCGGCTGGGCAATAGTGAGAACATCCCCGAACCCAGCCGCTGCACAGACTCCTGCACCCTCTCTGCCACCCATTCACATTGACCCGGCGCTTCTTGATCCATTGGTCATTGACCCATCGCTCATTGATCCATCACTTTTCTCCACCACCACACCTCCGGAATTCGACTTGTCCTCATTCTTGGACATGACAGTATTTGATAACCCATCAAACACTGATCAAGACCCAACTGAGGATCCCACCAAGAACCATATGTTCAAGTCGATGATGCAAAGTCCACGCTGGCTCGTTCCAACCCCCGACATGTGGCCTTCAGGTCTACCTGGCGAGGAAGGAGCTTTGGATTTCCCCGAGCTGCCTATGTCGCCCCAACTGGGCAACCGTACGGGCAACGGGTGGTCAGATATTACCATGCCAGATGCGGATGAGACTATGCCTGAGCTTCGAAGCCGACACTTCCGCAGTACGCATGGTAATAGACTTAAGAAGTCCGCGATAGCAAACTACGCTATTTCAAAGCAGGCCTTGACCTCAAGGGAGAAACATGCCCTGCGTGCAGAGAAGATACATGGATTTAGCTTCAGGCACAGGTTTAGTGATGTCGAGGACGAAGAGGAAGAGGAGGAACTCGACCGAGAGAAGATAGAGATGCTGCAAAAGAAACAGGACGATGATCGAAAAAAGAGAGAGGAACGGAAAAGGCAAGAGGAGCTCGATCTAAAGAAGAGAGAGGAACGGAAAAAACAAAAGGAACTCGACAAGAAGAAGAAAGAGGAACTCGACAAGAAGAGGAAAGAGGAGCGGAGAAAACAAAGAGAGCTCGAAAAGAAGGAAGAACAGGAAGAACAAGAACAAGATGAAGGTGAAGTACTGGAGAAAGACCCGAAATGGACGAGAGAGGACTACTATAAACAACAAAGACAAAAGGAAGGCAAGAAGAAACAGGAAGAGGCCAAGCCGAAGGTATCAAGAAGACCGGGGTTGAGGAATTCGAAAAAGAAAAACACCGATCCAACATGGAAGCCTGGTGATAGTGATGCAGATGAAACTGATTTGCCTTGATTTATGTTATTATTGTTGGATCATCGTTGGCTTCAGAGTATTCATGGATAAATATCCTGCTTTGATAGATTGTATAGATCATGATTACTTCTTCCTCTTTTTCCCACAGTTGCTGGTAGCCAAAAGAGGTTATGATGCCGTTTTTTTCTAGCCCTGAATCCATCAATACACGTATTCATCAAGAATTCATTATTTCTATCAACGATAACACTACAAAGTGCTATACTTTTATCAAGATCCTTCAAGTTCATCGATATTTATCGATATTCATCAAGTTCCATCAAGAATAGCACCTCCAAGTGCTATATCTTGGGCTGAAACTCTCACTTTTCAAGAACCAATTGAACAGAGCAAACAAAGCTCCATTTTTCGAAATCATTTGACAAATTCATCCCAAATTGGGAGAAAAGATGGCTAAGCCACAACCGTAAGGGCCACAACCCTGACAACAATCTCTGGCAAGAAGAAGAGGTCAAAATAAAATATAGAAATAGACTTCACGGAACCACAAGATTCCTGGCAAAGGCAAAGGCTATTCATTCCGAACTAACATCCATGGATGGCAACCGAAATAGGAATCCAGCTTGACGATCAAAATCCCCGCCAAGAGCGGTCCGGGGATCTACATAAACGAGGAATCAGCCCCAGTAGATGATCTTACCTGGTTTAGTAGTCCCTGCAGCTCGCGACGTATGAAGGGCCGCGAGGCCTAGGAATTCTTGAAGAAATGATGCCCTAAAATACTAAGTCTTCCATTGTACAATTGCTTGCCGCCAAGAGGTGATGAGTCTAGTTGGGTAGATCATTTGGCTTGGGGTCGATTACAATGCTATGCAATATACGAAGTATTTTAATTGTAGTCTCCTCCTTCTCGGTACAGTAGAGTCCACACGCTTTCATCCTACCCTACCCCATAGCTCCTTTCGCAGATTTCTCGGGCCAGTCAAGCAGGATGTCTCAGTTTCCGCAGTCTCCAAAGCGGTTCTCGTGATAGTGGGGTTGGCCCGGGGTAGCTGCCTCTTTGGATCATTTCCGGGGACGGAGGACGATGAGCTGCAATTCAATGGCCGTTATAGTCCACCTAAAAACGCCTACTGTTGGTGGCGCTCGGCTTAGCCGCTTCCCCATTATCTTGGCATTGAGCTTTCGCAGACAAAGGAGAGAGCATTGCAGATTGTCTATTGAAATTTCCTCAAGTAGAACTTGGCGGGCATGGGAATTACTATGGGCTTTGGGGCTATGTCGGTACTGGAGGTTTTAACTGGGTTGGGGCGATATAATGGACACTGCTTCACTGCTTCACTACTTTATTCCACTGCTCTATCTGTTAGATATTGTCAACTCATGATGTCATCTTACTATGAAAGCAGTGCAGGATGCAAGGCAGCTTTCAGAGGCAATGCATGAATCTTGGAGGAAGTCGAGGAAGTATAAAGACCCCTGAACAGCACCATCAAGATGAGGGTATCAACAACAACCAATCCCAACCAACTACAAACTATAACACTTCAATCCTCAAATCTCAAATTTCACAACATAATCATGGTTTCTCTCCGTGCCACTCTTCTTTGCCTGATGGCTACCTCTGGAACCGTGTACGGCGAACGCCTGAGGGCCGTCTGGTCATCTGGTTCATTTGCGTCAATCTCCGGTCCTGACGGTGGCAGTGCCGGGTCTAACTATGACTCGGGCTTCACAATCCTCAACAAGGATGGCAACCCCATCTACGAAAACGGCTGGCCCGGCGACCATTCAGCCTGTCAACAATACGACGGCCGCGAGTGGACTATGGAGGGCGCCTGCTGGAATAAAGCACTCAAGTTCTACTGCAAGGCCGACTTCGCAGGCACCCCCGAGGAGTGCGAGGTCAGAAACGATCAAGGCATAGCCATCGGCAAAGGTGTGGGAATAAGGAACACAAAATTCATTGGCATCGCCATTGGTACAGATGCTTCCTGTGCCATCGAATTTGATTCTGACAGTGCTGGCTGCCCTGTCAGTGAGGGCGAGGGCCCTTTTAAGGTTGTCTAGGGTTGAACAACATTACAAATTGCTCGATATCCCCAGCAAATGTTGCAATTTTCTTTTGTATCTAGACAGTATTCTATTGCAATTCAGATCCATGACTCCTTGCTTGTTACTATCTAGGGCTGAACCTTGATGAAATAAGAAGTGCAGGATAATACGTAGTATTAGACTACTACATAGAGTCTGCCAGTCTGTAACTAGTATAATGGGGATAAAAGGATAATTCGTAATTCAGATTTATTGTTATATGAAGGGCTTTATTAGGCTCTCTTATAAACCAATAAGATGTTTGTCTAAAGAAGACGTTCCTAGAGCTAATTAGAGATGAATTTGACCACTCGGACACTACGATTGAAGCGTGGTATACACGCATGCAAACAACATCCCCTCTACTGATCGCTGAATTGAAATTGTTGCGAAAATGCCTGAAGGCGTAATATTTAGGTCATTTCTAAATTTCGATATACACCGTTAATACTGTTGATACTAGTCAACACGGCCGTCTGCCAATCAGCGAGCTCTTATTTGATATACCCGAGGCCCGAGTCTGTATAACACGAGATAGTATACTTAGTACTAATATTAAGTAACTAGTTAGTTATGTAAAATCATAAGTACTCCATGTACTACATAATAACAGGTGTACTAGTTAGTTACATACTGGTATAGTATTATATATTCCATGAGAGGTAGCCGTGCGCATTTCCCCGCAGTCTTACCCCAGACTCAGGATTCCCCCTTTCCCTCTTCTTTTCTATTTCTTCCCTATATTTCCATTACTTCAATAACTACCTACGACATACATACTAACAGCCAGACATCCACCATTTATCTTAATCACATTCTATGATCTATGATCTATTTACACATCCAAATCCTGCTGTCTACAGTCCATATCTAGCAACGCAGTGGGGAATTGATCCAAAAACAAGCCAAAAAAAACAACAAAAAGATGACACTCTACAGACGCGCTCTGGGCGGGCCGGTAGCAGTGTCGCTCTTCTTCGGTGCTGAGACATATCCACCGAGACTGCCGTCAGTGTTGGTCACGGCACCCTGAGCATCACGCTGGATACCAAGCTCAACCAACTTGGCAAACACCTTGGAGAAGTGATCAAAGAACAACTCCTTATCCTCGGCATACCGCTTAACCCACGGGGCAAATACCGGATCCGTCGAAAGCGCCATATCAGTCGGCAGCATCATCAACGGCTCCTCGTCCTCCTCAGCATCGGGATCCTCATACACAAACTGCGTGTTACCCGACGCCATCTTGCGCGGCTTCCAGTCAAGCTGGAGCAGCAATTTGAAGAAAGAGTTGGAGAATCGCGTCGGGTTCGTCACCCACGGACCCTCGAATCCACTACGGTCGCCGTGGCACCGGCCAAGGTTGTGTCCGCCCGTCAGCGCTACGATCTCCTGATCGTTGAAACCCATGCGGTAGAAGATAAATCGCAGGTGGTCGGCGCCCTGGGCTCCGTCTGGCAGACGTCCACGTGGCGGCAGCTTGGTGTCGCCGATCAGATCTGTTCGTCCACCTTGCCAGGGGATATCGGGTCCGCCCATCTCCTTGATCGCCACTACGCCGGCCAGAGTCCACAGATCAGAGTACGTGATCCAGGGGTGCTTCGCTTTAATCGGCTCTAGGAATGCCCGTCCGTGCTGCAGGCCGGCGTTGGCGGGATCGCCACCCTCTGCTTCGTATCGCATGCCTGCTCCGTTGGAACCACCGGTGTCGGTTTCGGCATCGTATGTGCCAGACGAGTGCCTGTTGGAAATCATTGTCAGTGACATTGCGTTGAGAGAGGCTTATCGCCGCCGATCCGAAGGCCCCCGACCCGACCGAGAACCGACAAGGCTACGAGAATCACATTTACTTACCATGCTAGCCGCACGAAGACGGGTCCTGCGCTGCCATCATCATAACCGGGCTTCTGCAGGATAGCGGCGATGTCCTTGCGGACGGCATCATAGTTGTGAGTGCTCATTCTCGGTTTCGGCCGATAACGCGGGCCCGGGGTATGTTGCTCGGGAAGAAATTGAACAAACTCCACGTCGGTTTCGAGATGGATCGTTCGAAGAGGTTTAAGTGAACGAATTGAAGATCAGAAAGAGATCAGAAAGAGAAAAGAAAGAGAAAAAGGACAGGAAAGAAAAGAGAAAGGAGACTCGAAAAAAGTGACTCCCCGGACTTTCCACATGGAAAGTCGGTGGATCCGCGGGCCGAATCAGCCTGCGCCTATTGAAGATGCCGAGGTTGGACGTAGACGACCATGCACTTGCTTATGATCGGTGATCTACTGTGATTCCGACTGGCAATTTCCGACATTTGGATTTCTCGGTTCCGATGGGCTAGATTTTCCATAGTGATTATCGCCTTATAATCAACTGAAACAAGCGAAGGATACCAAGTCACATTCCCAGATGTCGCCATCAAATGCCGATTCAGACCTCGGAACTCAGAAGCCGACATTCAGATTCAGATATGACACTAATATTTATTGGCAAATCCGATGCTTACATATATTACTATAGTATTTGCAAGGGCATAAAGTTGAAATGAGTGTTATTTTTTTTTACAGAACTTACTTCTCAATTCTGTACTGCTTGTCATAGCTGTGGGTAACGAATTGAGGAAGGGAAGCTGAAGCCACGAATCGGCCTATGGTTAACATTCTTGACTAGCTCTCCGCCGTGCCTTCGGTTTTTAAATTCAGATTTTCGAAATGGACATGGGGCAGATCTCTTTTGCCCTGAAAGTCAGGGCCAAACAAAGAGAATGTGTAAACGGTTTCGCATGAAAGCTGAAAGAAAGCTCAAAGAAAACTAAGAAACACCTGAGAAACACCTGAGAGATATGTGAGGGGTGTCTGAGGGATGTCTGAAAGACATCAAAGATCTCCCTTCTTCACAGTCTCATCTCCACTCTCCGCAATCTCGTATTCCCCGTCGACATCCTCCCCCACATCAACCTCAAATCCCCCATCGACATTGTCATTTGAAGCACCCTCCCCAATGACCTCCTTCTTTAAGCAATCTCGCAGCATGTCCCGCTCACTTCGTAGCCGCGCCACCTCCCCCTGCGCCTCTTTTAACGAGACTCTCAGCTTCCGCATCTTCATCTGGTATGCGCGGCCCAGGCCATCCGCCTGCCCGGCGAGTCGCGAATACTTCTTCTGGATCCACTTCCTCTCCTTGCGCAGCCGGCCCACCTGTCGATCGAGTGAGTGTCGCTGCTTGATGTCCGTGTCGCGGATCGTCTGGATCACTTTGTCGATCACGTCGGTGTGCTGCGCCTGGAGTGTGCCTTCTTCGGAGTACTTGGCGATGCTTATGAAGGTTGCGCAGATGTCTGCCGCGATTGATGCCATCAGCTCGCTCTTCGTGGTGGAGGTTTGTTGTTCGAGGTTTTCAAGGCGTAGAGCGCAGGAGCCTGGTGTGTTTGGTTGCTGGCTGGGATGGTTAGGTGCCATCGCTGGTGTAGATGAGGTGGCAGGATTTTGGAATGACATGGTGAGTGCTTGGTCTCTGATGGGAGACTCGTCTTGCGGACTGTGTGGAGGTGGAGAGCCTCTGGGCTTGAGAGGATGTGGGATTTTAGACATGGAGAGGAATAAGGAAGGAAGAAGAAGGAAAGTCTCTAAGAATATGCCAATTTAATTATAACCTTAGAAGAATTATGGAATCATTTAATGGGTTATCTAATTTCCTTTCAACCCCAATTTTCAGCTAACAAACATTGCCTTTGATCGGTTTCTGTCTTTATCAAAGTGAGATTCATTGATGGCCAGTTTGACGCATAACCGGACTTTGTTTGAACCGAACAATCATTGATATAGCCATTGCTATTTCTATACTACAGTGCAGACACAATCGCATCGCCAACTTCATTAGTCCCAGCCTTACCCCCAAGGTCAGGCGTTCGAATCCCTGAATCCAACACTTTACGCACCGCATCCTCCACACGTCGAGCCTCATCTTCCATGCTCAAAGAGTATCGGAACATAAGCGCGACACACAGGATCATTGCAACCGGGTTAGCAATGTTTTGTCCCGCAATGCTACAACAAATGTTAGAACAGGCTTCTTATCATGGTTGTAGCACTTACGTCGGAGCAGATCCATGTGTAGGCTCGTACAGCCCGTAAGGTCGCGTCTTCAGCGTCTTATCACCAGGCAGACCATTGAGACTAGCACTCGGCAACACACCCAGTGTACCCACAATAGACCCAGCTTGGTCGGAGATCATGTCACCAAAGGTGTTGTCAGCCAGGATAACGCCATTCAGTGATCGCGGGTTCGTTGCTAGAATCAATGACGCGGAGTCCGCCAGCTGGTGCACCAATTTCACTTGCGGGTACTCCGCTGCCATGGTCTTGTCCACTACCCGGCGCCAGAGTCGAGAAGAAGCTAGTACATTCGCCTTGTCTAGTGAGATCAAAGGCCAAGGGGGATTGTGTCGCAGTGCCACTTCGGCAGATGGACGGGTAACTCGTTGGATCTCGGCTTCGGAGTAGCCCCATTCATCCATCGCTGTGGTAGAAGAAAATGTTAGGGAGCTGTTCAATTACAGTAGAATCTCAGCCCAACCCACCGTATGTTTCTTCTTCGACCTTGCGGCCAAAATAGGCACCTCCGCAGTTCTCCCGAACAACAACAAAATCAACACCTTCAATAACATCGTGCTTGAACGGGCTGAACTCCTTGGCGATAGAAGCACTTGGTGAGGTAGAAGAGCACGGGCGTAGGTTTGCATAGATATCCATAGCCTTGCGTAGTTGGAGTAGTCCTCCCTCGGGTCCATCAAGACCACGACGTTGATTGTCCCATTTCGGACCCCCAACTGCAGCGAAGAGCACTGCATCTGAGTCCAGAGCTGCCTGCTTGACTGCTTCGGTCACAGACTTGCCGTGGGTGTCAATGCTGCAACCTCCAATCAACTCCTGGCGCAGTTCGAACTTCCGTTGGGGTGTCTCAAAGACCTTGAGGACCTTAACGGCTTCGGCCATGACCTCAGGGCCGATGCCATCGCCGGGTAGGACGAGGATGTTGAAGCTTTTGGCCATGGTGCTGTAGTCTTTGTTGTTACAAAGAAATCTCTGGGCTAAATCAGATTATTCTCATACCTCAGGCACCCAGGACTATATATGGCCCTATGTCGGAGCTCGGTCTTCAACCCGATTGATGCGGGGTTTAAGTTGGTCGGGCTTTCGCCGATGACATCGCCTCCGATGTGCGGAGGTCTGTCACAGGACTAAGGAGGAATGCAGTTTAACTTTCTTGGAGCTGTTAGTTGTGGGGATTTGTAGTATACAAAATCAGGCTTAAGGTGTCCAGCACTGTCTACTAGTCTACTAGGTAATACTGTCATTGCTTAGTATACTGGTTTCTCATGCATCAAATAGTGTGGTATATGCTTTTTTTCCTGTTATAGGAGGCTTTGATTGAACTATACCAATAGTGAAGCAGACATCCATAGATAATGAAATATAACCCAACGGCAGCAAATTGATAGCCTGATAGCCAAGGAGTATGAAAAGTTGCGGCCTCAGGCAACAATCTGACTCTCCACATGCGGTTATCCAGGTTATCCAACCTAGAAACATCCAGTACATCGTGGAATATTTCGATGATTTTAAACCCAAAAATCTTCCTATAATCGTCTACTTTCTTTTAATTCCTTCTTCTTCGCAAATCTTACATCTTTGGATCTCATTTCCAGTCTGACAAATCCGGTAATAGGGCTTAGGGCCGATTAGACCCCCTCCTGTTTGCACTGTTTGCATTGCGGGCATCATTTCAAAGCAATTGGACGATCTCCAAATCCGAGAGCGCAATACATTTTCCTGTGACCAAATCTCAAGATGTCGCGCGTCGAAGAACTTCCAGATGACTTTGATGAGTCGCTCAACCTCAACAAGGCCCCTCCCGAGGTCGCCCAGGGCCTACCCCAGCCCGGGTTCGACGCCTTCGCTCCTACAAACGAAAGTCCCTTCCCGATCAACGAGGAGGCACTGAAGGCGCGCCAGACCGATCCCAATGCACCTGAACTCCCGCCGGCTATTGCGGCCATTCAGTCGCACTCTTCGGAGGAGTTGATGGCAATGATGAATAAGACTCCTCTGTTCATGACCGATATTGAGAATGCGGGTGACGAGAGTACGTCAGGTCATTCCTTGGACATGGTTGTTCGATTTGGCTAACATATATTGGTTTACAGAGGGTGAAAATGTGCTCCTAGATGCCCTCCAGGCTCTGCAGAATGAAGGTACTAGGGGAGAGGTTGCGAATACCTTCAAGGGACAAGGCAATGATGCCGTGCAGGAACTCAAGTGGATTGATGCTAAAGAGTTCTACACAAAGGCCCTTACTGTCATTAATGCCAAGGAGGATAAGTGGGAGGCGCCCGAAGATCCCGAGGAAGAGGCGGCGCTGTTGCGCAAGTTGGAGGAGGCGTCGCACATCAACCGGGCATTGTGCAACTTGGAACTAGGTATGTCTTATCTTCCTGGATATACGGGGCGCGACATTGGCTAATATATTTCCTCGGCAGGAAACTACCGTTCTTGTACTCTCGACTGTGCTGCCGCCCTCAGGTTCAACCCCACAAACGTGAAGGCCTTCTATCGCTCCTCCTTGGCACTCTTCAAGTTGGACAAAGTCGCCGAGGCTGAAGATGCTGCAGCCCGCGGATTGGCAATTGACCCAGAAAGCAAGGCTCTTCTAGAATCTGCTAAAAAGATTGCGGAGCGCAAGGCTCTTTTGGAGCGTGCTGCCGCAAGGAAGAAGGCCGAAGAAGAAAAGCTGCGCAAGCAGAATATGGTCCTCAGCACAGCTCTGCGCGCCCGTCAGATCAGAACCCGCAAAACTGATCAGCCTCCTGATATGGAAGATGCCAAGATCCGCCTTGTCCCTGATCCTCTCTCGCCGGAGAGCACAATCGAGTTCCCGGTCGTTTTCCTTTATCCCATGGAGGCCCAGTCAGACTTTATCAAGTCGTTCTCGGAGATGAACGCTATTGAGGACCATTTGAGTTACATCTTCCCCCTTCCTTGGGACACCAAGAAGGAATACACTGTTGAAGGTGTTGAATGCTTCATGCAGACTGTCTCTGGTGGTTTGATCAAGGCTGGCAAGAAGCTGCCTTTGTTGCAAATTCTCTCTGGTGGTAAGGTTGAGGTTTTGGATGAGCTTGTCACCATCCATGTCGTTCCTGTCTCCAAGACCGGTAAATACATTGCAGAGATGAAGGCTCGGAAGACTGGCTGAGCGGTATCTCATTAATATGAAACCCACCGCTCCACTTTCAACCCATCCCGTGAATTTCTATGGAATTTGCGTCCACAAAATCATCACACCCATGCGAGGAGTGCTGTCCCCCTGTCCATCGACCTGTTGGTCTGTATTTGGCTGCAACAGTGGTACCTAACCACTCTTGACGCTCGGCTCTGGTCCTACCACGGAGCAACATGACGTTACAAAATCTCTGATACCCCTTAAAAGCGCCAGCCTTGTGTACATAGATGCATTTTCAGATTTTTATAGATATTATTGAGGCGGCAATGCCCCCGCTGGGAACAAAAGGTCCCACTGATCATAATCCAACATATCCAAGGCCAAGTGAAAATCATCCAGTATTGGCTCACATTAATCATAGCCGTTATTTGAATAGCCTTGACCGTATGTGGATCACAAGCTATGATTGCATGGTGTGTGCTGGGCGCTAATGTAGGTTTAATCATCCAAAAGAGGGGATGTGCACCTCTAGCCTGAATTGAGGATTGTGGGGGAATTGTAGGGGAGACCTGCTCACCCTGAATCATCAAGCTTATTCTCCAGGGCTGATTCGGTAATATTGTACTTCCAAGGTTAGTCAAGATGTACAGAGAAGTTGAAGAGGGAAAAATGGATAGCCTTGAAGATTCCCCGGATTGGAAGTGGAGAAGAGTGCATTTACCCGGTTTCTTCAGCTTCACTGACAAAACTCTTTTTGCCGTGAATAAATTACGGAACTTGCTCCGCTGTCTCTCTATTCGTTTCTCTGCCCTGTCCACCATGTGTCACCGGGCCCCGTGTCAATTTCCCTGGCTAAAGTGACGAATTTCATGCACTAACTCGGGAACCCATACTAATTAGGCATCTAAGCAGTGAGCAAACCCATTTGACTATTTGAAAAGGCCGCGACAACTACGCCACGGCCTGTCGGCCCGTCAAAGTGGTCAAACGTGAAAACTACCTAGTGCCGGGGCCTGAAGATGTCCAAGACCATGACAACTGGCTGTCGCTGTTTATCTCCGACTATAAAAGGAGCTTGACCCTTTCGATTCCTCATTCTAGGTCTAGAACTTGTGATCGATTCAATTATTGACCTTGATTCTCTCGTCATGGTACACTTCTCCACTATTGCCCTGGCATTGGCCAGTATTCTTCCTCAGCTGTATGGTCTATCTTTCAATTCCCAGCATAGGTTGACAATGACTGATGCCCATTTCTTTTTAATAGGACTCTAGGAGCTGGCTTGCACACCGCTGCTGTTGCAAAGGGAAAGCTATACTTCGGATCAGCCACTGATAACCCCGAGTTGACTGATACTGCATATCTTGCCCAATTGAGCAACACGGATGACTTTGGTCAAATTACTCCCGGCAACGCGCAGAAGGTTGGACAAGCCTTGTCGTGCTATTCAGGCCCTCGCTAATCGTCGCTAGTGGGATGCAAGCGAGCCGTCTCAAAACACTTTCTCTTATACGAAAGGAGATGTCATTGCCAACCTTGCTGCTACGAATGGTCAAAAGTTGCGATGCCATACTCTGGTTTGGCATAGCCAACTGCCCAGCTGGGGTAAGCTTTGTTATCTCACATTTCACAATGTGTCTTTCAATGGGTGGATAGCAATCTAATTGGTAAATAGTCTCCAGCGGCACCTGGACTAACGCAACCCTGCTTGCTGCCATGAAGAACCATATCACCAACGTGGTGACTCACTACAAAGGAAAATGTTATGCTTGGGATGTCGCCAACGAAGGTCAGTGCCAAACCTAGGAGCGAATGATATCTCATCACCAAGTAGCTAATGCATGGATTACTAGCTCTTAACGAGGACGGCACCTATCGTGACAATGTCTTCTACCAATACATCGGCGAAGCATACCTTCCCATCGCATTTGCAACAGCAGCTGCCGCAGACCCAAATGCCAAGCTCTACTACAACGACTACAACATCGAATCAGCCGGGTCCAAATCAACAGGTGCCCAAAAAATTGTCAAGCTCGTACAGCAGTATGGGGCCAAGATTGACGGTGTTGGCCTGCAGGCACACTTTATTGTCGGAAGTACCCCAAGTCAGAGCGCGCAGACTACCAACTTAGCCGCATTCACGGCCCTGGGAGTCGATGTCGCCTACACTGAACTTGACATCCGTATGACTCTGCCATCAACTACTGCTTTGCTTACCCAGCAGTCGACCGATTACCAAAATACCGTTGCGGCATGTATGGCAAACACCAAGTGTGTTGGTATTACTATTTGGGACTACACTGACAAGTACTCTTGGGTTCCCAACACATTCTCTGGTCAGGGTGCTGCGTGCCCTTGGGACGAGAGCCTGGTGAAGAAGCCTGCCTATGCCGGTATCTTGGCTGCTCTGGGTGGTACATCTTCGTCCACTACCACTACTTTTGTTACTAGCACAACTACTGCCAGTTCTGGTGGTACTACTAGCGTCCCTCTCTATGGTCAGTGTGGTGGCTCGGGCTGGACTGGAGGCACAACTTGCGCAAGTGGAACCTGTAAATATGCCAGTGAATGGTACTCGCAGTGTCTGTAGGCTTACCAGGACAATGATTCCTGATGACGAAGGGGAAATCAGCTAGCCTGTGTCCATCCGTTTTTGTATCTATTTCTAGATTTTTCACAAAGTCGGGTTTATTGTTGATTACAAGTTCACCCAATGATTTCTTTTTAAAGAGGCATAGTTAAAGAGGCTATGCCTCTTTAAACCCCCATAAAGAATTATTTGGGCAAAATTGTCTTGTTCCAATGCAACCCGAACGAAATTCATTATCGTAAAAAGACATTATACGTGCATGCTAGGCGCTCAATAGTGGAAATAGTAGGGGTGTCCGTATGGCATCATTGTCTCCGATGACAAGTTTTCCGTCGAGCTCTGGGTGATTGGAACACCTGCATCCTGGCATAAATCAGGGGTACCATAGAACTCCATCGGGTTTGGTTGAATGCCAGAAACTCCAGGGCATGGATAGTGCGCCATGCTAACGGGGCTTGTCCGATCAATCAAATGTGCCCCAGAAGATAATGATTCGTGTTTTGGCCTCAGTTCCAATGGTGATGTTGACATGTTTGTGGACGGGCAGACAGAATGGTATTGCGTGTTTGGGCCCAGGTGCATTGCTGGGCTATAAGGATTGGAATTATGGTAAGGTAGCGCGCTCGACAGGTCTCCGGAGGTGACTTGGGTTATATCTATTCCAGAGCTTCCATCGCTGCACTCGGACTCGACGATATTCTGGGAAGAGACGGGTTCGGTTGGCGAGCTTTGTCTGCTGGATGTATCTTCTGCCATTTGAGGAAGATTGATACGAGTTATACACACGTGGTTTCCATCTAGATAATAAATGTGAGTCTTGGAAAGTGTAGAAGATAATGTGAGCAAGTGCGTACCTGAAATCCCATCGAGAAATTTTTCCTCCTCCTCGCGAACTCGATATGCCTCGTCTAAGATTTGTAGACGCTCGACCGGGAGGATTTGACGACGAATGGGCTGGTCACATTGTTTTAATCTGGCGCTTGTGATTCCGTGGGTTTCGCGCATCTCGCAGAGCATGTATACCAAAAGTCGAATTCGTTCTAGTTACTGTTAGCCTGGTGGGATCCATCTTCGGAATGACAATTCTCTCTTACCAACTTTTGGAAGATGATCCGGCTCCCTATGGCTCACTCCACGCGGCCACCACGGTGGCTTAGTTGCCTCCGGATCAAGCTGTTGAGTTCTCCCTTCAACAATCTTCCGTCCATTGTATGGGTAGTTCACTTGCTTGCGCGGCTCAACCAATTTGATGTAGGCTTTGGCGATAATTCGGCAGTTTGTTTGTTGCAAGTTTTGAAAGATTTTCTCATAGTAGAGACGCAAAAGACCTCTCTCTTTTACGGAGATCAAGGCTCTTTGGTGTGAAGCCAAGTTGAGGTTCCGACCTCCGGAATTCTTCTTGGGCTGTGAGCTGGCTTGTACAGGCCAAGTCTCGCTTGACGGCCACATTGTCGGCCGAAATGGAGACTCTGGGTGAGCTGGAACTTGCATCACCTGTTGACTACCCAGGCCTATTCCACTATAATCCACGGGCTCCCCCTGCGACGGGACAGAGTTGTGGCTGTTAAATTGGGACCGCCCACTAGAGGGCACTGGGACCTCGGGAGAAACTGTTCTAGGTCAATAAAACACTTCATGTGAGATAAATGGAAACCTTACCTTGACATCGTGCTGCGTGGGCTTCTCTGGACATCGCCACTGCTCGGAGGAATTCACCCGTGACCCTAGGAGAGAGAATAGTCTGGCGGCTCTCTGAAATGGAATCGGAGGCCCTTTGGCAAAGATTTCCATCGCTATCTATGTAGATCATAGCAAAATGGGCATACTCGGGTTCCTCTGGTGATTGCCTGGACATCTTTTCCGGGGCCTTGACTAGGGTCAGCTCTGTCAAGGTCATTGGTCACATGAAAAGAATGAAATACCCTATAGTATGGACCCAATGGTTAGCCCCAGATTTTATACGGTTGGCAAACTTGTCAAGTCTAGCCTCCGAACCAGGGGTAACAGAAGAAGTGGGATTTTTCTAGGGGAAATTTGGATGGGAGAAGACCAAGTAAAGAACATGCTGCGACGGTGGTCACACAATATCAATGCCTCTCGCCAGATTGTGACTGCCGATCAGTGAGTAACAAAACGATGTGCTTGCATATAAGCGTTTATAAAAGCCACTGGGTCTTTTCAAGTGTGGCGCAGTATCTACGGAGTACTCCGTACCTCCGTACATGTAACTAACTATAGGGCGCCAAAGGTGGAGTCCTGTGGGGACTAGAAAGGGACTGATCTGCAAAGCACACAATTCAGATACAGTATCGAAACAGACTAATCCGTACCTCCGGAGTATACAGGCGCATTAAGTCCAGATTTGAAATGCGCTGTTATTAGCCTATTACAATCTCAGCGTATAGCCGGAGATTTCCCCGAGTAACACGATCTATTTAAACTTAATATTGGAATGCTCGGCTATTATATATGTCTATAATTGTCTATCAACGGCACGCCATTCGCTAATTGGGGGAGTGGCTAGGTGGTTGTCTCCTCGCCAAACTCTCAAGACTCAGTTGTCCGCTGGAACATGCCCCTTAGGACCTGCTGCTAGACGTCTTACTGCAATATCAACCATGGTACGAAGTACGAAGTACCACTGTGGCGCAGTAAGAAACCTACATATGTACATACTATGTATGTATGTATCCATGGATAGCCCCGGGGGATCGAGTTGCTACATGATATGAATAATAATCAACCCCAAGGGTCTTATACCCACCGGTTGCCTTATGCCCACTAATACTCCCGACATTGTATACATATGTATGTATTACTCTTTTATCTCCTTGCTTATCCTCACGGACCAAAGGGCAGAATTGAATACAGATTGAGAATGCCTCTGCTGACAAGGGTGCTGGATCACACCGTTAACTGACACAGGGTTGAGCTAGGGCTATGATACGGGCGCATTGTATGCATACTCCGTAGATCCCACTATAGTTCTGCTCTATCACTCACTACATAGTCAGCTTGGCAAGATCACGTTATGTCGATGCACAAGAGGCTATAGTCATGCACCTTGTCGTCATAAGTGGCTGGTGGAATACTGAAGTTTAATCAAATTACCAAAAGAACCAATAAAAAATAAAAATAAATATCTTACCGGCCGGCCGGGATTGGCTCGGTCTTATCTGAAAGGCCTCAGCCTCAGATCTATAATATCGGCTGGCCGGGCTTACTTCGGTCCTGAGATGCCTTCAAGCTCAGAGACTTTTAAGAGGTGATCGGCATGTGCTGGCTGAAAGGGGTGAGGAATGCGAACCAAGCAAGATGTAATGTGTAATAAGCGATGGCTCAATTTGTCACCGTGCTATTTCCCATGATACGGCAAGCGTCGATCTAGTACGGAGTATGTATGAAGTACTCCATAGATGCATGGGCCTCATTTACAAATGTTTACAATATAAGATCCCGGTCAAATCTAGGTAGCCAAGTGGAGCACAAATTCCATGATCGAACGCACGATAAGCTTCCCTATTCCCGGATGTTCCCTTGTGGGGAAGAGTGTATCTATTGCTTTTGATAGAGTCCTCGACGTGTTAGGGAACGTCTATGTATACTAATTTGTGTGCTTGTTAATCTCGAAGACACTTAATTTGACATGGGCAGGGTCCATACCATACGGGTTACGCCGGAGAACATCCACCTGAGAACTCCGGTGACTCCGTACGCTAAAATCTACGGTGCGTATCAGTAAATTTCCACGGGGATACGGAATAAAGGCTTGAGGTTTATCGTCGGCAACGAGATTGAGTTTAAACTTTGGACTCATCTATCTCGATACATCCATGAATAACGAGCTAAACCGTGGTCCAATTGCTTAGCCCCATAATTTCCCATTCGCATAAAGCCCGCATATCCGACTTGCATTTCCTGGAAATGGGGTCTCCTAATCGAGCTTGTGGCGTCCAGATGACGCTTCATCGTGATCCACAGTTCCCCTTTTAGCGTTCTGCATATTCGCGCCACAGGCTGCATATGCACAACTATGTGTGCTCTACGGAGTACTATACTTGTCCAACAAAATTATCCAAGTTGGGATTCGTTCATACCCAGTTTGCAATGGTTGTATCTATCCCCTGCTCCTACACGCTGCATTCACATGCCTTTGTGGTGGAGATCGCCAGACCGATTGACTATAAACAAAGTTTAGAGGATCGTCTAGCCACATACCCTACAGGGCTTTCTTGGGAGATTACCTGATGTGTGGCTTGGTCGTTCCTGACACATCAAGTTAGGAAGGATCTCCAACCCCCCTTTCTCATGTACATCCGAACCGTGTGCCCACAATTCCCCGAATGTGATTTGTGGATACTGATAGCAAGGCTATAAGTGCCAAGCGGTAGGAAAATACATACGGAGTACATACACACGGAATAGATGTACGACACAAGTACGAACCTTGTTTAGAAAGAAGTTTCCGTTCCGTTCCTTTCGACATCCTTGCCTGGGACCTCGGGTGGCTTTTGTCCGTGAATGGTGTTCTTCCCAGCACCACCCTGTAGATGTGAGCCTTTGGCGGTCTAGAATGGGACCAACGACAGTAGGGACCAAAGTGCCTCAATTTCATATGTAAACAATATAGCGGTAAGAGGTATGATTGCCTGCGTGAAGTAACGAGAGACTGAAAGTCTCTATAGGCACGGAAAATAGCATAGGCGGGAGTGGGTTAGTTTTCACAGGTTATACTTGAACACTCATTTTAAATTGTATAGCTTTTTGGTTATGTTTCCCTCAAGTACTCTGCAGTTTACCTAGGCCAAAATTTCACACATCTGGCTAGAAAGGAATGCAAAAACATATGGTAGTCACATATATCCTCTATATAACTTCTCTATCATCTGAAGCCAATATGATATATATTAGGACTACTCGATTTATATATCGTCAAAGATAGGGACATCGTAAGCCGACTATTATTGTATATTATAAAAAAAACCCCCGAAAAAGGAAATTGGATGTCGAGATTCGTTCAAGGTCAATGGGCATCCTCCATAAATTCCAGGCATCAATATTGTTGCCTGAGGCATTAATTATTGTACCCCGTGACCTTCGAATGTCACTTTCATTGTGGACACCAGCTACTCTCTCTAAACGTCAAGTACACTCTTAGAACTCTGGATCACGAAGTCAAGTTTCAAGTCAACTTGAGATATTGCCATTATTATCCCAGCATCATTCATTCGAGCCTGTGTCTCCACCATTCCAAAAGGGCTCCGCTGCATTAGCCCGCCCACGGCTGATCGCTCTGAATCTGGGCACCAAAATCTGTCTCGCTCCGAGTGCCAGTTCGCTGTGGAGGCCGTGTTCCCAATACATCCCTGCCTTTTGACTGGGCCAATCACCACTGTCTTTCTTTGTTTCTAGCAGCTTCCGGGTGTCGCGAAATCTCCCCTATCCCTGGATTCCCGGTCAACAAGCGCCGTTGGGCCTTCACCGTCTCGTCCGTGCGGCCTGCGTAATTCAGCCACAGTAGCTTCCCTTAATCGAGGGGATCGCTGGAAAGAAGAAGTATTACAGGGCGAAAAGAATCCCTGGAGCCACCCCTCAACTGTGATGGTTCCTCATTACACAATGGACCCCAATACTGGTTATCCCGCAGGCTATCCCGTCCCGACTCAGAGCCCCCAAAACCAACAGATGCCTTTTTACCCTAACGCTGTTCCCCCATATCCCCAATCAAAGACACCGTCGGCTCAACATTTTGGTGCTATGCCCATGCAGCCTGGTCCTGGTGGAGCTATGATGCCTTCAGGTTTCCCCCAACAATCTTCCGGTTCGTTGCTCCCCCTCCCCCTTTTTTTTGTTATTATCATTCGCACGGCGCATCTGTCACTTTTATCCCGGCGGGGTAGAATTGTTCCTCAAATTCTTGGGAAAAGGAAAGGGGGCCTCATGAGGCTCAAGATCGGATTGAATTATTTCCACTCAAACCCCCCTATGCTTGTGTCACCCGTCCCTAAAACCCTACGGCTTGGATGAAATTGGCCATACCGCTATCAATGCATTTACCCTTGGCACTGTCTGACTTTAACCATTTATCTCCTATCTACTGTTGCCCACTAACCAGGTCGCTTTATTTTATTGGAATATCTTGTACTGACCATATGCTTAATCATAATAGCAGCACCTATGGATAATTTCTCAGCGCCCTATACCCAGGCTCCCATCCCTACCCCCATGGGCCAGTTTGTCCCCCCTCAAGGCACATCCGGCGCAAACATGCCATCTCAAGTAGCGCAGACCTTCTCTCAAAACATGGCTTCCATATCAGCGAACAACCTACTCGGCACACAGCCCAAACCCCCTTCGCAAATCAACTCCCCCCAAACCGGTGCCTCTCCTGCGGCTCCGAACCAGGCCCAGGCCCAGGCCCAAGCTCAAGCTCAGTTTGCGGCGCGTGAGAAGGCCCGCGTCACGGCCCTCCTGGATATCAACTCGGCCTTGCTGCAAGAGGTAGTGAACCTTCAAGCGGCCGGCAAGGCTGGCCCGGCCTCCCACCCGGATACAAATTCACCGGCGTCTGAGCAACCGGATGCATCCAAAGCCAATCAGAAGCCGAGCCCCGAATACATTGAGTGCATGCGACGCCTACAAGCCAACCTAGCCTACCTCGCGACTATCGCTGATCGAGCGAAGAAAGCGAGTGGTGTCGTACCCCAAACGCCAGCAATCATGACACCGCCTCCTAACCTTCCCGCTGTGAATGAGCTATATGCTAGACTTAATGAGCTCTTCTCGCGGTCTGCGAAGGCCTCTACTCCGCAAAGACCGAGTCCTCCATCCATGCAAGGAAACGGTGGACCTAGCCCTGGCGCTATGACTGAGTCAATTATCTGAAGCAAATAATGGGGAAACATGCAGCCCTCCGCGTGAGAAGGCATGCCGCAGATTATATCAAGCTCCTGATTTGTCCGCCACCGCGAATCATGCGACCATGGCTCGAGTCACCAATGAAAGCTTTGTGGGAGGCGCCGACCCATTCCCTTCAACACCATGCATACCCGCAGAAGCATGGACTTTCCCCCATGCGCACCATCTCTGCCGGCTGAAAACCCGAATGTGTGACCAGTTGAGAACTTTAAAGCAGCCATGGTCTCCGTGATATTTGACTGGGAAATACTCCAAAGTATCCGAGTCCCCCGCGTTGGAAGTATGGGAGCATTTGCCGAGGAAGGATTCTCACATTTGAGTAAATTAGGCTACAAAGCAACCTCCAATTTGTACATTAGTTGAATGTAACGTAACATCTCATGCGTCCTATCCACATGTAAATCAGGCAGAGAGGTATTCAGAGTCATTTTAACAGTTGGGCGCATGAGGCGCCCATGGGATCATATCGTGCAACTACACCCTTATCAACATTACCGCCTGTTTTCTCCGCCTTCTTGAAGCCTGATACCCAATCTCCTGTTTTCAAGGCAAACAGTCTTCCAATGCTAGATACAAGAATTGACGTGCTCTCATGTTGACCCCGGTACGACTCCAACCTGTCACAATATATAGAACGTTAATAGGCATGTATAGGTCTTGGTACAGGGTGGTCTAGTTTTTGCCGGCAATAATCCTGAGATGTTAAAGTAAAGCTCCCGGCCAATAATATGGCGCTATACTTCTCCGCCTTTGGGACTTGTTGGAGGGCACGTTTTGCCTCGATGTCAAGGCGCGTACACATTTTCCCCAATTGTCCGGTGGATGTATTGTTCTTTGTCGGCTGTATGCAGAAGGAGCTTGCGAATTGCCGCCATATCCCCTTTGTCGTCTTATCAAGCTTCAAAACAAACCTCCATTCCTTTGAGGTCTCCAGCCGCCGCTGATCGGTCATCTGCATCACATTCCTTAACTCCGCATCGCCCGCATCTTCACGTGTTTCATTCATCTTATATCCCATTCTCTGCTGCCCCGTTAGCCTCAAGAGGCTCCCGGACGATCTCGTCTCTTGCAAACCACCTAAAACCCCGTCTATACCACCTCCGAACCTCAGATACCTTCACCATGGATGGCAAAGGCGACATGGGTGCAAAGCGAAAGCGCAGCACGGCGGCCAATACTTCCGAGCATCCCAACAAGCAACTCAGACCCGAGCCCGCAGTCTTGACTCCCGATGAGGCAACGCCTGCCAACGGAACCGTATACGAGGTCGAGGGGGATATAGATGAAGCTCCCTCGCCAGTTGCCATCCCCGCTACAGCGGACTCGCCTGAATGGCAGGCTACCATTGAGAAGGTCGTGAAATGTGCTGTCTCCATTCACTTCTGTCAGACCTGCTCGTTCGATACAGAGCTCTCCATGTCCAGTCAAGCAACTGGTTTCGTGGTAGATGCAGAGCGTGGCTACATATTGACCAATCGCCACGTTGTCGGTGCTGGTCCTTTCTGGGGATACTGTATATTCGACAACCACGAGGAAGTAAGTCGATCCTGTGCCATAGTTTCCTCAAAGCCCTTGCCTGGTTACTAACAAAATTACCAAAATCACAGTGCGATGTCCAGCCTGTATACCGAGACCCCGTTCATGATTTCGGTATCTTAAAGTTCGACCCGGCGAAAATTCGATATATGGATGTCACCGAGCTTAAGCTCCAGCCGGATGGAGCGCGAGTTGGCACAGAAATCCGTGTCGTGGGTAACGATGCTGGAGAAAAGCTGAGCATTCTGTCCGGTGTGATCAGTCGACTGGACCGAAATGCCCCTGAATATGGAGAGGGCTACTGTGATTTCAACACAAACTACATCCAGGCCGCAGCTGCAGCCAGTGGCGGTAGTTCGGGAAGTCCGGTGGTCAACCTTGCTGGTCATGCGGTTGCTTTGCAGGCTGGTGGTCGAGCTGACGGAGCTGCGACAGACTACTTTTTGCCGCTAGACCGCCCGCTTCGTGCACTGGAGTGTATCCGCCAAGCTCAGCCTGTCACTCGTGGTACAATCCAAACACAGTGGGTCTTGAGGCCTTTCGACGAATGTCGCCGTCTTGGTCTGTCCCCAGAGTGGGAGGCTGCTATACGTGCCGCAGCACCTACTGAGACGAACATGCTTGCCGCGGAGATCATCCTTCCCGAGGGACCTTCAGACGGGAAGTTGTTGGAGGGAGACGTGCTTATCAAGGTGAATGGAGAACTCCTTACGCAGTTTGTTCGTCTCGACGATATCCTAGACTCGAGTGTCGGCGGATCTATCAAGCTACTAGTTCAGAGAGGCGGTCAAGACGTTGAGGTTGAGTGTCAAGTGGGAGATCTTCATGATATCACCCCTGATCGTTTCGTGACAGTTGCTGGCGCCAGCTTCCATGATTTGTCGTACCAGCAGTCACGTCTATATGCCATTGCCACTCGCGGAGTCTATGTCTGTGAGTCGGCAGGCTCTTTCAAGCTGGAGAACACCGTGGCAGGGTGGATCATTGATTCAATCGACAAGCGGCCCATCGGTAACCTCAATGAATTCGTAGAGGTCATGAAGAACATTCCCGATCGCACTCGCGTGGTGATCTCCTACCGCCATATTCGCGACCTCCACACAAAAGGAACCAGCATTATCTACGTTGACCGTCACTGGCATCCCAAGATGCGGTTGGCGGTCCGTAACGATGATTCTGGTGTCTGGGATTTCTCCGATATCGCCGATCCCATTCCTGCTGAACCTCCTGTCCCAAGAGAGGCCAATTTCATCCAGTTAGACGGTATCAGCCAGCCTGCTGCCGCCGAGATTGTCCGTAGCTTCGTGCGTGTATCGTGCATCATGCCCTTGAAGCTGGATGGATACCCGCAAGCAAAGAAGACTGGGTTTGGACTGGTCATCGATGCTGAGAAGGGTCTAGTGGTAGTATCACGAGCCATTGTCCCCTACGACCTTTGCGACATCAACATCACTGTGGCCGACTCAATCATTGTCAGTGCTAAGGTAGTCTTCCTGCATCCGCTTCAGAACTACACCATCATCCAATACGACCCCAGCCTCGTCAAGGCTCCGGTCAAGAGCGCCCAGCTCAGCACCAACTATATCAAACAAGGCCAAGACACCATCTTTGTGGGCTTCAATCAAAACTACCGCATTGTCGTGGCCAAAACCACTGTCACTGATATCACAACTGTGTCAATCCCCGCCAACGCAGCTGCCCCTCGTTACCGTGCAATCAACCTAGACGCTGTGACCGTAGATACTGGTCTCAGTGCACAATGTTCAAACGGTGTACTCGTCGGCGAAGACGGTGTGGTGCAGGCCTTGTGGTTGAACTACCTCGGTGAACGCTCTGCAAGCTCTCACAAGGATGTCGAATACCACCTCGGCCTTGCCACTCCATACCTGCTTCCCGTTACTTCCAAGATCCAGCAAGGAGAGGTCCCAACGTTGCGAATCCTGAACATGGAAAGCTATGTTGTGCAGATGAGCCAGGCTCGCATCATGGGCGTCTCGCAGGAGTGGATTAACAAGGTCACCGAGGCTAACCCATCGCGACACCAGCTGTTTATGGTGCGCAAGGTTGATAGCCCTCCGGCAGGGGTCATCCCCGAACCCAGCACCAGCTTCCAAGAAGCCGACATTATTCTCACGCTGGATGACCACATCATCACCCGCGTTTCAGAGCTGGATGTCATGTATGAAAAGGAATTCCTGGATGCATTGGTCATCCGAAATGGCGAGGAAGTGCGCATCCGCGTTCCCACGGTGCCAACTCGGGATATTGAGACAGACCGTGCCCTTGCCTTCTGCGGTGCTGTTCTACAGAAACCGCACCATGCTGTTCGCCAGCAGATCTCCAAGGTTCACAGTGAGATCTACGTGAGCGCGAGGGTGAGTTTCGATACCTCAGTTACATCCATTTAAATGCCGCTAACACTAGTCTTCAGAGCCGTGGTTCCCCCGCTTACCACTACGGTCTTGCGCCCACTAACTTCCTCACTGCTGTCAACAGCGTCTCAACTCCAGACTTGGACAGCTTTATTCGGGAAGTCCGCAAAATTCCCGATAACGAGTACTTCCGTATTCGCGCTGTGACCTTCGACAACGTTCCTTGGGTCGTTACCATGAAGAAGAATGATCATTACGTGAGTCCTTTTCCCTTCACTTATTCACCAAGATAGAAACATGAACCGCAATCCTAACATTCAACAGTTCCCCATGTCCGAATATGTCAAGGATCCCACCACTGAATCTGGCTGGCGCACCATCTCCTATGAGACTCAAATTGGTGTGGCACCCGACGCTGTCAATCTCAACCCCGACGCCATGGATGAGGTTGCTGAGGGAGGACCTAGTGACATCGAGCCGGATATGCAGTAAGTGCCGACTCAATGTCGATATTTACTTCGTAGAGGCTAGAGAATCTTGTATTATATTTTTCTCGGCGCTGCCAGGGGGGGGTTCGGACGGGGGTTTTCATTTTGCCTTTCTTTTTCTGTGTTTTTCATTTCCATCTCATGGTGTATGTTCCGCAAATGGGCGGCTAGATATACGGCCAAGTATAAAACCATAAACAATGCACATGTGCCACATATTCTTTTGCTTCCTTTGGGGTTGCAGTATGATTGTACAAGACTATGTCAATTGTTTGTAGGATAAGCCGTCAAATGATCATTGATGGCCTTGGATCAGTCTCGCTTAGAGGCCCCGATCCTGCTTTGGGCCTGATTCGCCCATACAAGGCCATTCTGTTTCGAAAGCGGAAGACTCTGGAGTATGTCCCGGTCTTCGTGATACCTAGGTATATGTCCAATTAAGCATGTGGCTGTACGTCAACACATGCCAGATACCCACCCTCTGGGACTCTGTGGGCAATAAAACACTATTTACTCTTTTGTTTCTTTTGTTTTTGTTTTTCTGATGTCGTAGGTACTTGTTAAATGATAGATTGGGCAGAAACAACGGAGTGGTATATCCTATATATATTTTAGCAGGATGGCATGACGAAAGGAAACCAACCATATTAGAACGGCCAAGAGAGACCAAATGATAAATAAGAAGCAAAAAAACCAGGGAGAGGTTTAATTTACAAAGAATAGAAGCGCAGAAACAACACTAGGATAGGAATAAAAACAAAAATATAAAAAAAGTAGTGCATCATCCGTGAATCGAACACGGGCCTCGTCGATGGCAACGACGAATTCTACCACTAGACCAATGATGCTAGTTTGATGTAAGGGTCTGCCCTATAGTGCTACATGAGGCTAAACGTACACCTAGCCCTAATTTTGACCACTCTTCACATGAACTCCAACATAATGCCAATATGAGAACATCCAAATGTAGGCCAAATTAACAATTCATTAACCCCATGCACCGATGGATGCAACTATGCAGCTGTTGTCTAAGACCATAAACAGAAGTGACCACCACAATAATACAAGATAACGCCACCAGGTAGATGATACACCCGTAACACCGACATAACCATGTCCACCACCAACTCCATACCCAAAAATAGGCCACCGCTGTTCAATGCACAGACCAATTTACAATCCAAGAAAGAAAAATTCACCCTTTTATGTTGACCACTAGCTGTTGAAGCTCCAACCACCATTGAGCCGCAACCGCTGTCGTTCGGCAACATCCCTCCGAATCTCCTCTTGAGTAAGTCCATCGGGTCCGGACCAGTTTGCACTGCTGGTGCGGTCGCGGTATTTCTTGACTTTCTTGTCCGCCTTGAAAGTGTCTTCAAGAGAGAATGGTGCAATTGGCCCAAAGATCGAGTCAACTTCCATACCATCCTGCTGCCGGAGAAGACCCTCCAGCTCCTTCGCCTGTGCCCACTTCGGAACAGGGAACATCTCGGAGTCGGAATCATCATCATCTTCGCTATCAGTGTTGATCTCCGGCAAGTGAATATTTTCACCATTGGGGTACTTGGGAGATGGCTTGGCTGGTGGGCGCTGGGCGGAGTTGGGCGCAGCCTTGTGTGTGCTTGGTGGAGGCGCATGATTTGGTTCGGCAAACGGTATCTTGCCGTTCGTGTACGTGACTATTGGGTGAGCGGGTCGCTGAGGTTGAGCATTTCTGTAGCTGGAAGACGCCGACTGGGGTGCCACGGAAGACTGTCCACGGCCAAGGGTAGAGGGCTTCATAGATTCCTAAAGTCAATAATTTGATCATCAGGACATCACATGGGATACAATGTTACTAACCTTTCTGATATTCGATTGACGGATAGGCTGCGCCATTGTGCGTACAGGTGGCATGGGGTTGTGCTCATCCTCTGTCTTTCGCCGTTTGAACTCGCCAGTTGATTGCACGTTACTGGGTTTAGACGGCGCAGGTCGGTGGCTCGTTTCATCGTTGCCTCTCTTTGGGGGTTTGGCAGGGTTAGGCGCGGGTGGGTTGATGCTGCGACCACCGAATGGCTGAATTGAGCTACCCAAGCGAGAAGGAGGGCGGGAAGAACCCAAGTCACTTCGCTGAGAAGACTGAGAATATGGCTCCTCGTGCTGTAGAGTTGGTCCCTGGAGACTGTTAGCGGGATGAAAAACCCCCGATTGAAACAACGCGCTCACCTCGTTAACTATCTGCTGGCTGCCTTGCCTCCCATGCTTCCTAGCATTCTCTGCTTGTCGCTTCTTGATTGCCTCCATACGGGCGGCTTTGTTTGGGTCTTCCTGAGCCGACCGTTCGCGGCGCTCCCGTTCGGCCTGACGCTCTCTTTCAGTCTGGCGCTCCCGTTCAGCTTCGGCACGACTCCTCATCTCCTGCCGACGGGCCTCTTCCTGTTGCTGCTGCTGGGCAGCACGTTTGCGCTCTAGCTCACGCTTTTGTTCTTCCTTCCGGCGTGCTTCGCGTTCTTGCTCCTTCTTGCGGTCGCTGGCGACCTGAGCCTTGCGCTGGGCTTGGGTTAGACTGGAAACAGAGCTCTTAAAGCTGCTTGCAGAAGATGATGTATGTAAGGATGTATTGCTACCCTTCTTTTTCAGGGTTGGTTTCGACGCAGGCGCAGAGGCGGCTGCGGACACACTCGACTCCTGACCACTCGAAGACGATGGGACAGGGATTTGTTGACGAGACATGGTGCTGCCAACACGAATTGACATGGGTTGCGGCGTTGGGCGTTTCATGGGCTCGCGAGTGGGTTTGAGAGGACGACGGTCATTTTGCTTCGGTTGAGGGATGGCAAATCTCGAGCTAGACTCCTGAGCTGATTCAGGTTCGCGCGAATGTTGGCGCTGTGACAGGGAGGTCTTGTGCACCGCTGAGCCCGCCCTCTCTTCTGGCTCGACCGAGGAATTGCCCTGAGCAGCTTTGAGCTGAAGCGCTCTTTGCTTTTCTTGTTCCCGAGCTCTCTCAACTCGCACTTCTTCTTCTTGTTCCTCACGTTCCTGCTCTTCCCGTTCGTGCTGGCGCCGTTTCTCTTCTTTCTCGGTCGAGCTTCGTGTGCGGCGGCCTTCTGGACGCTGAGGACTGGTGATAGGGACTGGTTGTGATAGATGTTTGGTATTTTTAGTGAATATGTCGGCACTTGGCTGAATGCGCGCTTGCTCAGGCGATGAAGGTTCCATCCGTGGTGTATTGCCAGTGCTTGAGAATAAGCCTTTGGCAGATTTCATAATAGAGTGCAGTTTCAGCTTCGAAGCACTGATATGACCGTCAAATCGTCTTGGCGAACCCGTGGGAGTAGTAGACGCATCAACGGGTATATTAGAGAAAGAAGCGCTTTGTTGGTGACTGTGCGGTCGGGGCGAAGAGAACATTGAGGTAGATGATTTGGGACGTTCAGGCTCTGTTTGCAATGCATCTTTCTTATTGACTGCTCGCGCCTTTTCGAATTCAGCAAGCTTCTCCATTACATCTGTGGTTTTGCTCTTGGAAAGCTCAGGTTTTTGAGGAGAGCTCAGAGGCTTGATCCAGTCATCGTCCACTGACATAGGCTCTGGAGCTGGAGCCTCATGTGCCCTTTCGTTCGAAGCTTCAGACTTTGGTTCAGCCTTGGAAGCTGGAAGATCTGGGTAGGGAACCTGACCACCTGGCAGCCCAGAAGCGGATGGGATTGACTTTCTGGGTCGGGATGGCTGGAGTTTGCCTAGCATGCTGATTCTATCATGCAAGGACTGGGTAGACTTTTTGCTGTGCATCCTGGTAGCCTGATCAGGATCCGCTTCTTCACTTGGTTCTTTCTCATTGTCAATTTCCAACGCCCTGGAACCAGCATTATCCTCTGCAGCTTGTGGAATCCTATGGCCGCCAGTCTGCCTGCCAAAATAACTGGGACGCCCGGCAGTACTCATTTTCGCCAGGTCAATATGGCTTGTTCGAGTCTTCAAAGGTTCCCGCGCAGGGAGGGTGGCAAAGCTCAGGCTGCTTTTCCGAGCGAATGGTCGCTCTGGAGTAGAACCATCCGAAGGAGAGCCGATATCATCAAGATTGTCGAGAACTGTGTCGTCTTTCGTGGCATCTTCGGTAGCATCTTCCATATCCTCGCCCTGTGGATGAGGCTCTTGCGTCTCGATAGGCGGAGCTGGCGGGGATACTGGGGCCACTGCAGCCATTTCTGGGGATGGCTCAGGGTTTGAGACTGCCGGATCACTCTCCTTTGGTTCAGGTCCCTCGTTTTGTTGCTTTTCCGAGATTTTGACATCTGGCTTCGATTGTGTTTTCTTAGTCGGAGTCGACATGATTTCAGTCTCAGATTCTTTGGGAACAGATACGGCCGGACGCGCTGTTCTTTCCTGGGTTGGGGTTGGGTCCTTGTTCGGCTCGACGGTCTCTCCGCGGGAGCGGATATCTTCCCGCGCAGAATGGAAGGATTCTTCATTCGTTTGTTGACCGGCCGAAATGTCGACCTCTTGAGTATCTAGATTCATGGGCTCGTCCTGTTCGAAGGGTTGGGTAGAAGGCTGAGTAGAAGCCTGTGATTCTTGTTGCACGCCAGGCAGTACCATTTCATCATCATCGGGCATGCCATGATAGCCCGAGTCAGTGTTGTATGTGGGGAAGGAGTTCAGATTTTGGGTAAGATCGGGGTATTCGGGTTGCGAAGCTTGCTCCGTCACGATCTTGGTGCGGGGCATAGGCGATGCCGCCACGGGAGCGGGCTTGGAAACAACACGGTGAATGAATGGACTCGGGCTTGCTTGGTTTTCCAATTGTTTCTGGGCGGATGAGAAGATTTCGCTCAAGGGCTGCAAGGGCATTAGACGAGAACTGTTGAAATCAATTCGATATGGAGAATACTCACCACTCGAGATTCTTCGGGCATGCGCTTCCGAGCGGTTCGAGGTGTCTTACCTCTCATCTTTCCGGGCGTCTTAAACACGTCCGCGAAGTTCCTGTGTGATTGTTAGCTGGGCAGACACAGATCATAGTGTGCGGTCGCAACTCACGCCTGGCCCTTGGAGAAGATCTCGGTCATATGTTCATTTAACCAGTCCATTTCGTGTCGGACAGGGTATTCCACTTCTTCCATTTCTTGCTCCACTAGCTCGGCCATGTTTTCCTTCTCTGCTGCAATCCATGGCGCTGAGCCGACGGGCTTCTGCGCCCTCGCGCTTGCCGCCATGATCTAGACAACGCGCCGTGGGTGAAAGTGGAGGAAATAGAACTAGGAATTAACGGCGTATGGAGAGAGTTCGAAATTGTAAATGCACAATCATGGAGATTGTGGGTTGTGGGTCGCGCTGAGTTGTCGGGGAATGGAGATGTCGAGAATCAAAACAGACCTAATCGGGTCGATGGCAACGCGCGGGTCACGTGATCCTTTGTTTTGTTATGGTAACTTCGCATTTCGTTTTTATCATTGAAACTCGAGTTTAGATTGAGAAGGAGATACATGTCGAAAATACATTAACTATGCCACTTGAGAATTCTCACTCTCTTCAGAGTCATCGTCGGAGTCATCGTCAGACCCAGGCCCAGACTCGTACACCTCAAATTCATTATACTCCGATTCCTCATCACTACTATTAACTCCATACCCATCAGCCATGCATTCAGCAACCACTTGCTCAGCAGGAACTGTCATAGATATTCCGGCCTGTTCCAAATACGATCCCTTGATATAGTTCCAACCCAAATCCCGAGGTAATGGGCGGCTCCAATTGACTCGGAGAGGAGGATTCAAACACTGCTGGTCATCCAAGGGCTCTTGTGAAGGCCGCCACGTTACAGTCGCAAAATAGTAATGAAGCTGACCAGGCGCCACCTCATCACGCACCCAGCGCCGTCCGCCAAGCATGGAGCTTCCCGTCCATCTGGATACGGAGGTATCAGCCTTGGTTGCCAGCATGTTGGTGCCATCGGCTCGCTGGAATCGCCATTGGTCGGCCATTTCACCCGCAATGTAGTCCACTTCGTCTTTTCGTCGCTCGATGCTTTCAATGTCGATGCAAAACCTGGTAATGCTAGAGGGTAGCACCAGCCATTTGCCCCAGGCCCCCTCGATGTGTAACTCCTCGTTATGTTCCCACATCCAGGTGTCGGTGTATCGGATAGTAATGGTCACAGACTTGGGATAAAAATGATGCATCGTGAAGATCCCATCGAAATCTGTGGTGCTCTCGAGCTTCCATAGCTGAGGAAACACTCGAATACGTCCGCCCTGCACTTCGCCATGTCGATCATAAATCAGATCTAGGCCTTGCTGCATTTCCTCGACCGTAATCATTCGCTCGGGAGTGCGGTCCCAGTAGGCCATCCAGAATGCATGCTCTGAACAGATGAAGGGCATAAACCATGCTTCCATGTAGACTTTTTTACAGGTTCGGAGCAGTTCTGTGTAGGTCCGATGGCGGGTCTCATACCCTGGTCGTGTGCAGTATCCATCTTGCTCAGGTGGTTGCGTGGTATCTGGGGCACTTGTCAAAGCGTAGGCGAAGATCTCATAGCGAATCTCTGGAGGGAGGAGTGAGAATAAAATGCTTTGGGTCTGCTCATTGTACTTTGTAAAACAAGCAGGAGAAAGATTTGGCTCTGTCATTTTGAGTAAGAAATGCGTTAATGTGTTGAGAATGGAAATAAAAGAGGGGTTCCCGTCTACAACATATGTCCACGGGTATAAATATGACTGTATTCGGGCCCCAATGAGGCTGAAGGGCGATGCTGCCTGCGACATTAGTGGAGATTGGCCAACCATATCAGAAATATGTTTTAGGGATTTATGTGTAACAAACCTGGGCAGAAGCGAGCTAGATTAAGAAATTAATCTCAAAGACTTATATATAGGGCGTTTATATCCTTGGGTACACATTGATGATGTGGTGGCCGAATGAACAAGCAGTTTGCAACGATAACTATATTCTAAGCACCCAAGGCTTTTATTCTCTTTAAAAGCTAAATTACCAGTGCAAACCCCGAAGTCCCTCGATTCCTCCACATCTCGCGCAGTCCATTTCGAAATGCCCTTCCTCCCTTCCTCTTGGTAATGTCTACCAATGACGGATTTGATTCTGATCTATACTCAAAAAAAAGGTTCTCTTACTAAACGTCCTCCTTGATCTCCAACTTGTCCAAGCGTCGGAATAGAACCCACAGCAGAATGCTTGCTCCACCGAGAAGCCCGGTCAGGATGGCATACATCGTGACCAGATGCGGGTCCTTGGTGAGCGGGGTGAAGGCGAGGGCAAGACAGGTTCCAACCCCAGCCATGCCGAGCCAGATTGCTTGGACCAGGGTCTTCATACTCTTAGGTGCATGGTTATAAGCATACTCGGTTCCCGTGGTAAGGCAAAACACCTCCGCCAATGCTCCACCAAAGTACGTTGGAACTTGGAGAAAGACCGAAATTTGATTGGGGATAGTGCGATTATTGGCAGCAGCACATGCGAGTGGTGTGTCGTAGCAAGGCCCAGTCTGATAGAGAAGCTTCTGAACCACCGTGGTGTAAGCCATGGAGAGAGTCAGGAAGACGAATCCGACCGTCATCCGTGAAATCGGTCCAAATGAGACTCGCTTCTTTGTAAGGTAAGGATAGAGTCCTTTCTGAATAATAGGCGCAATGATGATCCCCGAGATGGCCCCAGCAATCTTCATCATATCGTTCGGAATACCGTAGGTGACCATCTGGCCTGCTTGAGAGATCAAGTTGTTGAATGTCTGGTTATAGCAGAGCCAGTGAATAGGGAACAGAAGTCTGCAAATGTTAGCTTTTGCGGTATACTGGAATGGGTGTTAACTTACAGTACTCGGCAGGTCAGAAGACTTCTCTTAATTTCTTCAATAAATGAGTCTGTCCAGGGGACCTGGCGACTGTGTTGATGAAGCTGGGCGTCTGGCTTTGCGGCATCCATTTTGAAGCCACCGGCGATCCCACATCGCAAGGCAGAGCATACCTGGGGCATAATGTTGCTGGTTGGCGAATCCCGGACTGTTGTATTCACATCTTAGTTGATCAAATTTATTGCTATGATGGTAAGCAGACTCACTAAAGTACTTGCGGCCGAATAGTATCGGGATCAGGGCTAACCACATGGCGCAGCATGGGACCAAGTAAGCCAGCCAAAAACCAACATATCGTTCCAACAACGGCGTGGAATCGGCCACGAAACCGACAACGTTAATAGCCCTGTTTTGTACGTCAGATATGATGGCAAAAGAAAGAGAACAATCTACTCACCAGTAAAAGACGTTGTAGATATAGGTAATGGTCAACTCCCGGCTAGTGACAACACTCTTTCCCTTTTGCTGAGTCTTGATTCGAAACTCGGTCTCGTCATATTGGTCGGCTATACGATATCAGCCTCTGGACTGGTCCACCCGAGTTTGAGAGATCAACTCACCAATGAATGGTACTACCGTAGTTTTGAATGCACCTGATCCAACGGCTAGCAGTATACAGGCAGTTACCACTCCGGCCAAAGCTGCCCCCTCATGAATGGCGACGGGCAGGGACGTCGCGAAAAGAACAGTTGCCCCGATGGCCTCAATTCTGCTGTAGTGTTAGCCATGAAATAAGTCAAAAGATCAGGGCAAGATAAAGAAATAAAACTTCACAGTACATAGCAGCGTATATCATGGTTTTATAGCGGCCGAGCCAGCTATCGGCAAGAACGGCAGCAGGCACGGGAACGATATACGACCCGATGATCAGTGCATTGACGATGTTCGATGCAGTGGCCTGATGCAAGCCCAGTGCTCCCGGTACCTCACCACCAGGTGCATTTTGCAGGTAGTTCTCTGTAGACCCAGTCAGTCAAACCACATTATAAATAAGGAGATGCCACGCACGTAGAGGAGCGGTTGCCCCGTACCAGACAAAGCGTTCTAGAATACCCGCGAGGCATGCTACCCAGAGCCGAACCGGAATTTTGTCAACGACATGGAGGAGATCGCGCACTTCATCTTCGGTGGCCACGCGACCGTCATCATCGTCCGAGGGGGTACGTTTACTGGAATTGGCATGGAGAGCCACATGGTCTTTGACCTCAGAAGAAAGACCTGAATCCTGTTCTGTTTTCGGCAAAGAAAGAGAGGCACAGACATCAGTATCATCGCTCGCTTTACAAGCTCGAGGAGCCATCACCAACCGTGACTGTAGGTTAAGCTCTGCGGTGATATCCGCAGAGCCGTGCGCATCAGACATAGGGCCTGGCATTTTTAGTTGTAGATTGTTTGGTAGCAAGGACACGTTCGATTTGGTTGGACGATTTCACACCAGGGTTGTGAATGCAGAGACAAGAGAAAGATAGTCTAAGTTTAGGGGAAGTCGGGGACCGTCGGGCCTTTTTAACTGGGCTCCGAATCCAGTGATTTAGCGTTGACAGGGATTAGATCTAGGACAGGTTACCGGGATTAGCACCAGTAATATGTTCGATCACGCCTATAGGGTGACAAATATGTCTAGCTAGGTGTTTTCTAACCCGCAATCAATACCTAAGTTGGTAGCTAGCTCGGTAGGCAGGTAGCTCGGTAAATAGGTAGCTAAATACTATAAAAAAGTTTAGTAGGTAGCTAGGTATAGGTAGACCGTCGCAATTGTAGAGTTATGATTGGTTGTATACAAGTGCATGAAGTCATAACTACATTGTACATTGATAGACACTGTACAGAGTACGGAGTACATATATAGCTTTGGTGTATAGCGAAGCGAAGTTGAACGCTATAATTACATAGTAACTATGTTATAGCAAAAGTACATAACTTAAGGCTAGACGTAACAGTGTTTTAAGGTGGCGTGATAAAAATGTCATGGAGTAGTTATAGCCACCTAGACCTAGGCATGTACATATGCACTTGTAGAGTGCCATAGACTAGGATCCAGATGTTTAATATTTTCAGTATCTTCATATTTTCTAATCCTAAGAGGATTTTTCACAGTAAAATCAAGAATCAAGATTAATAGCAGATTCGTCATCCATACGATGCCCAGATCCATAGCTGTTCGGGCCTTGGCAACGCACATGACAGCATCACAACAACCTTGGTCGAATCTTCCCTTATCTTTTTCTGTGCTCTCCTTCTCTTTCTCTTCCCCCCCCCTTTCCCCCTTTAATTTCTTTTCGCCTCGACTCAGTTGATACGCTTCTTACGAATTTCTTAATTTCGCTTCTAAAAACCTCCCCTGAAGTGCTTCTCACAAATATCACCGTCATGGCTTCTGGTGACGTGACCTACCCTAACACGGGCAGTAAGGTAAGAAAATCAACAGGTCACTTCAATCCTACAGAATGAATATGCTAACCCAGTCATCTTGCAGTATTGTGCTCTTTTTTTCCCCCCTAGATTCCGTGGTCATTGGAAACTGACCTTGACCCCTCCTGCGCTCAGGCATCAGCGATGTTATTACCAAGGGTAAATAGGAATCCGGAAGTCTCCGAAGCCACCAAAGCATGCTGACCAGTTTCTTCATAGGCCCAATTGTCGATAATGTGAAGTCCGAAGCATCCCGCACCGGCGATGAGCTTCGCGATCTGAAAAACTCTCGTGTGATCCCTTCAACCACCACCGCCGATGGTCAACCATTGACCCGTACGTCATGAGAACTGGATCGATCGGGGAGCGGGTTATTAACAAGTGTCTAGACTACCACTCTTTGATGTATAGCCTACTGAGCGTGAGTTGTCGCCCGAGTCTTCAATTTGGATAGCTTGCTAATCTCTCTGTGTGTGTATAGTGGGAACAACCCCGTGCGACCGCCGTTTCCTACGCCAGCGTGATCTGTTTCATCTTCGCCGCCCGTTATCTGCCTCTCCTCCGCTGGGCCTTCAAGTTCCTGTACATGTCGTTGGGAGGTGAGTTGGTCGCGTGACCTACGGTCAACAGAGTGGTTAGTTAACAATTGTGTGCAGTGACTGCCACCGTCGAGGTTGCTGGCCATGTCATCCTCAAGCGAGGAATCGCCAGTGGATTCCGCCCTCGCCGCTACTACACTATCCCCAAGGAGACCGTTGAGGCTTTCCTCGAGGACCTTGAGCAGCTTGTGGACTTCTTCCTGATCGAGTTCCAGCGCATCCTGTTCGCTGAGAATGTCCTCCACACCATTTTGGTAGGTTGCAACTTGTCAAGAATGAAGATGAACCAAAAGGCAGAGACTAACGGCTTCTCAGGCTTTCACTGCTGCTTTCACCGGCTACTGGCTGATCCGCTTCGTTCCTTTCTGGGGCTTGGCCGTGATTGCCGTGACCACCACATACTTCACCCCCCTTATCTACATCAGCAACCGTGAGCTCATTGACGAGCAGATTGTTAACGTCCAGGAGATCATCAACTCCCAGACCAACCAGCTTCGGGACTTGGCTGGCGAGCGTACTTCGCACGCCACTGGTTTGATGAAGCAGTATGTCGGCGAGTACAGCTCCAAGGCTCAGGGTTACATCGGCTCCCGGCGCTCTACCTCCCCGGAGACGACCAAGCTTGTGAGCCCGATCAAGCGTGAGACCGTTGCCGAGTCTGCCAAGGTCGAGCCCATCGCCGACTTCACTGCCCCTGTCGTCGAGCCCGTTGTCAAGCACGAGGACTTCCCCGAGGCTCCCTCTGCTGCTCCTGTCGCTCAGGCTCTTGAATCTGACATTGTTGCGTCTGTGGAGCCGGCAGAGCAGGCAGGTGACCGTGAGCCTCTTCTGGCTATTTAAATAGGTCCCAATGATTCTAGGTCATCTTAACCAGGAATATGAACTGACCTCAAATTTGAGCGTCAGTCAAATATCCGTTGGTGAATGGATATTATTATTCCATGATTACTGCTGGATATGCCGAATGGCACGTGAGATCGGTTTTTTGAGTCACCTGTTCTTGTTGGGGATCCCTTGCGAATACATGGGCTCTGATTGCCAAATTACTCGTGTCGACGACGAACAAAAAGAAAACGGAGGATCATTGAGCGATGAATGAGCTGCCATGTCTCTTGTTTCCCCCTTTCGTTATTTTATCTCACCCCCTAACACTGGACATTTTTATCTGTCTACTTCTTTTCTGCAAACACCCCTTGTCTATGTCTTTCTCGGGTTCATATTGTTTCTAATGGAATTACATTACATAAATTGATGCTCATAACTTGGCTTTCCATATATCCCAAATCAAGATATCCTTGCAGTGTGCCCGTCCTCGAGCCTCGCGCAAGGACCTCGACCACTATCTAGGCAACTATCACGAAATATTGTACCTATGCGTGCTACTCACCAGGAGACTACATCCAGTCCACATCTGTGCGTCATGACTACCCTCTGCGCAAAAAGCCTCGACCCAACCCACTTGGGTAGTTGCTCGCAACTCCCTGCGAGCGGCCTTGATCTCCCAACAGTGCAAGGCAGCCGTTGAGTTTCATCCCGGTCCACCGACCCGGCTCCCTATTCGCCGCATCACGATTCGGGCCAGCTTGTGACGTTTTTTTTTTTTCCCTTTTCATTGTGCTTCCCCTCTCCCTCGAAGACTTGCCTTGTTCAGTCGTGCTCGGAACTGTGTTTCCCCTTTACCTCTCACGTCCCATATACCCCGGATTCGAGGGCTGTGGTACAAATTCCGGACTGCTGTCTGATATCTGCGGGTGAGGTGTATCTTGTGAATCCCAAGCGTCTTAAATCAAGTGCGGGTTGGGGTTCGGGTCCGGTTTGTATTCTGTGTTCAACGGGTCGAGGTCTGGACCTCTTTGTGATAGAAGTCAGTCTTTCACCTGGTTGAAACTTGGATTTAGGATCGAGTCTTGCAGGCTCATGTGGGTATGACGCTTCGTGTATTCCTTGTCCATCGTTGAGACCTCACTGTTATGATACCACAACATCCTCAAAACATTCTGTTCGGCTCTGATCTAAACGATGAGTCTGCCGACTTCTTGATAAACATGTGAAAAGAAGAAACCCCCAAGGGCAACCTGAAAGAGTCAATGTTACTAACATGTTCGATTATACTTTATGGAAATGAATAGGAAGGAAAATAGCCGCTTGAAAAAGGCCTAAACACCAACAGCGGCATCCAAATTGAGACATGGCTTCTTGCCCGCTTTCCAGAAGCCCGGGATCTGAGACGCGTCGCAGATGCTGAGGGACACGCATGTCCGGGTTTACCGCTCTTTGGGGTTTAATAGAGAATGTTTAGCCAGCACCAGAGTGTCTTAGACATTGGAAACCAGTCCTCGTTTCTGGACTGTCCTATCGGTCTCGGCTGTTGGGACTCTTTGCAGACCGACTCCAATGCAATTGAGCCCACCCCCCTCGAAAACTAGCCCGGTTGTGTTGACATCTAGTTGATACCTCAGTCCTCGACCTTTACAGTCTCTAACCAGATTGCATAGCGCCCTGCCGGCGTCTATATGCACCGTTTTCTGCGGTGCTCTGTAATGCTGCCCCGGCCCGGCACCGACTGGCGGAAGGACCCTTGTACCTGTTAGAAGTCTTATGCAGACTACACCAGACTGGCAGGTGGGTACAATAGCGGGTTGCAAAATGGACCGGGGGAAGCTAGTGGGTCACTATGGGATAAGTCGGTTCAAGCAGGGAAGGAGAAAAAAAAAGATACGGCAAAAGTGGGCTCTAACAGCCACCAAAGTGTCGGACTACTGCATAGAAGGATGCATGGAAAGTTCTTTGAAGTCGTTATTATGTCTCTTGGCCGCCTCCGGAGAGCCCATGTCTCTGTTATACACACGCCCTCAGACTTCAATCAGCGGTCTAGTTGAGGGATTGCTAAGGCTCTCAAATTGGGCATTCAATCAAAAAGGGAAAAAAAGAGAGGAAGTGGAGTCAAAATCTATATTCAATAGTAAAGAACTACTCCAGTGTTTTCTAACATGGTTAACATCTGTTTGACCATATCATTCAGCCTTACCCCATCTGTCAAATGTATAGACCGCTTGTACAGCCTAGTGCACACTGTATAGGCATCAAAGCGTGGCACCCAAGTGAAGATCCCTGTCACTTTTCCCAGAATCTTTGATCCTGTCAGAAGTTTATCTGTGCAGTACAGCTTTTCTCAGATGCACTTCGCGGACTCGCTAGGTAATGCAGCTTCCCGTCATACAAGGAGTAAGTTGCCCTGCAGCTTGCCGTGAGTCTGAGACCTCTTTGATGCTCATCCTGTCGAGCCACCATGGGGTATATAGCCTCTTATTGGACCATTAAACTGGTGTCCTAATGCTCCGGTTGCTGCAGCACCCTGGCTCCAGTCCAATGCCAAGGACGATCTGGCATGGGTTCTTCGATAAGATTCTGAAGAAAAGAAAGATGGTGGGACAACGGTTGAGCTCTCTACCCCGGGATATTAGGGTATCCATACCATAATTGGGTGTAATATAGTAGGCCTTTGTGCATACCTATTGCCGTAACAGGCTGTTTGCATGTAGTGGTGACTCTCTGCGTTTCCAAAAGGAAATCTAGGATATCCACATGGTCCCTGAAACGGTTGCTGCCATGCTTTTCTTTCACTGATCTCTTTGGGAGTGAGAAGCTTGGGTAGTCGCAGTTGTGAATGTGAAACAGGTTATGCCTCGAGAGATGAGAGACACAGGTCTCAAATTATTTGTATTTTGTAATTGCTTCCAGGGGCATCAATGGAAATCAATGCACACTGCATCATCAGTCCAAAGTCGAAGATCATTAGAACTTTCACTTCCACGCGGAGAGACAAACAGCCCGTAGACTCGTCCCACTCCAAGGACCCTTGTGATATTAGAGAAAGGGAGAGACAGAGAGAGGCAACGAACCGGTGAAGCCCATTTGTATTCCCTCATGTCAGACACTCTCAGTGCCGAGTTCTTCTATTCACCGCTGTCTCTGTCTCCTCGAAAGTCCGTATTTGCCAACAAACAACACAGTACATGTACTCACCTCTGGAAGCTGTGCAAAACAAACCTTCGAACAAAGGTCTTGGATTGTCTTGCTTTACTTTGTCTCTTCTTGCAAGTTTGACCTTTCTCTGTCTTTCAGTTCTTCTGGAAAACGCCTTTTGTTCCAAGAGACATTAAGCTCCTTCTTTCCCCCGGAGACTTCGTACTTCTTCAACTCTTTCCTTCTTCCAAGGATAGCACTTGAACTTCTTAATGTTATCTATCAAATCCCTTCTAAATCCTCAGCCTGAAAGGCGATCTGCTTATCCGTCCTTCCCTGCCCCACGTGAGAAGCGGCAGAAGATGGCCAAGGACGCCCCAATCTTTCGTCGTGGCAAGATCCAGGGCGAGTGCCGCTATCCTCCTTGCGAGGAAAGGGATGCAGAGCTAGAGAAGGCTCACAGAGAACTCTCATTACGTCCCATGGGCAACATTGCCGACTATCCTCGTCATATCCCGTATGCCAGCGACAAGAAAACCTTCCAAGAAAAGACCGGCCGAGACAGTTTCCATGGTATGTACCGTTGAACATGCTTTGGTATTCACGTCTGACTCTTCCATCTAGTCTTTCAATACACATTCCAAATACCTGGCGAAGAAAAAGAATGGCATGTTATGTGGGACTACAATATCGGCATCGTTCGGATTACACACCTTTTCAAATGCAACGGCTACTCCAAGGCAAGTTCACAAGGTGGCTCTTTGATTGATTCGGGACTTCTAACTCGTTATAGACTACTCCAGCCAAGATGTTAAACCAGAACCCTGGCCTCCGCGATATCTGTCACAGCATCACCGGCGGGGCACTTTCCGCTCAAGGTAAGATCTTTATACTCTCTTCTCATGCCACCCGATTCCTTGGAATAGTTAGATCTAATACTTTGCTTTTCACATAGGATACTGGATGCCCTACGAAGCTGCCAGAGCCATGGCAGCGACCTTCTGCTGGAGAATCCGATATGCCCTGACTCCACTGTTTGGCACAGAATTCCCAGCCATCTGTATCCCCCCAACGGACCGCAAAACTCATGGCCGCATGGTCATCCCTCCAGAGATCGTGCAGCGTGCCACAAACACCTCCAACTACTATCGCTCTTTGGAGATGAAGTCTAGCACCGAAGCCAGCCCCCCCGCAAACAATACGCCTTCCTCAACACATACCCTTCTCCATGGTATGGGAGTATTGAGCCGACAAAACTCGTCCCTGACACTGCCCCCGCTCAAGATTCCGCGTACCCAATACGCCGAGAGTAACCCCAGTGCTCGGGACTCCTCTATGGAGCCTTACTGCATGTCGCCCAAGAGCCAGTCACCCATGTCTACCTTCACGCCCATCAACCCCCCGCGCAGCTCCAATGCGATCCCTCGCTCGCGGGTCGAATCACCCCGCACTATTCTCCGTGCTATCTCAGATGCTATGCGCCCGGAGAATGTCCCTGGGGGTATCAGCGAAGACAGTGACACCGACAGCGATGGCTCGTCCAACATGTATTCCACTCCAAACTGTCCTTCTGTGGATGGACATATGGAAACGGACAAGCTCGGTGGCCTCGAGGAGCGCACCAACGCCGCTTCGGACGTCGCTGCCATGCAAAGCGACTATGATGACCTAACTGACTCGGATGATGATTGGCAAATGGACGATGCTGATGATGAAGACTACCGTGGACCCCCTCTCAAGAGGACCCTTGGTGGAGCTTCGCTTAGCAAGGTCGGTTCTATAAGTCCCGAATCCCAGACTAAGAAGTACCCCAGCCGGAAGTCCCGAGCTGCGCGTCCTCAGCCGTCGCCTCATTTCACCCGCGAGGTAAAGGCCGCTGAAGCTCTTCTTCGTCTGCATATGAATGAGCTTGAGAGCACCGGAACCGAGACAGATATGGACGATGACGAGCCGAACTCACCTTCTGGTTCTCGCTCTCTTGATGATGACGAATCTCGTGGTCGTAAGCGACGTCGAGCTTCGCTTTGATGACAGATTGCGCTACAACTTTGACAAGGGAATGGCGTTTATGGTCTAGGAGCTGAGGATTTTTGTATGGCGGTGCTGTCTCTTTGCATTTTGTGAGGAACTTTTGTGTGATTGGATGAGTTTACTTGGAGTTGAGGGTTTGTATGTTCAAGTCAGTGTCACTTTTATTTGATTCGCATGAAACATGATTGAGGATCTTGATGGATTAGTTGACACTAGGTGGTTTCAAACAGCCTGTCCGAGGCTACAATGCAACTCTATCTTCTTTGATAATTCTTATGGCAATGGATAGATTGGACGGCGTTAGGTGTTAAATGGAAACTCGAGACATGAAGCTGTTATCTTATGAATTCTTGCCCTATGTTTATGTACCTTATTTACTAGCCTTAGTACCTGCAACCGCATTCCTCGCATGATGTGAATGGTTTTCAATTCCAAAGAGTAACATAAGAGATACTACTACATATTAGACACTGATGAAAGATTTACAAATAGAAAAGTAAAAAATTAAACATCGCGTATTCGCCTTGCATGCGCTGGCTCTGCCAGATCTCCATAAAATACCAATAAACTAAGACATGGAGATGAAAGAAAATAAAAACACAATAGAGAGCATTGCAAAACAAAAGCAGAACATCGCAAATGGGTTTCCGACCCTCACTATTTCACTACTTAGTCGCTCTCGTCTTCGTCTTCGTCAAAGTCATCGGCCGATGCTTCATCACTGTCATCCTCAATGACATAGGACTTCTTCTGCTGTGTGGCGCCACGACGAGCGGGACGGCTTGCAGCGGCGCGACGGGGGGCGGGAGCGGGCTCATCGTCCTCTGAAATATCCACATTCACTTTTCCCGCTGGGGAATCCAAAATGTCGTTAGCCATTGCATCGATGTCATCCTCCGAATAATCATCTACAATCTTCTTGGTTGCCTTGGCTTGCTTAGAAGCATAGGCCTTGGCCGCCGGGGACAAAGCCGGGGGAGCAGACTTGGGGGCGGGCTTAGGAGCTGGCTCTTTCTTGGGGCGACCACGGGCCTTTGGTGCCGAGGTGGCGGCAGCAGACTTCGGGGCAGCCTTAGCTTTGGGTGCAGCTTTACCCCGAGCAGTTGGCTTGATCGGCTCGTCCTCCTCGTCATCATCATCGTCGACATCTACGACCTTGGCGGCAGCCTTGGCCCGAGCGGTTGGCTTGACTGGCTCATCCTCCTCATCGTCATTGTCAACCTCTACGACCTTGGGAGAAGCCTTCGGCGCAGCCTTGGCTTTGGGCGCTGCCTTGGTTCGAATAGTTGTCTTGACTGGCTGGTCCTCCTCGTCGTCTTCATCGTTGTCGTCGAGCTTGATGTCCTTGGGCTTGACCTGAATGGAGCGTCGTGGGGAGTTTTGAGGAATGAGCTTGCTGTAGTCAGTCTCATCCGGATCAAAATCGTCGTTGGCTTTGGAAGACTTCGCGGCAGTCATCACGCTGGCACTGCTTTCCGAACGGGGGCGCTCCGAGAAGAGTTGTCGAGAATCGGCGGCCGAGTCACCACCAATGCCTTTGACCATCATGCTAACGTCTCCAAGAAGATCATCACCGTTGTCACTGTCAGAATCGCTAGGCGCTGAATACTTCACAGGCTTGCGAGGGCGAGAAGACTGCACTGCAGGCTTAGAAGCCTCGGATTTTGCAATCTCCAAGAAATCGTCATCCGACTCCTCTTCGACCTTTGCCTTGGACTTGGGTCCTCGCTTAGCGACCGGTTTGGCCGCTGCCTTCGCTGCTGGTTTGGGCTTTGGAGCCTCATCCACATCTACGTCCATCAAGTCATCAGCTGGCTGAGCTGATGCCCGCGAGATTTGGGGAACGTCGTCGATGTCGACAAAGTCGCCTTCTTCTTTCTTAGGCTTGGAGGTAGCACGGTTCTTCTTCGGAAGGACCTCCATGGCCATGTTGAATTCATCGTCAGAGTCACCACTTCCATCTGCTGCAGCCGATGGGGTTGGTTTGCTCGGAGGTTGACTGAGGAAATTCATCAAGCTGTTTTTGGGCTGCTCTTTTTTCTTAGCTGCGGCGGCCTTCTTCGTCTTAGGGGCCCCAAAGTCTTCGTCCTCTGGATCATCGCCGTTAGCAGCCTTACGCTTGCGCGAAGCCGCTGCGCGACCACCACCAGTGGCCAGCTTAGCCGAGACGCGACGGCCCAGACTAGCCACCTTGCGGGCTCGACGGTCCTCATCTTCAAGCTGGAAACGCCACTCCTTGATAAACTCCTCCAAATCGTGGGTCCAGATGTCCTCCTTGGACAGTTTGATTAAGACGTCGACCTCTGTTTCCTTGTCACCGATCTGGCGACGGAGCTTCTCCACGCGCTCTTGGGTCAGCGACCACATAGGCATACCCAGAAGGTAGTCAAATGAGCTGGATAGCATTTGAGTATCATTGTCACCCGATTCCTCTTCTTCCCCTTCTTCTACCACAGGCTCATCTTCGCCCATTTTGGCGGCCTCGGCCACCTTGGCAATTGGCTTGAAGCCCTTTTCCTTCAGCTCAGTGATTAGAACAGGCTTTTTCTTCTTGGAGATGACCAATTTGCCATCAATAATCATCTGCACGAAGCGAGCTTGGTTGCTCAGCTTCTCCAGATCCCTCTGTAGATCGGCAAGTTGGAACTGCTTGCGACGCTCGTAATATTTGAGACGGACGACAAAGAACTCCTTGAGAATGTCATCGACAGTGGCGTACTTGGTGATGCGGCCCTCGGGGTCGAAAGCCACCAGATTGGTTGTGGCAATCGACTTTGTCAGCTTGAACTTTTCTTCCAAGCCTTCAGTCAAAGCAACCTTCATGTGTTTCTCATCTAGTTGGATGATGAAGTGGACCTTGGTGTGAGTGTTGTAGTCCCTGTAATCCTTGATGAAAGATGGAACCTTCTCAGCCTTAATGATTTCCTCCAGCTTGTCCTTGAAATCCTGGGTCCAGGTTCGAATAGGCAATTCGGTGATCTCGACCTCCTTGTCACCACATTCCCTGATGATACCGCTGAATTTGTATCGATCACCGCCCACGGCTACAACCTCACCGGTGAACCCACGGAACCAAGGCTGCATTGGCTCAGTAGGCTCGCCAGCCATCAGGCGCTTGAGATTGTTCACAACATCCTCAGGGTTGTAGTTGGGGATAGAAGAACTCCAACCAGTACCGATACCATCCGCGCCGTTGATCAAGATCATCGGAACGACAGGCATAAAGACCTCGGGCTCAATCTTCTTGCCATCGTCTTCGTTGTATGTCAGTAGTGGTTCATCGGCTGAATTGAAAATCTTGCGCGCAAAAGGGGACAGGCGAGTGTAGATGTAACGAGCACTGGCACAATCGCCACCACCTTGAAGTCGACTACCGAAGTTTCCACTGGGCTCCAGACAGTTGATATTGTTGGAGCCAACAAAGGTCTGGGCAAGACCAACGATAGTCTGCTGGAGGGAGACGTCGCCGTGGTGGTAGGCTGTCATTCCGGATACATGACCTGCCAGCTCAACCACCTTCATGTCCTTCTTCAGGTTGCGGCGGAAACAGGTGTGAAGCACCTTGCGCTGACCTGGCTTCAAACCATCGACAACGGAAGGAATCGAACGTTGGTTATCCGCCATACTGAACAGGATGAGCTCCTTGTTGATGAAGTCGGTGTATGTAATCTTCGCCACCGAATGGTCCAGGTATGTGCCAGGTTTGTATTGACGAAGCCACTCTTTACGCTCATCTGCCTTCTTTTTGGAGAAAGCCAGCTCGATGAGTCCAGCTTCACCGTCTTGCATAGTGTGGAACTCCTTGAGATGGCGATCGAGGTCGCGGAAATAGACCTGTGCATCTTCCGTGGTGCTGGTTCCCAAACCCTTGTAGTACTTGTGTTCCCAACCGCGTTCGTGTTTGTGAGCTTCGCGCCATTCCTCATGTTCGGGCATGGTGAAGAACGACTTCTGCTTGGTCGGGTTCTTCGGGTCACCCTTCCAAACCTTGATGATAGGAGTGATGAACTCAATGAGGAACTCAGGAATCTTGAGCAAGCTGGGGAACTGCGCTTGAAGGAAATTGATGAGCAAACCCTTGATGTGACTACCGTCGTGATCCTGATCAGTCATGATCATGAGATGGCCATATCGCAGTCCCTTGGTCTCGGTGTACTCCTTCTTGTGCTGCAGACCAATGAAGTTCTTGATGCTTTGAATTTCCACGTTCTTTGAAATTTGATCAAAAGAAGCATCGCGGACATTAAGAAGCTTTCCGCGCAGGGGGAAAACACCGAACAAGTCTGGTCCAACGACTGCTCTGCCTGCCATGGCCAATCCCTTGGCTGATTCTCCCTCGGTCAAAATGAGAGTACAGTGGTGACCCTCTCTTGTACCAGCTTTGTTGGCATCGACCAACTTCGGGTTGTTCATACGTGTGCGTCGGCCGGTATCACCCTTCTTCAAGATCTGATCCGCTTTTTGCTCCGCGAAGTGCAAAATATTTGACATAACCTCAGTCTTCAAAACCTTCTTGTAGAAATCTTCATCAAGGGGACACTTGCTACCGAATTGACTGGCCTTTGTCGTTAACTGTTCCTTGGTCTGGGAGGTGAAGGCCGGGTTGACAATCAAGGCCTTCACAAAAATGAAGATGTGGTTCCGAATCTGTGCAGACTTTAGAGTTGCTCCAGACTTGTTCTTCTTCTTCACCTGGTCGGACAAGCGGGTACAGATCTGATCGGCGATGTAGTTGACATGCGTTCCGCCCGAGGTTGTCGCGATCGAGTTGACAAACGAGACTTGTTGGAACGAACCGTCCGATACAGCAAAACCAATCTCCCATCGAGGATCGGGGCTGCATGTAATAATTTCATCCTTTGAGGGAGGACCATCATCACCGCGCTCCTTGCGAATGGCTTTGGTGTACATTTCCATGTACTTTCGGAAATTGCGAATGGGGACGCGTGTGCCGTTTAACTTGACACCAACATTGGCCGTACCCGCCAAATCGTAGA